TCCACAAGCAACGGAGTAATGAATAAGTTTCAAGTTGCTGTTCCATAGGCGTACATAATTGAGTCGATTGAAAAGTGAAAAAAAATATTTCAATGTTGTTGTATGCATCAGTTATCACTGCTTCAAAGTTCAAGTCAACAACACTTTTAATAATAATAATAATAATAATAATAATAATGGGCTAACCACCCAGTGGACCCAACACTTGGTTCCCAATAATCAAGGAAGGGGCCCCCACAATCGACCCGCTCGGAGGGGTCAGAGGCAAGGTGGTGGGACCCAAAACGATGATTTGCCTACTGATGACAACCCTGGCAATGAAAACGGACGTTTTGAGTGGACGCATGAACTAAGAGANTCGGACACTTGAAACAGGTACTTAACTATATACATATATAAAAAATAACACAAACACACATACACACATATATGTATACACATACATAAATATACATAAAGTAAATTTATCTTTAACTAGGATGAAAGAAATGCAGTGAAAGCAATAATCATGATAACAGTGTATCCCGTTCTAAGAATTCTTCTACGCTATAATATCCCTTATTAGTTAATAGCTCCTTTGTTTTTTAAATGGTATAATATGCAAATCTTTAATATTTCGAGGCAACGTATTGAATAATGTTATGCCATTACATGCAAGTGATTCCTTGAATGTCGATGTTTTATGTTTTGGGATAGTTAATAAATGTCTATTTCGTGTTGCATAGTTATGAACTATTGATTCATCTCTCAGATTGGGTACATTATTTTTCACATGGAGCAGAGCTTTATATATATAGATACAAGGTAACGTTAGCATCTTGTTCTTGCAGAAAGCAGGTCTACAGCTATCCCTGGGTGCAATATTAAAGATAGTTCTAATTATTCTTTTTTAAACAATAAAAACACGTTTTGCCCCCACAGAAGAACCCCACATTAATACATTTTGAGCCATATGTGAGTACGCCAATGAATAGTAAACAGTCCTGATACCATCTAAACTAAGCACGTCTTTGATCTGTCGTATTGCAAATAACGCTTGATTCAATTTTTTGCAGACATAATCGATTTGGGGATCCCAAGACAAGGTTTTATCTATAAACATACCAAGGAGTTTGGCTTTTTTCGAGAGTTGGATGCTGTTGAGTTTCACTGTTTTCCTTAACGCGAAGCTTAAATGTACTGTTTTACTTTCGTTCAGTTTTAGTTGATTTCTATCACACTAAGAAATCATGTCATCCATGACTGAATTAATGTTGTTTTCTAGCTCCTCCGCAGTATTTCCGGAAACTATTATGGTAGTGTCATCTGCGAATAGGATAATGAAACCTTGTTTTATATACTTCGGAAGATCATTTATATAGATAGAGAAAAGCAATGGGCCTGAAATGGACCCCTGTGGTACCCCAAGGATAATATCTTGAATATCAGATACTGAATTAATCACAGTCACTACCGTTTTCCTATCTTCCATAAAAGATTTTATCCATTCCAGAAGGAACCCTCTAATGCCAAAGTTATATAACTTACTAACCATTATGTCACTATTTACTGAATCAAACGCCTTAGCCAAGTCAAATAGTATTGAAACTACGTACTATCCCTTATCGACTTTATTGTAAATAAACTCGAATTTTCTAGCAATAGCAGTCTCAACTGATCTAGCTTTTCTAAAACCATGTTGATGATCGGTTGGAATCTTGTATTTTTCGAGAAACGCAATAATTCTATTTGCTACTATTTTTTCAATAACTTTAGATGGAATACTCAGTAATGATATTTGGCGATAGTTATCTATATCTTCATGTGAACCCTTTTTATGAATAGGAATAACTTTGGTTGTTTTGAAGACACTCCGAAACACGCCTTCCATTATAGGGTGATTGATAAGATTCAATAGAATTTCAGATATAGATGGAATGACATATTTCAGAACTTTTATTGTTATATCGTCTAGGCCACTCGATTTTTTATTTTTTAGTTCGGTTATTGTTGAAACTAGTTCAGGTTCTAGCACTTCTTCAAAAAACATTGAGTTTTCGTTAAATTCCGAGACCGTATGTGGTCTCGGAGGAACTATCCCATTTAGAGAATGGCCCCTTCGTGGAATAAACTTTCCGACACGGATTTTCAACAGAAATTCAATTGCGATTCGAATCTAACGCTAGACTTCTGTTGAATCGACATGTTTTTTTCTTAAATGATGTATTTTGAAACGCCCTGTATACATCTTCCAATTTTCGTCGAGTAGTTCACGATTAATTCCAAAACCGGCAACGCTACATTGCCCCATAAACAATGATTTATTGTACAACTGGCAACGCCGAACCTGCCATGCTGGCATGTATTGACATTTGACAGATGCAGTCTTATGAGTCTACTGTTTACAGTGTCCTTCTTCAACCAATATATAGTTCAGCTAGTGACTCATAGATGACTCTGTGTGTTCTATAACTCAATTTTCAAACCGGCAACGCTACATTACTCCATAAACATTGATTTATTGTACAACTGGCAACACCTGCTTGCACTAGCAACCGGTAAAACCTCGATTTCCATCTCTCTTTGCATCGATTACGTCACATGCGCCTCTCGCTCTTACACACACATACACATCTTTACATATTTTCCTATCTTCAATATGATAATGACGATTACAATCTAGGGAAATCAAAAATAAAAATGCTGTCAAGTATAATGAATGAGTCAATTTCGGTCCCGACAAAACTAATGCTGTAAATACCCAACATTCGCAGTTAACTTCAATATCTTACGATGGTGTAGAGGCTAAGGACAATGTCTACGGCGCAGACGATCCAGGTTCGAATCTCATAACTATAAACTTTTTTTAATTAAAATCACGTGACAAGAAGGTCTGAGCGCTGATGCGGAATCCCAAGGGGGCCGAGGGGTGATGTGGAGTACTAAGGGAGTTGATAGGTTAGGTAGAGTACCAAGGGGGCCGAGGGGCGGAGTTCCATGCTTGAATCGCTACGATACTCGTTCCATCCTGCGTCGATGACGTCACACGTTTCCGCCACTCCTGTTTGAACCAAAAATTGCAGAAAGTTTAGCTCCATAAGAAAATACATGGGATTTTGAGCTCGTTCCCGCCTTGTTCATCTTCTAATCGCTACTTTTGAGAGCATTCTGTATATGTAGAGTAGGGAGTGTGACTGTAAGTCCACAGCAGTTAGGACATGGAGGAGTTGTCCTCCTAGGTCATCGTCCATCCTGTCCCCTTTCCAGGAAGGTGGACAGGTCGCTGGGAGACATCTCCTTTATATCGGCAGGAGTACCAAGACTCGCCAAACACACACTTTCTTATTGGCGATAACTTCGGGCACTCGCATAGAACACGCCTGATAGTTTCATCTTCCTGTTGTCGCCAGGACGGTACCTGGGGATGTCTGTTAAAGATGACACCCGGCTGGGCGTGGATTCCTGAGACATCAGCAAGCCCCAGGCCGTCTGCCGCACCGAGACCAGAGCTGGTGGTTGCTAGTCCTCCAGATGATCTATTATTAGAGCCTCCTTCAAAAAGGAAATTCGGCTCCAGCATCTCCGTTTCCCGAAGCTCCTTCTCCATCACCATTCGTTTAAGACCAACAGATCGGCTATATTATTAGTTTCCCTACCTTCTACTAAACTAATTGCGCCGAAGGTGAGAACGGCCTCCGGAGGCACACGGGCGGTTTTAAGCCCCCAGACAGCAGTGCAATGGAGCAACTCCCGTGAGCTACTCCGTAGTTGTACTGGGTCGGCGTACCTCCAGATGTATTCGGGCCTGGGTAGGTCGAATACGTCGAAGGAGGCCGGCTAGTTGGTCCCTCGATGACGAAGCGTTGGAATCGAATTCGTTTTATCAAAAAGTTCTGAAAAGGACAGGTTTGAACTGAAAAGTTCAGGTTTTATTACTCTCTGCAACTCCTGGTATACTTTATCTCCTGAACGGGACGATCCACAGAACTCCGTCTTTCATTTACAGTACCACCGCAGTTTCCACGTAGAAATAGTATATACACATCCAATAACTCGGAGATGTTCTCCTTTGTAATTTTTATTAATCGCCTTTGTCTTGAAAAAGACAATTTTTCTGGCTTTGATTGATAAGCGAATCCACTTAGGGAAGTATCTTGGTGATTTGTTTTGTACTTCCCTAATCTCTGACAAAGAAATTTGCAGCTGTAGACTTCTTTTACAATATTTCTACTATTTAACCAACTTCCAATATTATAGTCTTTTGCTAATAATATTCTCTCGCGAAGATCACTCTATTAAGTCAGAGCCCGAGTCTCAGACTGAAGCTCTCTAGCCTGCGAAACGCGCTATATTTATCTATCCGCGGAGCGCGCGCATAGGCTCCGCCCACCTATTGTTCATCATTCGTCCTAACCTGATTAGTCGATCGTTGTACTATATAGTGGAGTCGGTAACACTGTTCTCACATCCTGCATAGAGGTATATTCACTAGCCCCATATTATGGAGGTGTTTTCTTAGTTCACAGTGACCAGTCAGAAATCCTATTGTTGAGCGTAGATTTTTCCTGGTCATCGCCAGATATTTCTTCGGCGCCAGCTTCCCAGGGTCGCCCAAGGTGATCCTGGCAAGATTACATCCTTTGATTTCATCCCATCTCTTTAAAGATTGAGCATGGGTGTAACATTTGACTAGTTCCGCAATTGTCGAAGTCATCAGGCCGTGGGTGCCACTTGGTCCTAAAATTCTTAGTCCAGCCGCTTCCTTGGCTAAAGACTCGGCAATGCGATTACCTTTACTCCTGTCGTGCCCTTTAACCCACCTCAGCATAACGTTATTATCTACCGAGGCTTTGGCTAAATCTTGGTGACACTCTATTAGTAGCCCTAAGCATTCTAAATATTTTCCTGTAGAACTTCTGCATCTCAAAATGCCTTGCGATGAATCTTTAACGAAACTCGCTATTGGGACACACCAGAAGCAAATGTTAATGAGATCATACTAATTTCCATTCAATTTCTAGGACTTAACTGTACTCCACCAGCCATAGATGACTTCCCCAGAGATGTGTTCACCGAGAAACAACGTCAAGATGGCGCTGTCATCGTGCATATCGTCATAACTCTATACCTTTTCGTGGCTTTGGCCGTAGTCTGTGATAAATACTTTGTTCCAGCTGTCGAAAAAATATGTCACGGTGAGTAAATTAAAAAGGAAAGAAACAACTCATGATCAATTCGAATGATCACTTTGTGTGAAGAAGCCAGAATGGATTGGAGTGTATTTTTTCAGCGCTGAACATGTCAGCAGACGTTGCAGGAGCTACTTTTATGGCAGCGGCCACATCAGCTCCTGAACTTTTTGTGAACGTCATCGGCACGTTCATTACTGAAGGAGATATTGGTGTGGGGACCATCGTCGGTTCAGCTGTCTTCAATATCTTGGCGGTGGCAGCTTTTTGTGGAATTGGAGCGGGAATGGTAAGTACACTTATCAAATGGAGCTCAGCTGATACCTATACTCCTTTTAGATATATCCAGTAGGTACTGAACCCCACTACTCTACATCTATATCCATTCCACTGTCACAGCAGGCCTCAAAGTAACCACGTCCATATTGACGTTCAAAACACATACATTTTTCTCTTTGTCACTCCACAGTTAATCAGAACCACTGAAGTTGGTATTCTGACTCATGAGACAATGGCTCTTAGTTCATAGCAGATGCGGTTCAAAAATCCGCATCTGCTTTCTTGAACCATGCACCCTGTAGCTATTTTCAGTAGGCAGTGGATCAAATCTGACATCCTCACTCTTCCACATCTGTATCCATTCCACTGTCACAGCAGGTCTCAAAATAACCACTTCCATATTGACGGTCGAAACACATACATTCTTCTCTTTGTCACTCCACAGCAGATGCGGTTCTAAAATCCGCACCTGCTTTCTTCAACCATGCTATTTTCCATATACCTTATTCCATATATTCATTATCTGAATGTTCTCGTATGTTTCAATTTTTGAAATAAAATATATCTTAGAAGAGTACCACAAACCTGTCTCACCAAAATCAACTGCAGGTGTTACAAGATCCACCAAAACGTAAAGATTGGAGGGCTGAGACAAACAAATTCCTTCTTGAGAAGGGTCTGAACTTGATCACTGTGATGACGAATATGCCATAATATGAATTCTACCAGAACACACGCAGAAGCCTTCAAATGGAAAATCAGACGACAACTGGAACTTGAACTACTTGTAATATACAAATCAGCGGTAAAGAACGAAGGCAACGCCAGTGTTGTTATGAACACAGATCTTTATATGTATACCAGAACATAATAGAAAAGCTTCGCTAAGAAAGGAAATACACTGAGTTAGGCTGCCTCGATAAAGAAGATGTACCAACACATCCAAATAAGGAGAGATGAGCATACACCACAGCAAGCCATTTCATCTATATGAACTATGGATAATTCAAAAGAAGGGTATTTCCAGAAATTTTGCTACCAACAATTCGAAAAGGCCTTTACACACCAATGTCTTGATCAAAAGAAACACTTTGGCTTATCGAAAAGGAGCGATTGGAGTACTCCAGGAAGGACCCCTACCAATGGTATAACTCCTGGAGTCCTACGTTTGGAACTGCTACTTTCAACTGAAACACTATCTCTATACACAGAACAATCATAATCAGAACTAACATCACCCTAACTACAACATGCAATAGTCCTCTGCTGATTGTTTACCCACTCTAGTAGTACGGTTCTTATTGTCACAAACCTTTTCGTGAATCACATTTTTCGTAATTCCACATGTTTATTTTTTTAAGGCTTTAATGATTTGGTAGTTATTACAAGCAAGGAGGACCCAGAGTAGAATCCAGTTCAGCTTCTACGTTGGTTGGGCTGAGGCATTTCAAGGCAAAGTATTGGCAGCCAAACAAATAGCGTAGCGTCTTCAAACTTGAAACATATGCTTTATAGGTTGTGTTCTTTTCAACACAAACAACTACTGCCATCTCTAGGCCAGGCTGGGTACTTCTGGGACCATCCTAGTATTGCGGTTTTGTAGTGTTTTATACTTTTATCATAGTTTTTCATCAAATACCACCGAATTTCATCACACATTTCTTCGTTGTTTTCCAGTGTGGGGTCAAAGTGATTCCGTTAGATTGGTGGCCACTAACAAGAGACTGCCTGGCTTATGGAATCACTGTATCAATACTCATCGGCATTATCCACGATGAGAGAGTCGAATGGTATGAAGCGTTGACTTTGGTGCTGTTGTACACTGTCTACATCCTGATTATGTATTTTGATAAAACCATTCAGAAGTTCATCAGAGGTAAAGTCTGAAACAATTCTTTATTGAAATTTAGCTACGCTTTTCAGGTGTGGGTGACAGATATTTGAAAAGAGAATTAATTTGATAATGCTGCTTCGATAGAATAGAATATAACTTTATTGGCTACGTTACATATCCATTCAATAGAAGTGTTCCACCTTTCAGAACAAGAATTGAAGTGATGTACAACTTTGAAAAAATACCGATGCTTCCACTGTAAATAGGAACATCACAGAATTTCACAAGTTCAGACTTCTATTGTCTACTATATGAAATGATTTGAAATCCCTGAAACAACTAAATCCGCTTGACTGTCCGAGAATATTTTTATTGACTTGTGCGTGAGGTTGGATTTATCCAATCTCTCCGTACACAATTCAATAGCGTAAATTTCCGCTTGAAATACAGTCGCATGAGTTCCTAGGCAGGTAGATAACTCTGTCCTGGGTCTGCGACTGATAACACCTGCACCAGAACTGGAAGGTGTTTTTGATCCATCTGTGAACCAACAACTATCTGCTCTTAATATTTCCTTCTCCCGCAGGATCCAGTCCTCTCTACTCGGGAATAGTACTTTATAAGGCAGTTCGTAGTTGACAGTTGGAAGCATAAAGTCAGAGGTCATTTCCAGAATGCTGTGACTTCCAATGTCAACCAACAGTATGTTGCACTCTGCATTGAATTGATTTGTGCAATTGGCAAAGTGCACAAGTCTGTATGCAGTCCATCTAGCTTCTCTTTCCAGAAAAATGTGGAGAGGAGGTAGATTTAGAAGGATCTCCATGGCCGCTGACGGTGTGGTATTGATGGCACCACTGATAGCCAGACAATCCTGTCTCTGTAAGCCAGAGAGCTTCGCTTGGGCAGTTTTCTGTAAAGCCTTCGGCCACCAAGCAATTGCACCATTCGTGATCATTGGTCTGACAACCATCACATAAATCCAATGGATTTGTTTGGGACCTAAACCCCAAGTTTTACCACAAATCCTTTGACATGTCCATAGAGACAGTATGGCTTTGTGAAAAACTTTTTCCAAGTGAGCGTTCCAGATGAGTCCTTTATCAAGAACAATGCCAAGATAGGTCACCTCCGTTCCAAATGGAATGACCACACCATTGAGAGAAAGTGACGTTAGATCGTCCAATTTCCTTCTCTTGGTGAAGGGGATTACCACAGTTTTGCTGGGGTTGACAGACATCTGCTCCCTTAGGCACCAACTGTCAACAACGTCCAACGCGCTTTGAAGGATATTACAAGCTACCCTTTCCGACGTGGACCTTGCCAGGATGACAAGGCCATCTGCATAAGCTTGCAGATCAACTTTTCTTCTGTTGAGGGCATCAAGCAGACTATCCACCAGGAGCGATCACAGAAGGGGAGATAGTACCCCACCTTGAGGACAGCCCCTGGTGACCCTGAACCTGATAGCCTCGCCTTGAAGAGTCGTAGTTGCAGTTCTGTTTACTAGCATGGCATAGATTTAGCCAGTTATGGTCGATTCTATACCCTTTCTAGCCAGAGACACTCCTATAGCTTTAGGTAGTGCATTGTCAAATGCTCCTTCAATATCAAGAAGCGAGAAATACAGCAACCGCAATCTCCTTGTTGTCAAGGGGTTGAGAGATTTTCTCAACGAGGTTGTTCAATGCTGAATCAGTCGATTTGCCGGTTTGATAAGCATACTGGTGGTTATTCAGTAGGGATGCATACAATGCTACCCTCCTGATATGTCCGTCCAGTATTCTATCAAGTCCTTTTAGCAGGAAGGATGTAAGGCTGATTGGTCGTACGGATTTGGGGTGTGGGTCTTTCCGGCCCACTTTAGGTATATATACAACCCCTGCTGCCAAGCAACTGTGTGGTATATAGTTCCACGCCAGACTAGCTCTATTCAATTTTGTAAGAATAGGTAAAATTATTTCCAGTCCGTTTTGAAGAAGAGCTGGAAATGTACCATCCTCTCCGGGAGATTTGAAGGGCTGAAAAGATTTGATAGCCCATTCAACTGCCGGTGCTGTGATAACCTTCCTTGCGACGTCCCAGTCGTTCTTTTTTGGGCGTTTGGCGCCCACGAAGATGAGCGGTCTGTTGTTATCAAGAGTCAGATTTCCAGGAAAGTGATTTTCTATCGAAAGCTCTGACGTTTCTTTACTAGAGGTCGTGAATGTTCCATCGGGTCGATTAAGCGACCACTGTAGTCCAACAACTGCTTGATTCCTAGCTTCGAAGGGTGAATGAACGCCTTGGATTGAGCCAATCCTGGAAGATTTTAAGGGAGTCAGCAGCTTCATCGCCTTCCAGGAGTCCAGACCAGAGACAATTTGTTAAATCTACCTACTGAGGAGGGTCCTGTTTGGCGATTTGCTACCAATTTAGAGCCAAGAGCTTCCAACGCCGCTTTGGATAACTTTAATTGCTCTTTCCTATTTGAATGCTATTTTTCCAAATTAAATTTCAACAACTTTTCAGCTTGTTGAGTTGCATGATTCATGTTTTTTTTTATAATCACGAGTAGTGTTATTGTTATTGAAACTTTCCCGAAATCACAATTATCTAGTTGCACTTTCACAGGTGGTTTGAGGCACGCACACAAAAGCAAAGCACGTAGTAGTGTCAAGTCTACCATTCAAGTCACAGGTATGTTAGACTAGGTTAGGTTTTTCTATATCTAGATCATCTCCCCTCCCCCTTTATTATTACTTTTTGCTGCATTAGTTTCTAATAATCTTGTATTGGTTGTTTGAAATATTCTTTTGGAATAATTTGGGTCCTCTACAAATTGTTACCAGAATGTTTTGAGTTCTCTAAACGAACAGTTTCCAGTATTTTCTTGGTACTCTTTCAAAAACAAGCATTTTCCCAATCATCGGAACTGTAACAACTAAGTTGCCGCTTAATAATTTTTGAAAACATAAATTTAGTTATCCTGGAATAAATGACGTGTAACAGAATTTATTTACTGCACCTCTTGGAAATATGGAGTTTGTCGATATGTGATTTCTTTTAAAGATTAAAAGCAGAAAAAACAGCGTACCCACCATAGCAATAAAAAACGAATTCTCTGTATGTACAAACGTCAGTAGCTAATATTGATGTTGGTTTAAAGTAAGATGTTGGTGTTAAAAACTGTCACAGCGCGTTTTGATTGATTTTGAAGTGTTATTGAAGTTATTTTGGTAGTCCGCTGTTTTTCTGAATATCAGTAAATATGGTAAATTATACGAATGCGGAAATGGCGCAAATGCATTACGTATATGGCCTTGCCGATGGTAATGCAACAGAAGCCAGGCGCATTTATCAGGAAAGATATCCTAATCGTGCCTTACCAGATAGCCGAACCTTTTCAAATATTCATCGTCGACTTGGTGAAACTGATAGTTTCAAGAAAGGGACTCCGGAAGGTAGACCTCGTGTAGTAAGAACTCCTGAAATTGAGGAAGCGGTGCTGCAAGAAATTGAGGAACATCCTGAGACGAGTACGAGGAAGATCGCTAGAACTCTGGATATTTGTCATCAAATTGTTTGGCGTATTTTGGTTGATTTTTTGTTATATCCATACCATATTTCAAGAGTGCAGGCATTACTCCCCAGAGATTTTCCACAGCGTGTGAACTTCAGTCAGTGGTATCTACAAAGTATTGCACTAAATCCGCAGTTTGAGACACAAATTTTGTTCACAGACGAAGCAAATTTTTCTCGGAATGCCATTCAAAATTTCCATAACAATCATGTGTGGGCTGAAGAAAATCCCCATGCAATAACCGAAACCCATTTCCAACACCAATTTTCGGTTAATGTATGGGCAGGAATTATAGGTGATCATCTGATAGGCCAATTTTTTCTATCAGGACGCCTTGATGGTCGTTCTTATTTACACTTTCTCGAAGAAGACTTACCTGGGTTATTGGAAGATGTGCCACTTGCGTTAAGGAATCGAATATGGTACATGCACGATGGCGCCCCTGCTCATTTCAGTGTAATTGTCCGAAATCATTTAAATACAGTTTATCCTAATCGTTGGATAGGTCACGGAGGACCTCAGCAATGGCCAGCAAGATCTCCCGATCACAACAGTTTCGATTTTTTTTTATGGGGTCACCTTAAAACTCTTGTGTATAAAACTCCCGTTAATACTTTGGAAGATTTAAGAGAGCGAATAGTTGTCTCGTGTGAAACTATACGAAATACGCCGGGAATATTTGAACGGGTGCATAATTCCATGCGTAGAAGGGCGGAAGCATGCATACTAAGTGCAGGTGGCCACTTCCAACATTTTTTATAATCAGTTTTGGTATTATTACTAATTAACAAATTTGTGCTATTCGTTTAGACTTACTGTCACAAAATAAAATAAAACTTGTTTTTGTGAAAAATTTATTTTTTTGCAGATTATGTTTTCAAATATTATTAGGGAATTGGTAATGCGTTATGAAGCAATTTTCAGATTCTCATTCATTTTAGAATTGATCTAATTTCTTAATTTGCTTTCTGTCGATTTTTATTTTTTTGAGTGAAAATCATGTGTCGGACAAAGAAATACCAGGAGATCAAATTTTCTCAAAAATAAATGAGGATTTTAAAAATGATTTTATTTTGGAAAGAAAGCATTGGCGTAGTACTTTTTCTCCAAAAATATTCAATGCGAAACCCGTAGGGATGCCACTGTTTGAAAAAATACAAATTTGTGTACATCAGAAAATGCGCCTTGAGGCATGGAATATATGTACCAAATATGCCAAAGATGTCTATAAAATTATCTCAGTTATTATTAAAAATCTGATTATTTTTGAAAACTTTGCCACCCTGTAACCGGTTTATGACCCGTTTTTGTATTAATCTGTTGATATGGGGCTCTTCATTTTCTTGAACACTCTACCTACAGATACTCTGGAAACACACCTCCATATCCAACTTCCCGACGACCAGGATGTCAAGACGGACCCGGATCAGCAAAAACCCGAGAAGAACGATACCACCGACCACGAAAACAACCTGGCTGGTGTCGAACAACCTCCTCATATATCTGTCGCTCCTGCTCATGTGAACGGCTCGCTGAAGGTTCCTTTGCCGCCTCCAGAGACACAATCCGGCGACGGTGACGGCAAGGGCGAGGAGGAGCCGCATTCTTTGTGGAAGTTTCCTTCTGACAGTGGGAAGTTTACTCAAGTGAGTGAATGCATTTTCCTTATGTGATGACGTGAAGTGTTTAGACTAGAAACATCCCCTGTTGAAATTCTACCTTTCAGTTCTTCACAGATACTGATTAGCTTTGGTGTATTTTTTTTTCAAATATTCAATTTTTTAAAGGTAACTAAAACCATTACTTTTACGACTACTCAAAAATTTACCGTTTTAATGAAGTAAATACACAATTCACCAACACTCTTGAGCCCCCTCATGTTTGTCTAAATGAGACACTATTTAAAGGACAAAACGCTACAGGAGAATCCTTGAGGCGCTCTCAGAGCGGTGCCTGTGCTAAGGTAGCGATTCACAATGGATTTGAATCGCTGGTTCTTCAGATGAAAGAGTTCCTAAACAGTGAAGTTCCAGGTGTACTGAGTTGAACCTCAAAACGATAAGCAGTCACAGTCCGTCGCGTATTTCTGATATGTACCCTTCTTGGTGGAATCAAATGTCCAAGTCACTTGAACACTTTCCGTGAAAATATCTATAGAAGAGTTATTCTTGATGTTCGCGTCTCCAATCAGGAAGATGGCTTTTTTTTGGATGGAATCCAGCAACTTCGGGGTATGTTTGGGGGCAAAGCTCCATACATGAGAACAATGCTCCAAAGAAAGTTTGATCTAAGTTTGATGAAGCATCAAAAGTTGCTAAGGTGGTTCGGAACAGTGTTCCAAGCTTCTGAGAAGCGGCTTTTGCAATCCCAGCGACATGATTGTGCCAAGACATATTGGTGTCCATTTTAACCCCCCTACAAACTTATCGAAGTAAAAAGCCGAATCGTCTAACCTGACATTATTATATCCGGAGAAATGTATCCTCTTGGAGAAAACCGAGGCCTGGGTTTTTATGGCATTGAATGGAACCTGGTTGCTTTTACCCTAATTCAAAATCACTTCTAGATCCCCATTAAGATATGCAACCTCCTGCTGCCGATGAAGATGTGCCTCCGAAGCCGATGTCCTGGAATCCAAATGGAATGATGAGACAAGTGTGCTGTCGTCAGCAAAGCAATATATTGGATTCTTGGTTTTTTCCAATAAGTCGCTGATATACAATAAAAATAGGGTTGGAGACAATATGGATCCCTGGGGAACACCAGCGTTGATGTCGAAAGTATTCGAGAGATATCCATCGACGGCTACTTGCCGTCGTCATACATAAAAATGATCCGAGCCATAGCATTGGTATCCATTGGGATGTTCCATTCTTCTTGGATCATTACTGTCAGTTCCTGAAGAGTGATAGGAGGGATGGTAGAAGGATTAATCCTAATTGAGATTACTCGTTTAACGAAACTTCACATGTGCCCATTGAGATTCATGTCTGGAGAATTTGCTGGCCACGGCAATCTTTGAATATTCTCATTCTCTAAAGCATTTTGAACACTCATGCGATGGGCCTAGCATTGTCATCCATGAATATGAAATTGGCTTCGATTTTCCAATTTCATTGGTCAATTGGCTCCAATTTCATTTCGAGGAGGATAAATAATGGGTTCAATAATGTTTCGAACATATCTATCCCCTGTCATAGTATCTGGGATGGGAATAAGCTTCGTACGACGATCACGCATTATGGCTCCCCTAAATAGTACTGATTCCCCGTGGTATGGAACGACTTCTCAGGCGAATGATAGTCTATCTTGTCGCCCTGCTTCTCTACAAAGTTTGTAACGCCGACTATCACTAACGAAACCCAAATCTGGTTCCGTCCGAAAAAAGAAAATTTCGCCACTGAGCTAAAACCAGTCTGTGTTCCTGTGCCCACAGTAGACGAGAGGCTCTGTCTGGGAAGTAACCTGGGTACTTTTTATGGCTTCGTGGAAAGCAATCCTAGGACGCCCAGTTCAGGCTATCAACCAAGTATACCCTCACATAAAATATAATACTGGAACCTTCAAAACACTCTCATATCCGAAAAAATCAGATAAAATAAAAACACTACTGAATGAACAAGGTACTAACATAGTATATGGGACTGGAAGCTCCATGGGTAGACATATAAAGAACAAGTCGCACATAGGCAAGGATAACATATCAGGTGTCTACAAACTAACATGCGTATCATGCCCAAAAGTGTATGTAGGAAAGACTTCCAAGAAATTTCAAAACGAGAATCTACGAACATAAAAGTAGTTCTGAACTGAAGAAGACCAATTCCACCTATGCTTGCTACCTTTTGGAGAATGATCACGATGTTAACACTATGTACGATATACTCCATGTAGAAGCCAAAAGGGACAGAAGTTGAACCTGCTGGAGTCGCTGGAAATAAATAAGGATAAACGTTCGTATTCCCTGATGAACAACCAACAGGAGGTTGAGCACTCACCTTTGTTACACCTTTTTGTCATGATATCAAGAAGGTTATGCATATTCAAAAATTTACCTGATGTCCAAAAACTGAGAGTGTAATTGGTTTACAAATTCCTCACCGAAAACACACTCTCTCATTGACGATAACTCCAGACACTTGTAAATCTTGGTGGCATTCTAGTACTTGCCCTGAGGTAACACATTGTCTGTTGAAGGCTAATAAGGCTTGTCCACTATCAGTGCATATTGTTATGTTTTTGCCAGAAATTCCTTTCCTGGTTATTTCTTTCGTGGTGATTGGGATACCAGCCAGTTCTGTTTGAACCATTCCCCACTCAATCCTTAGACTTAGTGATTTGGAGTAAACTCCATATCCTGAGCCTTCTTTGGTTTTGGATAGTGTTAATAATTTCCATCAAGTAGCAGATCAGTCCATTCATAATAATTTATGTATACATATTTTCAAGGCGACATGGATAATCACCTGGCCGATATACCTGATATTCCTGTTCACCATTCCTGATTGCGAGAGGCCCAAATTCAAGAAGTGGTTTCCTCTGACCTTCATCATGTGCATCATCTGGATCGGTTCCCTGTCTTACTTTGTTGCCTGGATCATAACCATTATAGGTGAGATATAGGCTCTTTTGTTGTCCCGATGAAAACGAGTCAAAATTTTCAGGTGACACGCTGAAAATACCTGATTCGGTGATGGGAATCACGTTCCTGGCTGCAGGCACTAGCGTTCCCGAAGCTGTTTCTAGTGTAATTGTAGCAAAACAAGGTGGGTACTTGGAATACAAGGTGTATGCACCGGTGTGATAACATTTTATGAGAAAGGAGTTGAATAACCTGATACCACATTAAATGCACTAGCGTTCGTTATACACTCATTTCCTTCTAGGTCATGGTTCTATGGGTATCAGTAACTCTATTGGGTCCAATACGTTCGATATCCTTCTCTGTTTGGGGCTACCATGGTTCATCAAAGCCACATTCATGCCCACAATTGCTGGTAAACATTGGGTGAGTTTTTATAGTGTCATCACACACCAAAACTTCAGTTTAAAAGATTTTTTTATCGGCATTTCATATATAGGTCGTTTTTTTAGCTGATCCCACTGTTGCTATCTCGAAAACGGTAAGACCTATAAGCTAGGTTCAATTGGAGAAAAGTTGGGGAACTAGAATAACCTTTTTTCAGATCGAGAACAGTAGCGAATAAAAAAAACTCAGCAATACAGTTTATTGTATGAATTTCACTATGAAGGGTTTATGAAGCGAACAAAATTGTTCCTAGAAGTTTGGCAAAGTTGTTGAGGATTGAGATAGGTCTGTGATTACTGATTTCATTTCGATATGGAGCTATGTGTGCTGGACAAACTTTGGTAGTTTTTCAGACTTCAGGAAAAACAAACGTTCCTGAAATAAGCTTAAAAACATTTTGTAGGGAATAAACTAATACTTTCAAGCAGTATTTCACTAGAAACGAATGAATTTCATATGGTCCTGAGGTCATCTTGTTTTTTGACTTATTTCCATCTCGAAATTGAAAAGAACGTTAACTTCTTCGATACCAGGTAATAAATAAGCGTTTTTAAAAAACCTACTGAGAGCTTTAACGATTACTGGTAGTTTGTTATAGGATTCCCCCTCATAAACCGTTTTGCTCGGAATTCGAGTAGTATTATTCTCATTATGAACGAACGTCCAGAAATTTTTGGGATCAATTATCAATTCGTTCTCAATAGATGAACAAAGAGACTTCTGGCGCAAAATCCCATGTGTCAAGGCTAAGGACAAAGCCTACCACGCCGACGTCTTGGGTTCGATTCTCATACCGATGAACTTTTTTCAATAAGGACCACGTGACTGGTACGTGATAAGGGGCCCGAGGGGTGAGGCGCAGTCCCAAGGGGGCCCACGCTCTTTGAATCTCTCGGATACTCATTCCAACGTTCGATTACGTCACACGTTTCTCTTCCCCCACTCTCGTTAGTCCTAAAAATTGCAAAAAATTTAGCTCCATAAGACACTGCATGGAATTTTGCGCCAGAATCCTCTTTGTTCATCTACTATACACTTGTAGTTTTGTCATTATCTTTTACCAGGTAAATATATTGATTTTTGAGTCTCAGTAGCTTTCAGATTCATTCATTGAACTTTGCTAAAAATATCAAATTACAGACTGTTCGTATTTATTGATTGTATTAATACATAATTTATTTGTAAAGAGAATGATATACATAGAAAACACGACAAAGTTTCGGGGTCACTTTCTAGATCCATCAAGTTTTCATAATCAATTTCCTCAAGGACTCTTTACAATATAATCAGGTGAAGATGTGAATATTTTTCCCACGAAATATAATACATATATATTTCTACAGGTAGGTATCAACTCTGCTGGGATCGAATACAGCGCCATCTCTCTACTTTCCACACTCCTACTGCTCTACGTGGCTTTCGCCTTCAACAAATTCCAATTGGACAAGAAAGTTGGAAGAGCGTGCTTGATGATGTATGCAGTTTTTCTAATTTTGGCCAGCCTGATCGAGATGAACGTCTTCTTCAGAGTGAATCTGCCGACATGCGGCCGGTGAAGGACTGAAAAAACTGCACGAGTGCCGGTGTGAAATTCTGATGTACAGGGCGTCCCAAAAGCGACACGTGAATTCAATAACATTTTTTTATTCTTTTTTTCAGTCTGTTAGCGGAAGTTGTTCTCCTGAGAAACAATTTCGTTTCCAACTTCTGGGAACCCTTAGAAAAAGATATCATAAGGTTTTTGAAGAGACATTTTTTGATCATACGCAGATCCAAAACTAAAGTAAACATTGTTCATCAAGCAAAACCTCATACTTTGAAATTTACTTTCAATATATATAACGATAATTTTTAGTGAAAATGTTTGAAAGTTTGGCCTCTTTAAGAGTGCGAATAATCGCTCCTTTAAAAATCCAGAAGCCGCATGAGAAAGTGGTATCAACGTATCTGCTGTGCCAAAGCAATTTTCCGGATTTTTTGGCTGTGGTATACAGGTTTTCATGCTTGACGATTTCGTCTACTACTGCGGGATACATTATCAAAAGCGATGAGCACCAATTCAGTCAAAGTGCCCGATTCGGTGCTGAGTTGTTGTTCCCAATGCAGAAACTACGAATATGGTATTTGACTCCGGTTTTATATTATCATAGGTGGCTTGGTTTCTCTTAATTGAACTCCTTGGTCTTGATTGTCCAAAATTGAGGACAAGTAGCCAGATTTTATTGCCTAATGTTCATTGCCTCTTCTTATGTGTTGAAATTATCTGTGCAATTAAGAACAGGCAGCCATATGTTGATAATGTTCATTGCCTCTTCTCCTGTATTATCCCTGATTTGTTGGTTTGTCCAAGGCGACAATTTCTCTTGTGTTCGTAGAGACGGTTGCCTATACTTCTTTTCGTGGTTCCAATGTAGACCGACGCGCAGCTATGAGAAATCCGGTATTCCCCGGGTAATGCTGAAGGTTCTCTGGGGTCTTTAGCGGACCGCAGACTTAGTGATTCTCTGAGATTCTACCATTCTGGTCCCTATTGAAAATTGCTGTGGAAACATAGTGAAACGTCTACTGGAATTGTGGATAGAGCTTGACTTACTCAGAATCGTTTATTTCCTACACATAAGTGCATGAGTGAAAAAACTGAAAGTTTTTGGATTGCTTTCTATCGCCTATCTTTGTTTACTTCGTTAAATAGGCCCCTGATGGTGACTGCTGGCCATATATGAGTGCATATTTGGATTTTCAAAGTTTTAAATCGTGATAACTCGAAAACAGTGCTTCTAAAGAAAACAATTGTATCTATTTCATTTCATTTTATTATCTAAAAGCTTTCTCTGGACCATTTTCCGGTAGCTCTCAACATTCAGAGGTTTGGCCTGGAATAAAAAACAACTCACAAGCGTAACTGACAGGGACTTTTGACATTCCATTCATATCGATCTCTGTAAGGTCTGCATCAAAATCCCCGTTGTTGGGAATTAATACAAGCTTGAATGTCTATTTTGTTTGGACTATTAGTAGTCTTCTGGAGATTTTGCGTTCAAAATTCTATAGGACGCTATTGGACTACCAAATAAACTGATTTCAAACCACTGCAAATTGAAAAATCGTGTACAGACTCATACTACATATTAACAATAACAAAATGGAAAAAGCCTACGTAAATATGCAATTGTATGTATTTTCAGATATATATCGATATCTGGTTTGGAATTCTACAAAGAACTCATCAGGGTTTCGGTTAGTTCTTATAGAACCTGCTAGAAATTTGAATTATTGAATGAAAAATGTATGACGCGATTGTTTAAAATACTTCTAAAGAAATGAGGTAGACATTTTGAAATTGAGGTTAGAATCCAATGACTCGAAGAGGTGAAATTGTGATGATCTAGATTAGTAGCCAGGTGGGAATGAAATGAATTATGAGGCCAAGGAAGAAATATTTCTACATTGCTTCGATTTTGAAAATTTTCAAGCTCATTTTTGGGTTCTAAATGTGACTTTGCGAGGAATCATGAATGAACATCGTGCAAAATGAATATATAAATTGATGGCACACGATTCTCAGACCCAGTGGTCACTCTTTCAGTTTTGGAAGGGATGCACATTTTACTCGAAATAAACTGAAAAAACTTCAACTGTCTGTGAATTCACTGTCATTTTTGGGACTACTAGTGTGTCTTAACGTGTCCATATGTCATTTCCATTTCGAAAATTACCCCACGTTCACTGTAGTTATAGTTATAGAAGTACAACCTGATAAACATTATGTTTATGCAAAGTGAATATACGGAAGATTGTTTTTTTTTATTATAATCAAATTGCGTTAGTATTAGAAAGTTTCTATGGACCCTCAAGTGTGTATTCGTGAGATAGAGCAATATTTACTTGGTCAAATAATTAATATTAGTCATAATATCTCACCATTTCACTGTTTTATCTGTCAAACTAATACATTTGAGTCTGTTATGGTTCTGCACTTGCGGTTTCGTAGACACTCCTCCAGTTTCAAAAGATTATATATGTGTATGTTACAGTGTACATAAAATCGTTATTTAAGTAAACATATGTATCAGTAATGAATCTATTTAGGTTAGGTTTGAATAGAAAATTTGAAACGGGTATGTATTTTTCAGTGTTTGTAAATGATGATGCATATCCTGCAGAATTATTATCATTATTACAAAAGTTATTGAGTAAATGTTGACTTTTCTTTCACACTGTGTCCAATTCCATGAAGTTATCACAAAATTTCAAAATGACTCAAGATCCTGGTTTTAATTAGACCCCAGGAAGTTATTTATTGCGACAGGCCATAAAATTAGGTTAGATGATTATTTCTGTATTATTCCACAAGGATCTATTCTTGGGCCGCTTTTTTTGTAATTTATCAGTTCAATAGCTGACCAGAATCTAGAACCAAAAAAATAACGTTTTTTCATTATATAAGATTGTTTTAGATTTTGTTTGAAGGAGATTGACAATGTTTCATGATGAATTTCACCAGTTCAGACTTGTCTAATATATAAAATGATTTGAAATCCCTGAAACAACTAAAAAAGGAAGAATTGAAAATGAATAGCTGAAAATAACAATTATATTGAGCAAAATAAACCTGAAATGAAATAATAGTGAAATAAAATACAAGTGAAAATAGAACAATTGAATAAATAAAAATAAAGAAATGAAAAAATAAAATAAAAATAAAAAGTGGGAAAGATTCCAAGTCACGTTAGTTCACGACGTTTCGATTGTTAGTATCTACAATCGTCTTCGGGTGATGACTGGACTGATTCTTCCGAGAGATGATTATTTATAGGTCGTTCGAGTACTTTCACTTATTCCCGCTCTCCATTTTCCGCTTCACCGGTTCCGTGGGAGAAGACCGTTTGGCGGGAGTTGGCTTTGCATTTTTCGCTTGATGATGGGTTTCCATATGTTGCGTATTTCTACGCTGGCTTGACTGGATATGTTGTTGGACAACATGTATGCGACTTCCTTGAATTTTCTCCTGAACCAATGTTCCTCTCTGTGCAAGATCTCAGCTTGGGACCACTCGATGTTGTGTTGATGGGTTCAAACATGGTCTGCTATTCCTGATTTGCTGGTTTCCCCTCGCTGTGTGTGTTTCTTGTGCTCGGCAATGTGAACATTCAATGGCCTCTTTTAAAGGAATGCAAAAAGAAAATAATAAAAATAAAAAAGTGTAGAGATTCCAAGTCACGTTAGTTCACGACGTTTCGATTGTTGGTATCTACAATCGTCTTCGGGTGATGACTGTTTTTTTACTTGTTTCAGGGATTTCAAATCATTTTATATAATAGACAATGGAAGTCCGAACTAGTGAAATTCATCACGAAACATTGTCAATCACCTTCAAACAAACTTCTTTTTTAGTTGTTTCAAGCATTTCAAATCATTTTATATAGTAGACAATGGAAGTCTGAACTAGTGAAATTGTTTCAGAAGTTTTGTCCGTTTTCAGAAGTCTAATTAAAACTGGTTAGTGTCAATTCAATCAAAATAAGCATCATTTGAATTAGTGCTTTTTGGTCAACGTAACATCCGCTTGAAAATTGTGTGCTCAGGATTCGATGTAGTCGACGAACGCCGTTTTTGCCGTCGATTCATTCACAATAGGACTCTGCTGTTATTTTGATTAGTCAGATTGATTATAAACAACTAATTTCGTAATCTTTTTTTGTGATTTGGAACAACAGAAAATATTATTTATTTTAATTATTTATCATGATTATTTTACCAAATAGAAAAACTAATACTCTCCCCTACCAGATATAACTACATAAATTTCAAGTTTTTCAGTATCTCAAGAAAACTAAAAAAAAACAAGTCCAGCTGGACCTCCTACAGGAAGAACTGTCATTTATGAAATTTTTTCGACTTCAACTTGAGCTCAAAAAGCACTTTTGAGAATCCTAAAGCAGCTGCTTTAGGATTAAGAACATTTCTTTGACAAGCAACGGGACAAGTCTCGTTTCGAAGGAATAATTATTTCATTTCTCCAAACATTCCTACACAGTAGGATCTCAGAAATGCCAATCGGAAAATAACTACTCTCCAGATTCGGGAGTGATAAACAATGACAGTGATGAATTCACTCATACTATTTGTTGGATAATTGTTATATCTCAAATAACTCCAATAATGGAACAAATCAACAACAAATTTGTTGCAATTGAACATCTCAATTCAAAACCGTGACTGATTGCCCTGTTATTACAGAGTAAATAAATTTAGTGTAGGAAGAAACGTGATAAATCCCTGGTACTTTTCCAATTTTTTATTTATACGCTGATTTCAAGTGATCCGTAAGGCAATGTCTCGATAAGCACTAAGACCATGAATTGTTGACATATTCGTAATAAGTTTGTTATATTAATAGATTATTGAAATGTGAACTGTAGTTTGATCGATAAGAAGTCAATAAATACTCTTCAAGATGAGTACACAGAAAATTTTCCATTCTTTCCGTTCCAATTTGTAGTCACTATGGAAAAATTAAAAGTTCATAGTGAAAAACTAGGAATCAGGTAATGAGTAATAACTTAATATACACAATTTCTGTTTAAACTGAAATAGGTGACAGAAAAGGCCAATTATGATTATGATTATGTATTATACTGACCGATTCCTCGCCGTTTCAAAGCAATTTTCAAACTTCATCCCAATAAAATGTTGTAAGAAACATAAGGAACTTTTTTATTTCACTTCTTTGAGAAATGACAATAATTAAAAGGATTCATTCAAAACACCACAGTCAAAAAATCTACTACTTTACCATTAATAAAAATAAAATTTCACTTTATGCAAAACATTTTGAGTTTTTTAATGAAATTTCTTTCTGTCGATAATGTTTTTATTTCTAAACTGGAATGTTCAACCAGGTTGAAACAATAAAAAATGTTGGTTTATCGAAAATGTAAAGCATTCCATGTGAGCTGGAAGAAGAGAAATATACAGGGTGTAACAAAAAGGTAGGTTATAAGTTGAACCAAAAATTCTGGGATTAAAAATAATTCGATTGGATATAGTTCAGTTTATTCAAATGTGCACACAAAAAAGTTACGGCCAAAATGATTTTTTTTCCGATATCTCATGAACTGTTGAACATTTTATGATGAAAATCGATTCATGACATTTTATCGTAAGAGCATATAAAACCACGAAATCTGTTAGTCAGCTCATAAAAATTTTAGGGGGGTATTGAACTCCAAAACCTCCCAAACTTTTGTATGAGTTACGATTCAATTTGTATTGTGACACCATTGGTTAATTACATCATTGTTGAAATTTTTCTGCTACTTAGCACTTTTTAGAAAAGCCAGTTTTTATCGAGATGCGGGCTCCTCTCTGAAATCCTTCAGTTGGCTGTTCAACATTGGTAGTTTCTAGGACTGAACAGCTAACTAAATAATTTTTAGAGTATAACAAAAAAACCGCATCTCGATAAAAAATGGCTTTTCGAAAAAGGGCTAGGTCGAAAAAATTTCAAAAATGATGTATTAAACTGATGGTGGGGTTCAATGCCCTCCTAAAAATTTTAAGATCTAATAAGATTTCATGGTTTTATATGAAAAAGATGATTTCACCATAAAAAAGCCATGGATTTATTTTTAGTTCATGAAATATCGAAAAGAATCAATTGTCATTTTATACTTTCCAAGGACTTTATTTGTGTCCACATTTGCTTTGAGAGAAGTAACATTCAGTCGGGTTATTTTTGACACCAGAGCATGTGGTTCAGTTTATGACCTACCTTTTAGTTGCACCCTGTATAATACAAGTCAAGTAACATATTTACAATAACGAATTCTTAGATAACTTCTTAGATAAATTCTTCTGAACGAATTCTTCTAATTCTAGTGCATAATCTGCATCAAATTTCTATAGAGATTTTTAATGTTGGCAAATCATTCTTCAATTCAGAAATTCAAAAAAATAACTGCTCTCAGATTTTCTGAATACGGTATAATTAAAGACCAACAATCTTGCTCTTACTCAAAAAAAACATTGAAATGTCCTTAGGCTTTCAGCAATGTTTTCTGTACAGAAAAACAATATTTTTTGTTCAAATTACAGGAATTAGAAAACGATTAGAAATCGGAGACCAAGTTATATGACAACCTGCATTACATTCTTTGATTTGGATCATGACTCATGGAATACCTGTATAATTGCAAGAATACTGTAGAAAAATCTTCAAGATACCGTCAGAACGGAGTCTGACACAGGAACGTCATTCTTCAAAAGGCGTAGTTCAAGGTGTATCGTGTTAAACTTATATATGAATGTGGTACTTAGATCCAATTCTTCCTTGGATTTTTGTGAAATTATGAGTAAACGAGCAATGAGAAACGATAATTTTACATTTGAACTTTGTTTTCAATATGAATTCCAGCGTTATTTACGTGATATACACACAAAATCTTCAACAGTTGAAAGAGTTGGTATTTTTGGTAATTTCCTTCTGCGTCTATTTTTCTCCTTTTTCCTCGTGTATATACTCCAAAAGGCTGTCGCTTCTGGAATATGATCCCTAGAGCTTTCTTTTTGACGCTATATTTGCAATCTTACCCCGACGTGTATATAGGGTCCGCTCCGGCCTCTGACCGGCGTGAATGGGGGTGAGTGTTATGTGATTCCACATTAGCACTCACAAGTGAACATCAAGTTCACTTCGGCCTCTAACCGGCGTGAATTATGGTGCTAGTTCTATTGAAGTACTTGTTGCCGGTGCCTTATATGCAACGTAATGCTTGCATGTTCAAAAACGACGGACAGCCACAACACAAATTGTGTTCCTACTTCAACAATGGTGTCCGTGGACGGTCGTTATCGGCATGTCTGTCCACCACCTGATGCTACATATTATGCGATGGTTATTTTATAGAATTTATCACTACAATCTCTTATGATTTATGTAAACATTTCAGGCGTCGCAAAAAGTTTATCGTATCCCCCTATCAAGATCTATCATCAAGATAACCTTCCTATTTTATCTTAAAGCAATGTGAGACGTTTTTGTGATTATTTTTCGCTGAATGTTTAAATAAACGATTCCATCTCATGAAAGTTATCTTATAGGTCATAGATTTATAATTTTTTATCATTAATGGCAATTAATTAAAATTAGGAGACCACACACTTTTCAATGTGGTATTCCATCACTTCGATTTCAAATGTTTGGTGAACCAAACACTATAAGGTACATTATAACGGCGGCAAAGTTATTTTGCATCCAATAAATCCACAATAATTGAGGAATTAGGTTATTCACATCCTTTTATTGTTTCTTAGGAGCTAATTGTGTTGGTGTTATAAATACCATTCAGGAAAAACAGGGAAGATAACGAAAGCTGCGCAATATTTGCTATCTCCATAATGATGACGGAAGAGAGCTGTTGTAATCATTCCAAAGTCTTTCACAAATAATTGCACAAGTTAAATTATGATATTTTTACAAATCATGTGTTGGAGGATTTAAATATTCACTTTATTATAATTGCTATATTATACCAATACTGAAGAAAAGAGAATTGAAACTTTTAAGAGGAAGATCAGTTTGATCTTCCTCACTTGGTGATCGAAACACGTCTCGAAATGGTAAAATAACGGTTTGGTGTTGAGAAAAAACTCCAGTAATATACATTTGAGGTGCCAAATTTTTTTTTTCTATAAAAACGGACCGGCAACTATCTCGGAAATCCATATTGAAGATTAGCCTTATGACGCGTTTCTGTGCTATAAATTCTCTAGAAAAATGTCTTGCCCTGCCCCAAACCACCAAGCTATACTATTTAAACTTATATGAGGATAGCAAAATATGCTCTATTTAGCTTGACCCATTTTTAATGGAAACACATCCCTAAAATTTGAAGTTGTAAATCGATTTTAATAATTTTTTTTCAAATGTCAAGTACTAAAAGGTCTACCTTGGGACAAAATTTGAAATGTTTATTAAAGTTTCAGGGCATACTACGATATTTTTTCTTAGTCGAGAATCGGGATTTTTTATTAGCGATTTTTTTATTGAAAAAATCACTACGCCACTGGATTCAGAGTGCCTCTAAATAGGTGTGACCAAAATTTTATGAAAAAATATTCATTATTAACAAAGTTATGACAACTCAAAAATTCGAAAACTCACACAGCTAACAGTCACAATATATCATTTTTTTATGATTTCAACAATAAAGTGCCGCCAGATAAAAAAAAAAAACAAATAGCGTAAATATTTTTAATGAAAATAAAGGAATTACATTCACACAATTCAACTAACAATGAAGCAAAAAAATGTAATAAACGTAACTAATAACTAATTATTGAAATGTTTCGATTCAGTGCAACAATTAATCCTAACTCATATTCTAGTAGCCTCTACTAATCCACCACGTATTTCGATACATGTGTCGTAGCGCTTACGAATGTTTCTGATTACGTTCCTTAGTTCTTGAGGGCTAATATCTGCACATACCTGTCGAATTCTTGCACAAAGTTCATTTCTATCTCTTGAGCGGTTTTTGTAAACCTTTTGTGTGAGAAGTCCCCAGAGAAAAAAGTCCAAAACTGTGAGGTCTGGAGATCTGGGTGGCCACTCTATAAACGGACTACCACGGCCTATCCATCGGTTTGGAAAATGTTCGTTAAGCCATTGCCTCACAGCTCTTATGCCTGCATGTCTCTCATTAAATACTCTACAAACCTCTCTAGCACTTCTAACGTCATCTCCCGAAAGACGTACAATTTCAATTTTCTCTCTTACGCTCAATCTTGCAGCCATGACACAAAATAATTCGAAGAACTGTAAGGTGAATATTGTTGACAATAGTACACTTAAATCTTTCACAAGTGTCAAACTGTAATATCATTTCCATGGCAACTAAGATTCAAATTGAAATATTAGGTCTTAGTTTTAGTTATTTTCATTAAAAATATTTACGCTATTTGTTTTTTTTTTCATCTGGCGGCACTTTATTGTTGAAATCATGAAAAAAAATGATATATTGTTACTGTTAGCTGTGTGAGTTTTCGAATTTTTGAGTTGTCATAACTTTGTTAATAATGAATATTTTTTCATGAAATTTTGGTCACACCTGTTTAGAGGCACTCTGAATCCAGTGGCGTGGTGATTTTTTCAATAAAAAAATCGCTAATAAAAAATCCCGATTTTCGACTAATAAAAAATATTGTAGTATGCCCTGAAACTTTGATAAACAATTCAAATGTTGTCCCAAGGTAGACCTTTTAGTACTTGACATTTAAAAAAAATATTGAAATCGATTTACAACTTCAAATTTTAGAGGGGTGTTTCCATTAAAAATGGAATAGTCCACTTGCTTATCCCAATTCAGATTGGCGTTTTGGAATGGACGACACTGTTAGTTTTTTCTGACTGATAGTTTTTGTTGAATCTAGTTGTCGCAGAACAAAAAGTAGATAGTTGACCACTGTCACTTCTTCACGAATTATTCTTCAGTTCACTGTTTTCCAACATGGTGTATTCTACTGAAGAAAGAATAGAACTTGTTGCAACCTATTATCGAAATAATGAATTTGCTGAAGCTGCTGCTAGAATTAATAATTAGAATCCAGACCACAACGTGAGCCATCAATACGTTAAACAAAAGATCTGCGACAGAGAATTGTTCGAGAATGTCGATTTCTGACTCGGGACATCTTCAGTAATGTAAGGACCGCTTTCGAAAGTAGACTGTATTATTGTATGGAACTAGATGGAGGTCATTTTGAACACTTTATCCGTTGATTGTGTTGACATTGATATTACTTTTGTTGATTTTCTCAATAAAATGAGCGACAGCGAATTTTCTGTTTTTTCGTAAATAAAACGTTCAACATTTGATATCTCAATAACGAATGAACCAATTTCGAAAAAAAAATACAGAAGTAATAAAGGGACAAAAGACCTTTCAAATGATCTATCACTCGACCCCTCATGCCATTGAAAAAATAGGGGGGCAGTTGCTGATCGCAGGGGAATGAAGTTACAGGTATGATTCTCACATCAGAATTAGTCCCCTTAGAAATAAAAATCGACGTGTTCTTCGAAATTTTTGATTACACCTCCGTTTCTGATTTACAGGAGGGGTCAAGTTTTTGTTGGATGGCTTTGTATAATTAGATCAACGACCATTTGGAATATTTCATCTGAAATGGAAGTTAACACTGATCGATTTTGAAGTATTTAGGATAAGCTTATTTTTTTGACACCAGGTACTGAACTGATCAATAATGTGTTCAGATTTGCTGATGAGTTGCTTATCATTATTGCCTGCTGTAGCTGTCGACGTATTGTCAGCAAACATTGTCACGTAGCATCCCTGTATACGTTGAGGAAGATCGTTGACACAGAGAAGAAACAGTAGAGGTCCTAGAACAGAGTCCTGTGGCATCCATTGCAGATTACAACCATTTTCCTGTTTGACATATAGGATTGTATCCAATTTACCATATTTCGTGGAAACCAGACCATTGACAGTTTGTTGATGAGAAATTTCGTGCACACTGTATCAAACCCTTTTGATAAGTCGAAGAATAGTGAGATCACTTAATTTTTGTCATCAATCTCTGTGTGTGTATATAATTCAGAAGGTAGTATTTTTCCTCAAAGGACAACTCAATAGGCCCACAATACTCGTCAGTGTCTCAAGCAGAAAACAACCAGGTTATGTGGACCTTGAGGCGATTTAAATATCAAACGATCTGTAGCAATCACTAAAGATAAAACTCCAAGACTCAGGATTGATTCGAACGCGGTTTGTTTCAATTCAATAACATTGAATCGTTATCGTTAACATTCATGTGAACTCTTCCTTCTAACAGATAACCGCCGATCGAGAGGTTATGTTTTGAATAAAATAATTTTCCACTGCTGATAGGTAGGTAACGGAGGGTTAACAGAGTATTAACTTGAGAAGCACGCGTTGAGCCGGTTTATTCGAATTTTGGAAGGTTCCTTCGCCGGTTCGTTCTCCGCCAATTGCCTATCAAAAGTCGGTGTCAAAGGTTAGCAATAAAGTTTGACGCAGTAGGATCTTCTATGAATAAGTTGTGTTACGCACTAGTTTTGAAGGTTTTCATGTGAATTTTATTGCCGGGCTTGATTTCTTCATATTATGGCAATGCTCTTGAGGACTAGAAGTAGAAAGGTTGCCCTAGGGCTTAGAGTAGTTTCTATAGTTTCCGTGACTCTAACTTATGTGCTAATTGGTGTTTTATCTAGAGGAAGACTTAATATTGGAACAGGTAAGATATTTTCAGTTTTGGGAATGCTACAATTCCGTTCAGTTCAATTTTTAATGTAATGCAGCATTTATTTTCCTGGAATTTTTATTAAATGATAATAACTTTTATTCTCCAGAAGGACAATACAAGCATTGTATAGAAGTGGTATATCTAAAATTAACATTAAGATTAAGGGAAGCAGTAAACATAACGTGACAACAATCATGCATATACAGGGTGTCCCATATAAAACGCCGCGAGCAAATATCTGAAAAATAAAAAAGAATATCAATATTTCGTGAAAGCAGATGATTTTGGTGTCAAAGGGTCCTCTTATTTACGTAGAGATCTAGCACTAGGCGTCATCCGTTAGGGCGTCGCGACACCGACGCCAATTTTTCTTGAAGGTAACCCAGTATTTTCAATTGATTTTTGAATTCTGCATTAAATTCTGAATTCAGCCATATAGCACACTTGTAGTTTTTCTTGAATACTGATGAAAAAAGGCAATTTCATTGCGTATTATAGAGAGAAGTAAAAGCAGCAGCAGCAGCAGCAGCAGTGTTTGAAACGCATAGTTTCGATAAAACTGATAACAATTTATACTATATCGAGTGGTCCAACGAAAAGTATGCACCTTGCTTTTCTCCTTTTTTTGTAACTTAACGCAAAAATGCTCGGACAGGTCGATTTTGCTTTCGAGGGGGACACATTTTAGAAGTATTTTTCTACCTGCGCCTTCAACTCCCTAGCGAGGGTGAGTAACAACCCTAAAATTTTAAATGGAAAGTGGGGTCGAGTGATATATCATTTGAACTGGCACAAAATTCTCTTTCCAATGATACCTAATTTGTTGTATTTACTTGAATAGTTATAAAAAACCAAGAATATTTACTCGATATTTTCGGTGTTGATGAAAATGCGGAAAAAACGGCATTTTTTTCACTACTACATTCCTCAATTTCTCTCGTGCGTTTTTTGGTTCAAATAACAACAGCAGATAAGTGTACAAAAAGAATTTAGGCAAACGTTCATTGAATCAGATTTGTTGCTTTTGAAATTATTTGAACTTTACTGTAAAAATGGTTAATTCCATTCCTTAATGAGTTGAAATTGTTAACCTTCATTATCAACATAATAGTTGTGCTAGACTTACTGCTCGCCTCTTTAATAACAGTCATCCCGGGAAAAATGTGAATAATTCGTACGTTGCAAAGTTAGTCCAAAAGTTTGTCGATACCGGATCTGTCTGTAATGTGAAACACCAGCCACGGAAACCGATCAGAAATGAAGCAGTGAAAGTCGCTGTTTTGGGACATGTTGAATTGGATCATACTCAAAGTACCCGTCAGCTTGCTGCAGCCTCAGGTGTCTCCCGTTCGTCCATAATACGGATATTAAAAGCCTATAAATTTCATCCGTACAAAATTAAATTAGTACACGAACTCAATGAAGATGATCCTGATAGAAGGCTGCAATTTTGTGAACAACTGAGCCAGCTACTAATTGATGTTCCGCACCTATCATTCAACACGTGCTTTTTCGATGAGAGTACATTTTTTTTGAATGGAGCTGTGAATAGGCATAATTACCGTTGCTGGGATGACAGTAACCCACACTTATTCCGAGAGGTCCATACCCAGTACCCTCAAAAAATCAATGTCTGGTGTGGCATATCAGGTAGTCATATCGTAGGGCCACTTTTTTCCTGGGAATTCAACTGGTGAGGTCTACCTGAACATGCTTGAAGATACAATTGATCCTCTCTCATAACAGAAATAATTGAAAATGACCAAAATCATAATGATGATCGGCTTCATTTCCAGCAAGATGGAGCACCTCCTCACTATGTTGCTCTGGTAAGAGAGTTTTTAGATGACCGGTTTCCTGGACGGTGGATTGGAAGGAGAGGCACCATCGAATGGCCTGCCAGGTCACCTGATTTATCGCCTTTAGACTTTTTCCTTTGGGGACACTTGGAAAGTAAATGTTTTGCTACGCAGCCCGAGTCCATAGAAGATCTTCGCCAACGAATTACAGCAGAGTGCAGAAGTATAACACCTGATATGCTACAGAATGTAAGGAATAGATTTGAACAAAATCTGTATTATTGTATGGAAGCAAATGGGTCACATTTTCAGCACTTGCTGAAGTAGGATTCTACTAAGTCAATTACACATTTCAAAGTACTGGGTTGTAGTTGTTTTTCTTCATAATACCTACATGTTTGAGTGAAATACAACAAATTAGGTATCATTGGAAAGATAATTTTGTGCCCTTTCAAATGATATATCACTCCACCCCACTTTCCATTTGAAATTTCAGGGTTGTTACTCACCCTCGCTAGGGGGTTGAAGCCACAGGTAGAAAAATACATCTAAAATGTGTCCCCCTCAAGAGCAAAATTGACCTGTCCGAGCATTTTTGCGTTAAGTTACAAAAAAAGGAGAAAAGCAAGGTGCATACTTTTCGTTGGACCACTCTGTATGTACCACTAATGATATCGTTTTGGTTGCGCAAAAGCAAAGAAGAGCAGACCTCGAAAGGTGATAATTTCTGTCGATCGTTCAAATCGAGGAGCACCCAATTTTTGATATTTGAATTTGCTTGAATCATGATTTGTCGGATCAGTTTATGCGAAATGGAAATTGATGAATTGGTACGTAAATCATCTAGAGATACTGGTTGAGTTTCATACTCTTCCGATGACCCACAAAAAGTTCGGACTTAAATCGGGTGACCTAGAGGACCACTCCATGGATTTTTTTCTACTGATCCATCTCCCATGAATGGTTTTATTGAAATTCTGTGCTAAAGATAATGAACAAGAGCCCATCTTGTTGAAATGACAACTTTTCTCATTGTTATATAGTCAATAGTTTAAACTATATATTTCAGTGAGGAAATAGTAGTATCTTGTAACAACTGGAGGTACATTTCGGTAGAAGAAAGGACAATACAGTTGCCCCTATTCTAGACTACACCTTTAGCTTGTCTATTGAACTTTTTATATCTTCATTGAATCCTTCTGTCTAAAAATATCGACGATTTAAGAATGCAAAGTATCAATTTAAAATCCTGATTAATATTACTGGAGTTATTTTTAACACCTCGACACGTGTTTTGATCACCAAGGAGGAAGATTAAAACTTTTAGTTTATGTGCTACAAAAATTTGTGATATACAGGGTGTACCATAAGAACGTTGAAATAGTCAAATCCGTATCCCTGAGACAATTTTGAAATAAAAGTTTTGTCCGGAAATATTTGTTCGGAATACAGGGTGTTCAAATTAATTTTTTGTTCGTTTTTTTTTAAATAACTTCTGCAAAAAATAAGTTATTCGCACGAAATTTGGTACCTGGGATTTTTTTGACGCGTGAAATCACAATTTCGTATTAATTTTCATGTAACATCTAGAGGGCGCTGCGTACGCTGTCATTATTTATTTCAAGTTATCCAACTTTTTTGACAGTGAACCATTGGTACTTTCCATGAAAAAACCTAATTTCCACACCTTTTCTGAGTAAAAAACGAACACTTACTCAACAACGCTGAAAGTGATTGTTTTCGAGATATTTACAATTTTCTATATCGATGCATATCACATAGCTTCTAGGATGCTACGTGAAGTTGCTGAGAACATTACAAAAACTAATTATGTGGTGGATCTCGAAAAAATAAATTTTATTTTCCTATAAAGTGTTTGATGAAAATAACTAAAATGGCAAAAAACCTATGACAAAAACCAACAATGTTTTGAAAAATTTCAACAATTCGTATCTCAAAAACGAATGATTTTTCGATAAATATTTTATAGAAATAAGTTGTTTATTTTGACGAGATCCACCACATACTTAGTTTTTGTAATGTTCTCAGCAACTTCACTTAGCGCCCTTGGAGCTAAGTAATATGCATCGATATAGAAAATTGTAAATATCTCGAAAACGAGAAAGTGTACCTTTTTTACTTGGAAAAGGTGTGAGAATCAGGTTTTTTCATGAAAAGTACCAAAAGTTTACTGTCAAAAAAGTTAGGGCAATTTGAATTGAATAATGGCAGAGTAGCAGGGCCCTCTAAAATCTATCCATATCCAAGATAGAGTAAAACAAAACAAAACCGAAGCGTGATGTTCGCGTGCTCGCCCAGTGTCAGATGGGAAGGGCAGCGTTCATTGGTGAATTCGTCTTCTTGGTACGAGTTTGGCATCAGCACAGGGTTGTAATCAGTCGTTTGCGTGTTTGTGTGGCGTGCGTTATAGTATATTGTTTAAAATTGTTTTCCAAGATGTTCAGTACAGACACTGCTGATGACACTGTGAGCTATCCTCTAAGTCCAGCCAGAAAACGATCCAAAAAAAGCCATTTGATTGTTGAGATGAAAGAAGTGATTTTAAATGTGTTCAAGAAAGAGATGGAAGAAATTGAGACATCGACTGTCGACGAAGTCGTATCGAAAGTTTCCGATAAAATCGGAGTGTGTTGCGTTTCGATTTACAATGTTTTACGGAAATTTAAACAAAATCATTCATTTTCCAAACCGAATACAAATCAGAATCGTCAAACCATTATAAAATCAATAGATGATGGTGATAAACACGCAATCAGGAGGAAAGTGCATGATATATTATATTACACATATTATCTGCATTTTTCCCGTTAAACTGCAAAACTTGTGCATTTCATTCGTTATTATAAAAAAGTTTTCCTAAGTATGATATAGCATTTGCGATCAACAAGATGTTGATTCTGAATACGACCCTGGCCAATTCTTGGGATTTTCAATATCACGTGCGTAGGGCATGTCAATGTTTACATCCACTCTATCTTGGATTTGAATTTGCTTTAGATGTTACATGAAAATTTATACGAAATTATAATTTCATACATCAAAAAACCCCGGGTATTGAATTTTGTGCAAATTCTTGATTTTTTGCAAAATTTATTTGAAAAAAACGAACAAAAAATTCAATTTTAACACCCTGTATCTCCAAAACGAAGCATTTTCGGACACAAGTTTATACAGACTTTTTTTCTTTAAATTCTCTCAGGAACACGTCATTTGACGTGTTCCTGAGAACAGACTGTACACCCTGCAACTTTCGAACAGTTCCAGACCTTTTCAAATTAATTTTCCTCGCGTTAATTTCTCATTTCGGCTTATTCTTGTCTCTTCTAACAAATGGTACATCCGAACAAAATGTGGGACGATGTGTTTGCTACTAGGAATGCAAATACATTTCGTTTCATCTTGCTCTATTCAAAGAATATATATTGTAAACCATATTTTTTGTTTATTTGTACAGCGCGTCGCTAGAACAAATATTGAACTGCCACCTATTCGTTTATCTGTAATAGCAGGGGAGCCCACGATGCAAAATGGAGATTTACTCGAGCGTCATTAAGACATATTAGGTTGCAAAGCTTAGATGATAAGAAGAATGAAATGTTATATAATATATACCTTTTCATCGGTGGGGAAAGCGGCTATAGATTTTTGAATATGTAAAGAAATACTGTTGCATGGACATACTCGAGCGCGTCAGATATTGATAGCATCAATGTCCTACGTATTTTTGATAATGTTGAAATGTTAATCTGATCGTTTGTTTGATGTGCGTGGTTGTACGTAAGGGTTAAAAATGAAAAGAAAAAAATTTAATCGAGCGCGTCAGATTTTCTAAGAGGGTGTTAAGTTCAACAAAAAAAGCTCTCATTCAATAATCTGACGATTTCGATCTGACGCAAACTCGCGGCCATTATTATAATGTGCAAAAAAATTCGCCATTATGAAATACTCAAGCGCGTCAGATTAAGATATACATGGTTCATCTTTATGTTTTAGACGTGCTGTTTCATAATCTGACGATTATCTAGAGGGATTCGCTTAATCTGACAAAAACAATTTTTTTAATTTTTTTTTTAATTCATTGCACTCAATCAATTGAAAAGCTCAGGAAATAGCATGCGAATAAGTAAGTGTATGTTTTTTAAGTAGAATACTTGTATTTATAAAAAAAAAAATGCTCAAATGATTTAATTTTTTTATAATCAATTGATTAATTGATGAAGAAAAGACAAATGAAACTTTCTTTGTTTTTTACCACTTTGATTTGTAAGTAACGTTACTGCAGTTTCGTTCTATAGGGACATTTTCAAACTTATACAATATATAAGTTTGAAAATGTCCTCTTTTCTTCATTATGATTTCCTACCACGTAATAACGGCTACATCCATCAATTAATTGATTAATTGATCATCATCTTCACCTTTTTAACGAACGAGTCTCTGTGATCAGCTGTGATAGCGTCATGGCAACAGAATTCAGAGTGGGGACGGAGTGAGAGAGTAATAGATAGAGAAAAAGTGAATAGAGAATAGAGGAATAGAAACTCGGAGAGGGAAATATAGGTATCACACAGCTTTATCGACGAATTTTTGTTATTTTGGCTTGCGGAAATCGTCAGATTATATATTTTTCGTTATCCTTGAATTATTTCCTTCAAAATAGAAATAAAATTAGCTATGCTCGAGAATTTCGAAATGACGTTATTTTTTTTACAACTTTGCTGCCCTCCCATTTCTCTACGTCACTCTCAAATTGTCAGATTACTGGAATATACACTTTTTAGCAGGTAATTAACTCACCCTACCTTAATCTGACGCGCTCGGGAATTTCTGATGATCAATTTTTTTTTACTAATCTGGTCCTTTATCCTTCACAGGCGGCCTTATATATGGGGCTCATATTTGGTGGAGGTACTTAACCGAGTACAAGGTATCCCCCTGTATATTAATCTGCCGCGCTTTAGTAAATCCCGAAATCCCCGCTTGTGCTTCCCTATTATAACACGTATCGGGATGTTGGAGAAACTTCACGAATTGTTGTCAAACAAATTGAATTTTGTCGGGTTGCATATCTATTTTATAATGATGTATAATCGACTATCTATTGAGGTTGAGGACTAAAACTGGGGAGTTTGGGTGATACTAGAAGTCAAGATAGACGATAATATTACACAAATACCTGACTTTATTGTTCTTCAAGTTTACTCAGGAGAAATTGATACTTTGTCTGAAATTCAGCCTTGAACTATATATGAAAAAAATTAACTACAAAGAGGTTTTTTTTCTTGAAAACAATCTAATAATTAAGGTTATACTTCTGGGTCCAATTCACTACAATAAATTTCGGACTACAAAGTTCTAGAACTCAACCTAGTCCGGAATCTGTGAAATTTTGTGAATTTTACTTTTTCGGACTTCCATTGTCTAATATGATATAAACGGATTTGAAGTCTCTAAAAGAATAAAATCAAAAATTGAAATGAGTATATTGAGCAATAAACCGTGAAATGGAATCACAATGAAATAAAAATCAGCAGTAAATAAAAAATTTGAAAATGAAACAATTGAAAACGAAATGAAATTGAAAAGATTTAAAATTAAGTTACTTCACGACGTTGGTATTCACAATCCTTTTCGGGTGATGACTGGACTATTTCTCCGAGAGATGACTATTTATAGGTCGTTCGAGTGCTTTCACTTATCCCCGCCTTTCATTTTCCGCTTCGCCGGTTTAGTGGAAGATGACTGCTTTTCCGCTTGATTTAAGGTTTCCATTTGTTGCGTATCTCAACGATAACTTGGCTGAATGCGTGGTTGGACAACATATATGCAGCTTCTCTGAACTTCTTCTTAAACCAGTGTTCCTCCCTGTGGATGATCTCAGCTTGGTACCACTTGATGTTATGTTGATGAGTCCAAACATGATCTGCTTTTCCCTATTTGCTGGTTACTCCTCGCTGTGTGTTTCTCATATGCTTTCAATGGCCTCTTAGTTTCACCGATATAGGATTCGCCGCACTCACAGGATATCTGATAGATTCAATTCTTGGAATCGAAGTTTTCGTTTTGTAGCCTGGTTTTCGTGGGGCAGCTACGGATGGTGTTTCCGATACTAAAGCAGGTTCTGATGTTGTACTTGGACTCAATTTTTATCATCCTTTCCGACAACTTTCTGACGTAAGAAAGGACTAGCACTGATTATGACGACTCCTATTCCAAAATCTGTTTCACAGTCACAGTAACCATTCAGTTCGAAATAATTTTTGATGATGTCAAGTTCCTTCTCGAGACCTTCCTTCGTATAACAGAGCGCGAAAGTCCGTTCCAGTAGGGTCTTTAGGATTTCTCTTTCGGTAGAATGATGGTGGTTGAATTTGTGATTCAGATACTGTCCAGTGTGAGTCCAGTGTTCCTGGATCTGAAGCAGGTTCTGATGTTGTACTTGGACCCAATTCTTCTTATCCTCTCCGATAATCCTCTGAAGTACGGAAGTGCAAGCACTGGTTGTGATGGCTTCCTTTCCTTGCGAGGCTAATATAGTCGGTCTAATAGAGTCTTGATGACTCCTCTTTTAGTAGATTAATGGTGGTTGGATTTCTGGTTCAGATACTGTCCCGTGTGAGTGGGTAAATCTACTGATGTTTCCCACTTAGTCGGTCCTCTTCACCAATACGTCTGAGTTTGGCAATTCATTGTGGATTTCCTCATTCATTGTGGAGGTGATGGCTTCAGGCTGATAATGTGCGTCAGAGTCCAGTTTTGTATTCCTATGGTTCCATACTATGAAGATGTCCTCACACAAAATCATTTTTCATCCATTCTCTTCAAACTAACAGAAATTGCTACACTTAATATGTTGTATCTCACAAACAAATAGTCCTACAGCTGTAAAATGTATACACATGTCTTTTGAAGGTTAGGACTAGTTAATAAAGTCAAGACTAGTATTTGTTCGCCTACACTAACATTTCAGGGCACCTAATATTATTTCTGAATGGAAATTTCTCCCATAATGTTATTTTCATTTTGTAGATGATAGTCATCATGCATTCTCAACTGGTCGTCATCTTTTGGCGGTGAAAAACTTCACGAACACTACGAGAACCTGCAATCCACCAGCAATAAACGAATTTCCACCTGATGGATTCACGAGGGAAGATCGTCAAAACGGATGGGCCGTCATACACGCCTTATTGGCTTGCTATTGTTTTGTCCTGCTGGCAATAGTGTGCGATGACTACTTCGTTCCAGCAATAAAGAAAATCTGTGATAGTGAGTATCATTAACCGAACTATTTTTTCTGTAATTTTCAACTACCGAGGTCAACTATGGATTTTTATTGGTAGCTTTGATTCTGATAAGTAGATTTGGGAAGCTGAATACACTTATTGAATGAATTTATCGAAGAGGTTTTTGTATGAGAGTGTATAATTATAAAATTATTGCAAAGCGCTTTCGACTTTCGTAATCATCAGTACTCACCTGGAAGTAAGTGATCTGATTGAAAAGAAAGTTCTGTGAAAATTAAAATTTGAAAAAAAATTTGAGGTTATGAAATGTAGGAAAATTGTTTATGATTACTTACTTGCCAGGCAACAGGAAGTATCAAAACGAGTACATGGCACATTTGTAAAATTTGATTTATAATAAAACAAAACAGGCTGATGGCAAAGAAAATACAATACATGGTTCAGTCAAAGTATGAAAGAAGAGCAACTTGAGAGGATGTGTCAAGTGTCATGTTGAAAACAATGGTACCAACTTGAGGAGTGATCCATTTATAGATATGATTTTTTAATTAACAATTAATTCACCATTGGTACCACTGTTGAGTCAGCATTTTTGTTACAGGTTTAAATATGAAGCCAGACATAGCCGGTGCCACTTTTATGGCCACTGCAAGTTCTAGCCCAGAGTTGTTCATCAATTGCGTTGGTACTTTCGTTACGGAGGGGGACTTGGGGGTTGGTACCGTTGTCGGATCAGCAGTATTCAATATTCTAGCAGTACCTGCGTGTTGTGGCCTTTTTGCGAATATGGTAAGTACTAATTTTACACCCTACTAATGTTTGCGAATCACAGGCAATAATCGCTTCATTTAAAAATAAATCGGCATTTGGTAACAACGAATTATCCATGAAAATCTTTGATAGACTTCCTGCTACTGCTCTAAACGCTTTTGCGAAGGTAATCAATCATTCATTACTAACGGGTTCATTTCCCTCGTTCTTAAAAACTTCGATCGTAATCCCTCTTTACAAAGGTGGTGATCTAGAGAATCCTCGGAACTATCGCCCAATTTCTCTTAGTCCGTCGTTAGCAAAAATCATTGAAAAACTTGTAAAAATACGTTTAACAGAACATTTGAACTTCGGTGATATAATAAGCTCCAAGCAATTTGGATTCCAGTCAAACAAAAATTCTCATGATGCCATATTTTCATTTTTATATGAAGTGTATAGTAACATTAATAGACGGGAGATTACAGCAGCAGTCTTTTGCGACTTTTCTAAAGCAGTTGACTGTGTTATTCACGAAATTCTGCTCAGGAAACTTTATCTCTATGGTATTGAAGGTATTATTCATAAATGGTTTGCTTCTTATCTATCGGATAGAAGTCAAACGATTAAATATACAACAGTATCTGATGTCTCTAACATATCTAACGGAGTACCACAAGGATCAGTACTGGGACCTACCCTATTTCTACTCAATATTAATGACTTGACTATTGAGGATAAATTTACTTCATTCGCCGACGATACTACAATATTATGGCGCAATGCCAACACAAATGATCTATATAATGCCATTTGCTCTGATATTTCCAAACTTTCAGATTGGTGTAAGGCAAATTTATTAGCTTTCAATGTCTCAAAAACTAAAGTTTTGGCCTTTAATTTCATTCTCGATAATATTCCTCCAGCTTCGAATTCGAATGTGATTGAGAACACGTCATGCAACAAATTTCTTTGGTTATTAATTGATAATAAATTGAAATTTGAGGACCACATAATATCTCTCAATAAAAAAATTTCATCTGGATGTTATGCTGTGAAAATAACTTTAACGAACTAGGACTAACTGCAGATAAAACTGTCTATTATTCATTACTAGAATCACATCTAAGATATGGGATACCTTTCTGGGGGGTAAGTAATCAAATTCGACTCGAGTCGATTTTTATGCTGCAGAAAAGGTCATTAGGATTTCTCTGTAGAGCCAGGCGGCGAGATTCTTGTAGGCCTTTGTTTGTAGCAAACAAAATTTTATCACTGTATGCTCTATTCATTTTAGAAACAGTTTGTTTAGTGCATAAACATAGTACAGAACTTCCCTCTATTGTCTCTCATTACACCACACGCCAGATTCTAAATTTAAGTCTTCCCATACCTAACACTACTTTAATTAAAAATTGTATATTGTATAATGGTCTCAAGATGTATAATTATCTTCCAAACTACCTAAAATGCGTAGTAATCTGTACTGAATTTTGAAAATCTACAAAGAATTTTCTTAGCGAGAGGCCCTATTATAGTTTGTAAGAATTTTATGACGATGCCTTTTAATCATATTTTATACACATTTCTCTCAATACATAATTTTTTTTCAATTATTTTCCTCCTTCTTCTCTACTCAGTTTGTATTTCAAACATTCGTTGTGGAAAAAAATTCAGATATCATTCACATGAGTTCTACTTTAAATGAATGGTAACAAATTGCACTTACATGGAACACTGTCATCCTCACTGGTAGACATCGATGTTTTGCCCTAAGACACTTGCCCTAAGGCTCTTCAGTACCAAATTGGATAACATTATAGAAAATACACACACTTCATTCATGAATTACGATTTTTAATGTCACGGAATAAGCTTGAGCTGCTTATGTCATCGATGACATCGTAATGACAATCATTCACCTATTTGATTTAATCCCAGCCAAGAGGAATCTTATTTGAAATTAAGGGGTTATATTTTTAGGAGTGATTAATTTTTGGGAAAGAAAGTTTTCTACTACTCCATCTTGATACAAAAAAAAGGATGAGGGAATCTTCCAAAGAAAGGAAGGAAGTAAATATCTTACAATAAAGTATTAGTAGGAAACGATATTAACTGCTGTCAACGTTACTTTTTTTCCATAGTGTTTTTTATGTTCGAAACTATGTCATACGGAATTATATCACTACAACAACAATCTGTCGGAAATTGTTTATGGGGAAAACAGAATGAGCGAAGCTGATTTTCGTCATGGTTTATTCTTCTCTGAAAATGCAATTCGTCGCCTATCTGATCAATTTGGAAACGCGTTCATGAGTTTTTCGCAGTTTTTCGCTGCGCTCTGACACAATATCGAGTTTTTCACGACGCCAATCGGTGAACATTTGCCTCGTGGAATGGAAATACCGTTAAACTGAATATTTGACTAATGTACGATCTGCCTCTCAACACATTTACATGCAGGGATCGTAAATATCTTGCGGAATATTCACACATGTATCCAATTTATTTTCTGCTGATGCTGATTTCCAAAACAATTCTGGTAATGTAGACTGAATCCCGAAATTTGAGAGAGTTTTTTTTATATCTTTGTGGAGACATACCTTCATACTACAAAATTTTATCAGGGCACTTTGATTGTCCTGAAATCAATTCTCACACTTATATCATTGTACTCGTATGTTCCAAATAGAGCGACAATGTACAAACACTTATTGTATCCCATTCAACAAAATATGGTCACTATTCATTAATTCCATGTAGTTTATAAAATTGTTTTTTCACAAAGAATCTGAATTGATTCAAAACCACTCAACCCAGTCATTTAATTATTGTATAAATTATGCTTTGTGATATCGGTTTTAATGCATCGCAAACTGAATTGGGGTTTTCTCGTTTGTAAATAAATAGTATAGTGACATCAAGCAGTCATAATTCTTCCATTTTAATAAGTTAAAAACGCCAGTCTGTGATTTTAATTTGATAAAATGATTTTACGGCTTTCATAAATGAAATTCTTTCGCAGGTCTTGGAAGTAGATTGGTGGCCAATTAGTCGTGATAGCTTGATGTATGGAATCTCAGTGATTTCCTTGATTGCAGTATTACAAGACGGGAGGATTTACTTCCACGAAGCTTTAACATTAGTTCTACTTTACTCGTTATATATATTCTGTAAGTATCTATCATTAGAACATATCTACTTTGAAAATTTCGAAGAATATGGCACACAGCTTTCTTATGTCCGAATTTTCGGATAATATACGATGTACCGCACTTTTTGAAATGCCTACTGAGTCTGCTCTGCAGTTGATTATCATTCAATACCACTTTTTAGATTTTCTTTACCGTTTCCCGAGTCGTCGCCTCATTTGGTTGACCACTGCGATGTTCATCTTAGCAGCTCGTACTGCCTACTAAGTATGCTAGCTGTTAGTCTACTAGCTTGCTAGCCAACTAGCCTACTATATCTGCTAGTTCGCGCACTTTCAGTCGATGATCATTCAGTACCGCTTTGTGGATGTTTTTCACCGCTTCTGAATTCGTCACCTCATTTAGTCGACCACTGCGATGCTCGTCTTAGCAGCACGTATGGCCTACTAAGTCTGCTAACATACTAGCCCGCTAGTCCGCTAGCCTACTAAATCTGCTAGCTCGCGTACTTTCAGTCAGTAATCATTCAGTACCGCTTTCAGGATTTCCTTCAACGTTTCTGAAGTCGTCACCTCGTTTAGTCGACCTCTGCGATGCTCGTCTTAGCAGCTCGTACGGCCTACTGAGTCTGCTAGCTGCTAGCCTAGTATCCTGCTAACATACCAGCCTGCTAGCCCACTAGCTTACTAAGTCTGCTAGCTCGCGTACTTTCAATCAGTGATCATTCAGTACCGCTTTGTGGATTTCCTTCACCGTTTCCGAAGTCGTCACCTCATTTAGTCGATCACTGCAATGCTCGTCTTAGCAGCACGTACGGTCTACTAAGTCTGCTAGCTTCTAGCCTACTATCCTGCTAGCCTGCTAACCTACTAGCCTGCTAGCCCACTAGCTTACTAAGTCTGCTAGATCGCGTACTTTCAATCAGTGATCATTCAGTATCGCTTTGTGGATTTCCTTCACCATTTCTGAAGTCGTCACCTTGTTTAGTCGACCTCTGCGATGCTCGTCTTAGCAGCTCATACGGCCTACTGAGTCTGCTAGCTGCTAGCCTAGTACCCTGCTAACATACTAGCCTGCTAGCCCACTAGCTTACTAAGTCTGCTAGCTCGCGTACTTTCAATCAGTGATCATTCAGTACCGCTTTGTGGATTTCCTTCACCGTTTCTGAAGTCGTCACCTTATTTAGTCGACCACTGCGGTGCTCGTCTTATCAGCACGTACGGCCTACTAAGTCTGCTAGCTTCTAGCCTACTACCCTGCTAACCTACTAGCCTGCTACCCCACTAGCTTACTAAGTCTGCTAGATCGCGTACTTTCAGTCAGTGATCATTCAGTACCGCATTGTAGATTTCCTTCACCGTTTCTAGAGACGTTACCTCATCTAGTCGACCACTGCGATTCATGTCTTAGCAGTTCGTACGGCCTACTAAGTCTGCTAGCTTTTAGCCTAGTAGCCTGCTAACCTGCTAGCCCACTAGCTTACTGAGTCTGCAAGCTAGCGTACTTTCAGTCGACAATCATTTAGTGTGCCGCTTTGTAGATTCTCTTCACCGTTTCTGGAGTCGTCACCTCATTCAGTCAACCACTGCGATGCTCGTCTTAGCAACTCGTACGGCCTACTAAGTCTGATACCTGCTATCCCTATATCCTGCTTACCCACTAGCCTGCTAGCCCACTAGCTTACCAAGTCAGTCAGTGATTACTCAGTACCGCTTTGTGGATTTTCGTCACCTCATTAAGTCGACCACTGCGATTCTAGTCTTAGCAGTTCGTATGGCCTACTAAGTCTGCTATCTTCTAGCCTACTATCCTGCTAGCCTGCTAACCTACTAAGTCCGTTAGCTGCTAGCCTACTAACATGCTATCCCGCTAACCTACTAGCCTGATAGCCTACTAAGTCTGCTAGCTCGCGCACTTTCAGTCAGTGATCATTCAGTACCATTTTGTGGATTTTCTTCACCGTTTCTGAAGTCGTCACCTTATTGAGTCGACCACTGCGATGCTCGTCTTAGCAGCTTGTACGGCCCACTAAGTCTGCTAGCTGCTATCCTACTAGCCTGCTAGCCCGCTAATCTACTAGCCTACTAAGTCTGTTAGCTGCTAGTCTACTAACTTGCTAGCCCGCTAACCTACTGGCCTGCTAGCCTACCACTTTCAGTCAGTGATCATTCAGTACCATTTTGTGGATTTTCTTCACCGTTTCTGAAGTCGTCCTTCATTAGGTCGACCACTGCGATGCTCGTCTTAGCAGCTCGTACAGCCTACTAAGTCTGCTAGCTGCTATCCTACTAACCTGCTAGCCCGCTAACCTTCTAGCCTACTAAGTCTCCTAGCTGCTAGCCTAGTAACCTGCTAGCCTGCTAACCTACTAGCCTACTAAGTCTGTTAGTTGCTAGTCTACTAACCTGCTAGCCCGCTAACCTACTAGCCTACCAAGTCTGCCAGCTCGCGCACTTTCAGTCAGTGATCATTCATTTTGTGGATTTTCTTCACCGTTTCTGAAGTCGTCACCTCATTAAGTCGGCCACTGCGATGCTCGTCTTAGCAGCTCGTACGGCCTACTAAGTCTGCTAGCTGCTATCCTACTAGCCTGCTAGCCCGCTAACCTACTAAGTCTGTTAGCTGCTAGCCTACTAACCTGCTAGCCCGCTAACCTACTAGCCTACTGAGTCTGCTAGCTCGCGCACTTTCAGTCAGTGATCATTCAGTACCATTTTGTGGATTTTCTTCACCGGTTCTGGAGTCGTCATCTCATTTGGTCATTTGGTATTATAACGTCACATAACCTGATGTTCACATAACGTAGTTTAATCAGAAAGGGATGATAGGCTGTGAGAGTTGGGCTGCCAAATACTGAGGAATAATCAAAAATTTGAATGAGTCAAAACGTTAAATCAGAGTCAATCCGAATACTATGGAAATATCAAGCGTCGCAGATGTGCTGAATGATGCTCTCGTAATCTTTAAGAGATGGTCGCTTAAGATGTTCAGTCATTGGATATGCTCAGTTCTATTTCATTTCACACTCCTCCCATAACTATCCATATCAATGATCAATGGAAGTGACAGATTTTGATTATTCCTTATATTTTGTCTGAGTTTTTTTCATTTGAAACGCTCACTATGAAAATGAACACGCCATAGAGATACTAATGACTGCACACAGCAACTGATGATTGATTAAATAAGCCCAATATAAAACCTAAAAACTAAGTATTGTCTCTCTTTGCTTCAAACTGCGAATTGTCTGCTTTTTATTCTAGTGCGCCTTACATTCTTTGACGACGAAGTTCCCTAGGAGTTCATCAATATCTGTCTGTTTTTTGCTACAGTTTCATTAGGTTTCGAGTAAACGACACACAAGAATTCAAGAAGTCGCTGCATGATACAGGAGTAGAAAATTAGTTCGAGTGACCTAGGAGTTCGATGGAATAGATTTTTTATAAAAAGTTCGAGAAGTTGTTGAGAAAATTCAAGATCTTGAGTAAATTGATGCACAGATCTTGTTCTAGGATTGGTAATTCGCAAATTGAGAGGTCTTATGATTTTTCGTATCTGAGTCGTATTTTTTTGTGTGAACTTTATGAATTTTTTCGGGAAAGAAAGGATGTGGTTTTCTACTTTTCCATTACACAATTTTGTAAAGGATTTCAATTGAAGTTTTTTCGTTCTCCGGAATTGAATTCAGTGACATTCATTCTCATGTTACTTTTCAACTTCTTCAAATATTAATTGAGTTCATGGAATTTGAAAAACATTTTCATGAAATACGCGGAGCTTGTGTCATGGCCAATTGAGATAACATTTGATTGATGACCATTTGTGAATATATTATTGTCGTTCTATACTTTTTGTCGTCATCATCGAATTTCAATGAATATTGATTTCGGAAATTGCCGTAATACTGGATGATAAATATATCCATCGATTCAAATTGTCCTGAGCCACTGTCACAATTTTAATGGAAATTTTGTGAAATATGTAATACTATCGCATAGAAGAATAAATCTAAAACTTTTCCCAACCACCAGAACTTCAATACTCCTTTCTACGAGCGTTTCACAAACTAAGTTGGCATCTTCAGGAGTTTTCTGTTATTTGGAAGAAGTGCTCGGTCTGGAACCCAATTTCAATTCTGAAGAAAAATTGGTTCCAAGTACAACATCAGAACCTGCTTCAGATCCGGTAACACTATCCGTAGCAGCCTCACGAAAACCAGGCCACCAAAAGCGGACTGCGATTGCAAGAATTGCATTTACCGGATACCCTGTGAGTGCGGAAAATCCTATATTGGTGAAACTAAGAGGCCATTGAATGTTCGCATTGCCGAGCACAAGAAACACACACAGCGAGGGGAAACCAGCAAATCAGGAATAGCAGACCATGTTTGAACCCATCAACACAACATCGAGTGGTCCCAAGCTGAGATCTTGCACAGAGAGGAACATTGGTTTAGGAGAAAATTCAAGGAAGCCGCGTACATGTTCTACAACAACGTATTCAGCCAAGCTAGCGTAAAGATACGCAACATCATCAAGCGAAAAATGGCCAACTCCCGCCAAACGGTCATCTCCCACGGAACCAGTGAAGCGGAAAATGGAAAGCGGGGATAAGTGAAAGTACTCGAACGACATATCAGTCCAGTCATCATCCGAAGACGATTGTAGATACTAATAGTCGAAACGTCGGGAACTAACATGGCTTGGAATCTCTAAACTTTTTATTTTAATTTTTATTTCTTTATTTTTTGTTCAATCATTCTATTTTTACTTGTATTTTATTTCACTATCATTTCATTTTTAGGTTATTTCTGCTTGAAATAATTGTTATTTTCAGCTATTGATTTTTAATTTTTTTTTTAGTTGTTTCAGGGATTTCAAATCATTTTATATATTAGACAATGGAAGTCTGAACTGGTGAAATCCTTCAATTTTGAACCTTACTAATTTTTTCATTTCATTTCAGTGATGTGTTTCAACAATAAACTGAATCGAACCGCCAGTAAATGCGTTGCTAAATTCAAAAAGAGGAATTACTACGTTGAAGTCTTGAGTGAAACCCATCCTTTATTGTTTCATAAGAATGGGAAATACGAGGCAGTACAAGAAATTCTGGAAAATGATCTCACACTAGAGGATTGCGAAAAATTAGGTAATAAGCTAGGACATTTCGTGTGTATACATATCTGAATATTGACGAATATATACAGGAAAAAAATGTATATACCCATACATATAAACGTGTATAGTATACATATATACACATATTAGGTAATATGCTCATACATTTCGTTTGTATACATATCTGAATATTGACGAATATATACAGGAAAAAATGTATATACCCAAACATATAAACGTATATAGTATAGATATTGTATACACATATACAGGGTACAGCTCGATAAATGTTGATTAGCCGCATTTTGGAAAATAATAGGATTCATATTCTGAAAATTGGCAAATGAAGGTTATTCAATATGCTCCATTGACTGAAAATAATGATTACTTTTCAACATTTCCGGTTATACCGAAATACCGAATAGCTAGTTTAATTTTTCCAATTTTTACTATGAATCTATTATTTCCCAAAATACGGCTAAACGACGTACATCGAGCTGTACCCTGTAAACATATAAAACACACATATAAGCATGCCTATGTAATATTTTCTGAAGGTAGAGAAAAATACATTCCAAAACATCAACAATTTTGAATAAAAAAAATACTCATACGATATGACGTAATATATATCAGAATCTCATATTTTCTCTCGAAAAATCATATTTATGTTTAGTATGTTGTCTTCACAAGGAATGCTTTCAAATATTTGTCCTGGTAGATGGCACAGCAAGTTTCAAAGATGACCAAACTCGACCAAATAAACCCAGCTACTTAACGAAGTCGATTTGTTTGTATGGTGAGTGGTCTATCAGGTCAGGTGGCTCTTCTTCATTTGGCGCTGCAAAACTTCAAAAACCTGATTCGGTCCCCAGCGGGGCAGGCACAAAGTATGTGCTCTGCTGTTTCATCATCATTTTGAAACTGCTTGCAGCACAAGATAAATAGGAAAACAACAGTTGAAATTTCATATTTGATACGAGTATATGGTGCCTATCAGCTCTTTTTGCAATACAAATTCTGAATAAATGAGCTGTTTGCAGCATATAACCCAAGGTACTAATTCATGTTTCAGGTGAGAATTAATCATGGAGTAATACACTTTTTTGGATGCTGGATATTCCAGCTCGTTTGAATCCATTCGAAGGTCATAATACCAGAGAATAGTTTTCTATTTATAATAATTCATTCACGTGTTCCTCAAATTTGAGGTCTCTGTCTATGTTTATTTAAACAATTGGTACTGGTTTTGTTTTCTACTGCATCATTTCTCAGCATCAGTTCCAGAATCGTGCACTAGAAGGATAGAACTTTGTATTCTTTTTATTGAAAAGCAAAACATTAGGATCGAACCATATTTTCATTCTATTCAGATCAGATGCAGTTAGAGGTCTCTCTCATTTTCATTTGTACTGTGTGAGAAAGTTTGGAGAAAAAATGCAAAAACTGTAGAGTTTTATTTCGATCACCACCTTATTTTTTTTAAATCGTGACTTACGTCAATCAGAGTCCTGATACTGACTTATTTTACATTCAATAATTGATAAATTTGAATTTATCGAAGGAAACAATCTTTTTTATCGAGTTATCACACGACTTCATCTGACATGATCGATTTACTTAATTTTCTAAGGTAGATTTTCAAAAACATATATTTCTTCACCAAACACGATTTTGTTTTATTTAACCAATATATTAATATTCTCATCGCAATTTCCAGAAGAGTCAACCAAAATCTGGGAATGGCCAAAGGAGCAGACAACAAAAGGGAAATTCTGGTGGGTAATCACCTGGCCGATATCCTTTATCCTTTATTTGTCCATACCGGATTGTCGAAAATTCCCGAAATTATTCATTGCGACCTTCATGATGTGCATTTTCTGGATAGGATCCACTTCCTACATGGTAGCTTGGTTGATAACAGTCATAGGTGAGTTGACCCCAAATATTTTGGAAGTTGAGGTTGAGTGGAAGAACAACTCAGTAGCACTTGTGCTAAAGTGAGTTGAACTTCGCCTTTTGATATGTCAGCAACTAGCTCTCTAATTTTTTAAAATATTTGTATGTAACTACAGCTGGGTAACAATAAAGACGATTATTATTATTATTATTATATAATAATAATGATTCTCTTCATTCTTGTCAACAAAAAAGGCGTATGTAATGAGATGGATCGGAATAGAGACACTGATAATTTTTGTCAATAATCACAAATTGGAATATAGCGAAAAAATGAAATGTTTGGGGTTGACAATAGATTGAAAATTGAGGTTCATTAGCCATATCAATTATTTTATTCCGAAGTCATATGGTTCACTATAGCCTCACAGTCATTACCCGACTAAATATCTGATGATTCAACTTTGTGATGCACCAATTTTATCAATTTTCGTATTCTAAAAACAATTAATTGTGAGATTTTCACTAGATAGTTTTACAAAAACGCAATATGTGTTTTCCCATACAATGGCAATGGCAATGAGTTCTACTTTAAATTAATGGTAACAAATTGCACTTACATGGAACACTGTCATCCTCACTGGTATACATCGATGTTTCGCCTTAAGACACTTGCCCTAAGGCTTTTCAGTACCAAATTGGATAACATTATAGAAAATACACACACTTCATTCATGAATTACGATTTTGAATGTCACGGAATAAGCTTGATCTGTGGTAACAAATTGCACTTACATGGAACACTGTCATCCTCACTGGTATACACCGATGTTTCACCTTGAGACACTTGCCCTAAGGCTCTTCAGTACCAAATTGGATAACATTATAGAAAATACACACACTTCTTTCATGAATTACGATTTTTAATGTCACGGAATAAGCTTGATCTGCTTATGTCATCGATGATATCGTAATGACATTCATTCACCTATTTGATTTAATACCAGCCAAGAGGAATTTTATTTGAAATGAAGGGGTTATATTTTTAGGAGTGATTAATTTTTGGGAAATGAAGTTTTTGGCTTTCTACTACTCCATCTTGATACAAAAAAAAGGATGAGGGAATTTTTCCAAAAAAAAGGAAGGAAGTAATCAATTTGAAAATAAGTACCTAACTCTATACATGGATGTGTAGATCATGCAAAGAAGTAACTTTCAGACACAAACTGAAAGAAAGTCGTCCTGAAACAGCTACTTTCATATAAACATTGAATTACATGAAAGAAAAAACATCTTTCAAAACAAATACTTCTATATGAAGTATACTTTTCTCTACTCAGTTTGTATTTCAAACATTCGTTGTGGAATAAAAATCAGATATCATTCACATGAGTTCTACTTTAAATGAACGGTAAAAAATTGCACTTACATGGAACACTGTCATCCTCACTGGTATACACCGATGTTTCACCTTGAGACACTTGCCCTAAGGCTCTTCAGTACCAAATTGGATAACATTATAGAAAATAATCGTAATGACATTCATTCACCTATTTGATTTAATACCAGCCAAGAGGAATCTTATTTGAAATGAAGGGGTTATATTTTTAGGAGTGATTAATTTTTGGGAAATGAAGTTTTTGGCTTTCTACTACTCCATCTTGATACAAAAAAAAGGATGAGGGAATTTTTCCAAAAAAAAGGAAGGAAGTAATCAATTTGAAAATAAGTACCTAACTCTATACATGGATGTGTAGATCATGCAAAGAAGTAACTTTCAGACACAAACTGAAAGAAAGTCGTCCTGAAACAGCTACTTTCATATAAACATTGAATAACATGAAAGAAAAAAAATTCTTTCGAAACAAATACTTCTATATGACCACTGAATTGTACAGAAGATACTTTTCTCTACTCAGTTTGTATTTCAAACATTCGTTGTGGAATAAAAATCAGATATCATTCACATGAGTTCTACTTTAAATGAACGGTAAAAAATTGCACTTACATGGAACACTGTCATCCTCACTGGTATACATCGATGTTTTCGCCTTAAGACACTTGCCCTAAGGCTCTTCAGTACCAAATTGGGTAACATTATAGAAAATACTTATAGCGCTGTAACCGAGTACACCTCTTATCCTTTCTTATTAGTCAGTTGGCTATGCTTCAAGACTGGCAGTGAATAAATCTAAAGCAAATGAACTTCAAAACGTTCAAGCCAGTCTCAGATATACCTACACGGTAGGTTTAATGGACTGACGCCTATCAAAAAACAACTACTCCCCTGGCTAATACCACGAAGGCCGTTGGATTATATCCGACAGGCGTCAGTGCAGGAATTTTCACAGAAAATTTCCTGCATATGCAATTGGCAATACAACTGAAAGAGTCGACCTTCAAGTTATGGAACAGGCACACTTGCAGACCGGTTTCGGGCTAATTAGCCACTCGTCAGTGCAAGATAGTGACCATCATCAACCTAAAGTCAATGATATTCCACAATTGAAAATCGGAATTCTTTCAGAGTATTTCATTCCTCTTCCGAAGTTGGAGCGAACATCACAAAATGTCACTCCATCTAGTGGACGAGGTACTAACCAACTGCATATCCGTAATTTGCTCGATTCCTCTGAATAAGGAAGAAAAACTTTCTTATTAGTCAGTGGGCTACGCTTGAAAACTGGCAGTAAACAAATCTAAAGCAAATGAACTTCAAAACATTCAAGCCAGTCTCTATATACCTACACAGTAGGTTTAATGGACTGACCCCTATCAAAAAAACAACTACTCCCCTGACTAATACCACGAAGGGCGTTGGATTATATTCCTCTTATCCTGACGAACTGAATTTGCTGCGTTTCAAATTATAACCAAAACCATCTTGAAACAGACTCAAAAGCATATATTCTTCAACATAGCCACCTTTGAAACAATTTTTTCTAGGTAACACTGCTTGAGACTATTTCTTCCCTTCTCCATTCACTCAATAAACGTTCATATCTCTGTTCACACTATTATAAATGGTTTAGGCAGAAACACCAGCACAAATCATCTCATTTTATATCTATATGTTTGTATAATTGAATTGAAGTGAAAAAAAATTGTAATTTATTTTTCAAAACCTACCTGTTTTGTCAAAGTCAATCAATTATCGTATCACCTTTTGTATTTACCTAAAGCTATATACCCGTATGAGACATTGTAGAATAATTTAATGAACCTTCACCTGATGGGGCTACAGTATAGCGAAACGAGTCTTGAATAAATTCCGTAATTATTATTGTGGACTGTGTTATTGCTGTTCATCGAATAACGGCCAGTGTATTCATAATACATTTCATTAGTTATCAAAGGGTTCACATTTTAATTTGCTTTTAGGTGATACTCTTGATATTCCTGATTCAGTTATGGGGCTGACATTCCTTGCGGCTGGAACTAGCGTTCCTGAAGCTGTCTCCAGTGTCATAGTTGCGAAACAAGGTGAGAGTTGTAAGAAAATGAGATTGAATTACAAAGTTCGCCTGTGAATGATTTGAAATCTGAAATATAAATATAGTTGAAGTAAAGCGAATAGGAAAGCAAGCAATAAAGCCGATGCTTGGGATAGTTAATTGCTGAAACTGAATGATTTTCATTTATTCTATAGGCGACTTTCACAAATCGTGGACTGCTTGCTGAAACTTACTGCAAAACATTTGAAAATATCACTAGCCAACAAATAAGAAAAAAAATTGCGACTAATATTGTAATGGCTATACATGAGAGTTTAAAGCTTCCTGACTGCGACTTAAACATCAAAAATTCTCCATCACGTAAAGATTTTGGGTTATAGTTATTTTTATTTTATACAAGAATTTTCACATATTATACGGAAATATAACATCAAAACAAGAAAAAAAAAAACAAAATACTTTGAGGATAACAGACATTATTTACAACACACATGAAAAACATTCAAATGAAGTATTTTGTGCATAACCTTTTTGAAAATGTTGACTTTCGTTTATATGTTTCATCTTTTTCCCTCATGAGGAACCAACAATAATCCCTCATCATTGCTGCATCCCATCTGCCTTGGTAACTTTGCTTCATTGTCAGTATGTTTTGGTGGAACCTTTCCCCTTGTTCGTCACTGACATCACCCAAACTTTCTGGGAAAACATTCAAATGGGAGTGCAAGAAATGGATTTTGAGAGACATGCATAATCCCATTCTGCACTAGTTTTCAAGTAGTTCTTCTACAATAAGTGTTTCGTAATTTTCTACTTTCTTGTTCCCTAAAAACTCCGAAACAATTCTTTTGAGAGAACTCCACGCAGCTTATTCAACATTAGGTACTCAATCTTTGAACAAACTGTTGATTACTTAGCAGTTTTCTAATTTTTGGTCCAACAAATATGCCTTCCTTGAGCTTTGCATCACTTAATTTTGGAAAATCGTGTTCAAGATCCATCACCTTCTTTCGCTAATGCTTTTACAAATTTTTTAATGTGTAATGGAGGTAACAAAACGTTTTTGGGATCAACAAGAGGTATATTCTTCACGTTAGCTTGACTTGACTATGACTTTTAGGTCACCACAATATTTGCCACTTAAACGTATTATAACTTATTGAATTTTCAATAAGTGACATACTTTCGTGTGTTTCCTTCATGGCAACTGCGTGTGTAAGAGGAATAGAGGGTCTTTTGTCACCATTATGGAGCAGAACGGCATTAAAACTCATTTTAGACGCTGTGTTGCCAGATTTTAAACAATTCCTCAATTAAGGGAAAAAGCAAATTTAAAATATCGTAAATTTTTATAAAAAAATTCATAACTCAAAAATCTCACGTGTTGGGAAATTTTTACTATCATTTTCGCATTTAGGGACCAAAAATTAACAAAATACTGCCTTTGGCATTACAGCCGTAAATTTGCTGTAAACTATTGAATCAACAGATCAAAGCACATGTGATCAGTTACCATAGAACACTGAAATTGGATTATGACATTTCTGTCAAAGGACAAACCATGGAACAACTGTCATTGACATAAAACATTGAAATATAACTAAATTTGTAAGATAGTTATTCATATTCATTATTTCAAAATATTTGTTATACAAAAATAATATGTAATTTGTATCTTCAGTTTTGCGAAACAATTATGACTTGATTATTCAGAAGTAAGGAAATTACTTTAGTGAAATTTCGGAAATGTCGTTATTATTCTTTTGAAGATGATACAAAGAGATGTATCTGTGGGTGGGGATAATAATTTTTTTCTTGTTCCCATCAAATTCAATCGATTATATCGTGTAAAATGTCTTTTATACCAGTAGCATAGAACTATCGAAAATCGCAGGGGAATTTGAGAAGTTTTCATCCAAATAGGAAAATACAGGATGTTCCATTTGAAAGTTCTATCCTTTGAACAGGTTACATATTTCGAAATGACATAACCGACTAATCGAAAATGAAACTCTCTGATATATCTAGTGCGTGCAGGTTTACGTTTGACGTAGGTACTCTAACCTGACAGTGATAGATGGCCCATACCCATTGATTATTTCAATAGTGCTTCATTGAATCATAAATAGATCTCAACAACCGTCTCCTGATAACAAGCTTTGCAGAAGTATGAATTGGATTGAAAAAATAAATGTTTATTTGAAGGTGGTTGACAATATTTCGTAATGAATTTCATCAGTTCGGACTTCTAATGTCTAATATAATATAAATTGATTTGAAATTCCTGAAAAAATATTAAAAAAGATCAACCGAAAATAACAATTTTATTGAACAAAAAACTGAAATTACAAAGAAATAATACACAAATACAAAGAAATACAACAACAACCAAACCAATAAAAATTGAAATATTAATAAAAGCTGAAAAAATTGGAAAAATTAAAAATATTATTAACAAAAAAATGAAAAAATTAAAATTAAAAGATTTCAAACCAAGTTATGTCACAATCGTCTTCGGGTGATAACTGGACTTTTCCTCCGAGATCTACCTATTTATACGTCATTCGAGTGCTTTCACCTATCCCCTCTTTCCGCTTCATTGGTTTTGGCGGGAGATGACTGTTTGGCGGGAGTTGATCGTTACTCGCTTGATTAGAGGTTTCTATAATATGTTACGTATCTCTACGCTAGCTTGGCTAAATGCGCTGTTGAACAACATATATGCGACTTCTTTGAATTTTCTCCTCAACCAGTGTTCCTCTTTGTGGATGATTTCAGCTCGAGCCCACTTGATGTTGTGTTGATGAGTCCAAACATGCTCTGCTATTTGGGATTTACTGGTTTCTCCTCGCTGTGTGAGTGTTTCTTGTTCTCAGCAATGCGAACTTTCAATGGCCTCTTAGTTTCACCGATGTATGATTCTCCGCACTCGCAGGGTATCCGGTAAATGCAATTCTTGGAATCGCAGTCTGTGTTTGGTGGCCTGGTTTTTGTGAGGCTGCTACGGATAGTGTTCCCAGATCTGAAGTAGTTCCTGATGTTATACTTGGACCTAATCCTTCTTATCCTTACCGATAATCCTTTGATGTAGGGAAGTACAAGTACTGGTTGTGGCGGCTTCTCTTCCTTGTAGAGTTCTTGCTGTCTTCTAGCTAAGGCCTGTTCTACCATCACTTTGGAGAAACCATTCCGTTGAAGGTCATTTTTGATTATGCCTAGACCTTCCTTTATATTACAGAGCCCAAAAGCACGGTCCAGTAGAGTCTTGATGATTCCTCTCTTAGTCGATTGATGGTGGTTGGATTTCTGGTTCAGATACTGTCCTGTGTGAGTGGGTTTTCGATATACAGATGTTTCCCATTTAGTGTCGGTTCTCTTCACCAATACGTCTAAGAAAGGCAATTCGTTGTGGACTTCCTTCTCCATTATGAAAGTGATGGAAGGAATTACGTTGTTGATGTGCTTCAGGAAAGTGCCTAGTTCGGCATTCCCATGGTTCCATATTATAAAGGTGTCGTCTACGGATAGTGTTCCCAGATCTGAAGCAGGTCCTGGTGTGTGAAAGTGATGGAAGGAATTACGTTGTTGATGTGCTTCAGGAAAGTGCCTAGTTCGGCATTCCCATGGTTCCATATTATAAAGGTGTCGCCTACATATCTCAACCAGACTCGGGGCTTCTTCTGGGCTTCTTCAATGGCCAAAGTTTCAAACCACTCCATATATAAATTGGGTATAACATGTGAAAGTGGCGATTCCATTGGTAGTCCCTCATCTTGCGTAAATCAATCAATCAGTCAATCAATCACTGTACTTTATTGTCTAAGAAAAAATCTTATTGACAAAGCATATGAAAACAATACTATTACACAAAATAACATACACATATATAACACATATATGCACATATATACACACACATATATATATGAAATACAAGTTATCAAGTAATTATAAAGAAAAATAAAAATAACAGGTGCAGACAAAATAAAAATATAATAAAATATAATAGTCGAAGTTATGTAAAATTTCCAGAACTGTAAAAAGTTCAAAAAATAAAACCTAAATCAGAAGCTGGTCTCAAAGCCTGTCTTCAAAATATTCGACCAAGCTGTAATACGCTTTTAAGAGCAAAAGTTCTTTTACACGGTTACTGTTTCCAAGATAAAAATGCAGTGTATAGTCAGCAATTTATTATTGATAAATAGGGGTTTTCAATGGTCCGTAATATTGGCTTTGTAGATGAATTTCACTGTTCTTTTTTGCAAAACGAAAACAGATTGTAGTAACTGTTTGCTACAAAACCCCCAGAAGGCGACACCATATCTCAAGTGAGATTCGATTAAAGCGTTTCGTCAATCCCGTGTGTTTTTTTATTTTTGATATATTTTAAAGTTTCTCTAATTTCCTCAACATTTGTATGATCTAATATGAATTCCTCGGGTATATTGATATTTTTTAGGTAATCTAAGGGGTTATTTTGTGCTGTTATAGTGGATGTAAGTTTTTCTGCTATTGTGCAATAAAAATTGTTGAGAGAATTTGGATCAATCTCCAATTGAACTGGGAGTATGTTTGTCTTTCCCCTTAGCTCATTGACTATGGCCCAGTTTTCTTTAGATTTGTTTGACGATGTAGAAATTCTTTCACAGTAATACTTTTCTTTCGCTCTTTTAATGATTAATCTGTACAGTTTGCGGTAATTATTAAAATATTGTTGGAAAACTTCACTGGAAGTATATTTTCTAATCATGTGCAGTGCTCCCATATTCATGGCAGATATTTTAATTCCTTTAGTGATCCAGCTCTTTTTGTTTTTTTCTTTGATTTTTTGTATGGGAAAACAATGTTCAAGCGCTTCACTTATGTTGGTGTGGAATACAGTTAGAGGGTCAAGAGAATACAAATCATTATTCCAATTCATTTTATCAGTGAAGTCTTGGTACTTGATAAAGTTGTTTCTTGTTTAGAATTCGTCCTTCAGTTGGAAATAACAGTTTCGTACACAGCATCCTAGTGATTCCATGATTACTTGTATCAATAATAAATGATGAAAAAATAAATATTTCGAAAGATTCATGTCTCTCAATGTTTTTACTCAGGACGATCTGGTAAATGTGTACCGAAAAACAACTACTTCTTCCGCTTATACCACAACATTAAAAGTAGTTATTCACAAAAAACATTATACATTTAGCAATCATGTAGCTAATCTCCCTTAATATTTTCCACTACATACATACATGGTTAAAAAGTAAGGTTTATGTTTAATTTCCCGAGCTACCTACATTCAATTAGCGATTAGCGACTTATTCATGACATAAAAAAATTAATGTATATAAAATGTATGAGTTTTTGGTATTGCAATTCTCATTTACTTTTCTCAATCGTTGTAGGTCACGGTACAATGGGCCTGAGCAGTTCAATAGGCTCTAATACCTTCGATATTTTGCTGTGCCTTGGTATACCGTGGATGATCAAAACTTTCTACCCAAAAATCCCTGGAAACAACTGGATACAGATCAACTCGTCGGGGATAAATTTCAGTGCATTTGCTTTGTTTTCCACGCTCATTTTGCTGTATTTGAGCATCGCACTGAACAAATTTAAGTAAGTTTAGAAATTAATCTCTGTTTTAAATTGGAATGAGGTTAGGGGATTCGCCCACAAAAATCCGCGAGAGAATGAAAACATATGCAACAGATATGAACATCCAAAATGAGTTCTGAATGTTTCATGAGGATACGAGTTGAAACATTTAGTGGCTGCATGTAAAGAACTCTTCACACAACGTTCAAGTGGAAAAACAGTAAAATCCTTCACCAAGAGTCCGATATATTGCTTTGCTGACGACAGCACAATTGTCTCGTTATTCCATTTGGATTCCAGGATATCAGCTGTGGATGCTCATCTTTACCGGCAGCAGGAGGTTGCATCTCAATGAGGATAATGAAGTGATTTCGAATCGGGGTGAAACGTAAAAAAGAAAGGGAAAATATAAATGTCTCTGAATTGGATATTATAATGTCAGGACAAACAATTCCGCTTTTTGCTTCGATAAGTTTGTTGGGAGTTGAAATGGGCATCAATATGTCTTGGCACAATCATATCGCTCGAATTGCAAGAGCCGCTTCTCAAAAGTTTGTAACACTTTTTTGGGAAAGAAAGTTTTTGGCTTTCTACTACTTCATCTGATACAAAAAAAAGGGATGAGAGAATCTTCCAAAGAAAAGAAGGAAGTAATCAATTTGAAAATAAGTAACTCTATACATGGATGTGTAGATCATGCAAAGAAGTAACTTTCAGACACAAACTGAAAGAAAGTCCTCCTGAAACAGCTACTTTCATATAAACATTGAATTACATGAAAGAAAAATTCTTTCGCAACAAATACTTCTATATGAACACTGAATTATACAGAAGATACTTTTCTCTACTCAGTTTGTATTTCAAACATTTGTTGTGGAATAAGAATCAGATATCATTCACATGAGTTCTACTTTGGAAGATTCTCTCATCCCTTTTTTTTGTATCAGATGGAGTAGTAGAAAGCCAAAAACTTTCTTTCCCAAAAAATTAATCACTCCTAAAAATATGACTCTTTCAATTTGTAACACTGTTCCGAACTAGGAAACTGTACACCCCTCAGCAACCTTTGTTGCTTTATAAAGCTCAGAACAGAACTTCTTTGGAGTATTGTTCTTATGGATGGAGCTCCGCCCCCAAACATACCCTGGAGCTGCTGGATTCAATCCAGAAAAGAGCCAACCGCCTGATTGAAGACACGAACATCACTTGAAATTTCGATGGTCTGGAACATCGAAGGAAGGTTGGAGTTGGTTCAACTCAGTCCACCACGAACTTGACTGCGGCTCAAGGACTTTCCTGTAGTGCTTGTGCTTTGTCTTAAAATGATTATCTCTCTAGACTCATTTAATTATTTCCCTACCTCAGTTGCTCCTTCTCTCTCAGTTGCTCATTTCATTAACAAATAGTCACCAAAGAAGTTCAAAGAGCTCTTTTAGCTTCTAAGAACTCTGCTGCTCTGACTTGAGTTAGGCTAAACTCTAATTTGTGGTGGTAGTACCCTCCACCAAGTGGTAATGACAATAGGTATGTAGGTCCAAAGTGCAAAGGCTCCTGAATGGTGGTGGTTTGGGAATACGATCTCCTCTGATTTGGAAGTAGGCTTCCTATGACTTACCAGCCAGGAAACGTTCTTCTCATCTTCTCAAGTTACTTATAATCATCCGGGTTGGATGGTGCAGTTCTGAAATCATATCTGTGAGCTTTTTCTGCAATAAAGCAGCAATAAAGACATACTGATGAAATCCCAGTCGATTTGTCGTTGGATGTTTGAAGTTCAAGATTTCTACCTTGATGACTGCAGCAACCCTCCCAAATAAGGGCATAGATAAGTCAACTATACTTGACGATACATTAGATTTACCCACTATTTAGGACTATTTTGCCTGTGGTTTGGGTGGATCATCGTTCTTGCTGCTATGCTTATGTTGTTCAAGGCAGATTCATGAGATATTCTGCTCCTGAGGAGGCGACTGAGGTGCTTCCTGGTTGAACCACCTAGCCTCCGAGGTTCTTGCCTCATGAATGATCACACAAACAGCTAAGGAAAGGAGATCCATCAAGGTAGAGCCACGCATTACCGGGACAAGACTATCTACGACAAAAGGTCGCCCAGTATCTCTGAGGGGACATTAGTGCTCAGTGACAGTAAAATAACTTTTTCCAAGGCAAGTATCAGCAAGAACTCTGACAGATATCATCATCGAAACTATCAGGGTGACCATGAAAAAGCAGGAATCAGAAAAATCCTTTGGCTAATTAAATGTGAACAAAACTCTGTCCCAGAGATTGAAACTACAGAGATCAATTTGATTCGGCGACCTCATTGGTGATGGTCGTTGCAAGGGGTCTTCTTTTAAAACATTGATGAGTCCAATAACCTGAAATTTGCCTTCCTCCATTTAAGTGAGCTGGATTCTGAGTGGATTTATCATGGTAGGATGGTGTCTTAACACCTTGGTCTAGTGTAGTGGAATTATGGGTATAGAGGTTCCTGACACTAGATGCAGGGTCTGTCACAAGGTGTATTTTATGTAGTTAATGTTAGCAAGTCTAACATATAAAGTGATTGTCATCCTATAATTGAGGTAAAGTGTAAAAAGAGTGAATATAGAGTTCAAATAAATATCGATGAGTCCTTGCGTTTTACAAAAATGTTGCTGCAGTTCCTGATTACAGCTTTGATACGCTTCATTTGGCCACTTCTCTGAATGACTCAAGAGCAGTTTTAGGGAGTAAACTTTAATATGGGGAGACAAGTTCAGCAGTTTAATGAATTGATCATATTTGTATATTTTATTTTTCGACTTGTTTATTTTTTATGTTTCAGATTAGACTGGAAAGTTGGTCTCACGTGTCTGCTGATGTACATAGGGTTCTTGATATTCGCCTCGCTCTTGGAGATGAATGTATTCTTCCCAGTGAATTTACCAACCTGCAATCGGTGATAGGACCGTTTATTCATTTTATCTGATGACGGGCGTGCGAAACACCGTTCCCAGTTTTCAGAGCTCTCCATTTCCCAGAAGCCAGCAATGTGAATTGCCATCAAATTTACTCTTGTTTCCATAAATGATGTAAGAGGAGAACATTGTTGACGCGTAAAGAAAGTGTTTGAAAATTGCAATTTTCCATAGCGAAAATCAAAAGAACGTTTGAACAGGTTGGTTTGGTTTTGACAAAAGACATATATGGTTATTCACAGTAAGAATGATAGGAGGGGTTTGGAATTGATTCCATTAGCGAGATGGATTTACCGATTTCATCGTGAGATTTTCACTAATTTTGCATTAGCTACTTCAGGCCAATTCAATACCACTTTTGGTTAGTTGTAGTCTTCAGAAGTTTATTATACAAATCCTCCAGGTTCACATTTTATTGTGTTTCAAATCTGCATATTATTCACCATTGGAAACAATGTTCATGACTATTTTTCGTAAGTTACAATTTCAATTTTGCTTATAATGCTCCAGTAGATTCTGGATTGGATCCTTCGAGAGGAACAGCAAATAGCTGTTGGATCAACGATGGATTGAAAACATCTACAAGCTCTTGTTGAATTTCAATCTCACATGAATGAAATCAGTTTCATCCCAGAAATCACATGGATTGATAGAAGTCTATGGATTAGTCCCCTCGGTCACCCGACCTAATTCTTTTTTGATTCTTTGTATGGCAATTCAAAATCCGAGCCACTCAACTAATATTGCCTGCGTAATTCATACTATATTGAAGCATCTCTCAAATTTTTCACTGGATCACCTTGAATACTCCCAATCGCAATGAAAAAATAATTGAAATAATAATAACATTGATGAACGGTCTTTATTTTACTTGGCGGAATCACCAGTTCTGGCTAATCTTTCTAGTAAACCAAGTTTCGATAAAATGAATACAATAATGATTTTCAGGTATTTGCGAAAAAACTCAACCAAACGAAAACCACTCTAATATTCTTCTTTTTGTTTTTTTTTTAATTTATATCTTGAAGATAATGAACAAAAATATTTTTATATGTTCAAACAACTCTATCAATAATTGTTTTTTCATACACCACAAAAATATCTCTCCCAAAATGTTATTGATATATAAGCGAATGGCAATGATAATACAGAACTGATTTGTAGATATTTTGTTAATGTTCTAAAATATTTTTCTTATCTGTGTTTATTGAAATGATAAACAAAGAATGTACTTATGTAAGAATTTTAATTTGCAATAAAATATTACTGTGACTCTGACTTTAATTTCATATACCAATAATAAATTATAGTAATACTGTGGACCATTATATGATACCAGGCTGGAAATAAAAAATGTAGCCCACATATTATTAGAAGGGGTAAGTTTAGCTAAAACCTGCAAATAGTTAGTTTCATCATTTAAGATCGAATTAGAAAATTACTGGAGTGTTATCCCAGCACCAAACAATTATTTTTAACACGTGTTTCGATCACCAAGTGATCATCTTCAAGAGGAACATTGAAATTAAGTGAGTTTGTTTTTTTTTTGGTTCATATGAATTCTTGTATAATGGGTTGCAATTTTTATGAAGATATAGTTTGTCAAATTCAAGCTGGAGTATTCAATAAATGCATTCATCCATAATTTAGGTTTTTTTCCCTAAGAATTATTTTGGCGGGAAATACAATTTGAGGTTTCAGCTTGTGATATATTGAGGAATCAATATACACAGTTTTCTGGCAAAAATGAAAACCGATAAAGGAAAATGCTGTCTAATAAATCTATTTTTTTTTTGATGGAAGTACTGGAACCTGGAAAATCCTGAGCTTGAGAAGCTATTGTGAAATGAAGACATTCAGTGTAATATTTTTAGGGTAAGAAGGCTGTCGATTTTTGAAATTTATTCCTGACGTTTCGCTGCCGCGAGTGGCTAGCTTCTTCAGAGGTTTATACGTCCTGAGTAATCTCTGATGACTGCATATTATGACTGTGTAGTACTTATATTGACTCAGGTAGTATGGTTTGGTGATACCTGTACCTCAATCAAATAAAAATTCGTGAAGCGTATTTATGCTGACTTGTGTAGTCTGGTGTGTACCTGTACCTGGATTAGGTAAATAGCGCAAAGCGTGTTCATGTTGACCCAGGTAGTCTAGTGTGAAATACCTGTACCTTAATTAGGTAAATTCAGAAAAGCGTATCCGTGTTGGCTCAGGTAGTATGGTTTGGTGATACCTGTACCTGGATCAGGTGAAATGAGTGAAGCGTGTTTATGCTGACTTGCATAGTCTGGTGTGATAATTCCTGTACCTGGATTAGGTGAATAGCGTAAAGCGTGTTCATGTTGACACAGGTAGTCTGGTGTGAAATACCTGTACTTGGATTAGATGAATTTCGAAAAGGGTATCCGTGTTGACTCAGGTAGTCTGGTTTGGTGATACCTGTACCTGAATCAAATAAAATGCGTGACGCGTGTTTATGTCGACTTGTGTAGTCTGGTGTGATAATACCTGTACCTACTTGAATTAGGTAGATAGCGTACAGCGTATTCACGTTGTAAAATACCTGTACCTGGATTAGGTAAATTTCGTAATACGTATTCGTGTTGACTCAGGTAGTATAGTTTGGTGATACCTGTACCTGGATCAGATAAAATGCGTGAAGCGTGTTTTGGTTGACTTGTGTAGTATGGTGTGATAATAACTGTACCTGGATTAGGTAAAGCGTGTTCTTGTTGACCCAGGTAGTCTGGTGTGAAATACTACCTGTACCTGGATTAGGTAAATTTCCTAAAACGTATTCGTGTTGACTAAGGTAATATAATTTGGTGATACCTGTACCTGGATTAGATAAAATGCGTGAAGCGTGTTTATGTTGACAGGTGTAGTCCTGGTATGATGATACCTGTACCTGGATAAGGTTAATTGCGTGAAGCAATAGCGTAAAGCCTGTACCCAGATTAGGTAAATTGCGTAAAGCGTGTTCATGTTGACCCAAGTAGTCTAGTGTGAAATACCTGTACCTGGATTAGGTAAATTTCGAAAAGAGTATCCGTGTTAACTCAGGTAGTATGGTTTGGTGATACCTGTACCTGGATCAGATAAAATACGTGAAGCGTGTTTATGTTGACTTGTGTAGTCTGGTGTGATAATACCTGTACCTAGATTAGGTAAATAGCGTGAAGCGTGTTTATGTTGACCCAGGTAGTCTGGTGTGAAATACCTGCACCTGGATTAGGTAAATTTTGAAAAGCGTATCCGTGTTGGTAGTATGGTTTGGTGATACCTCTACCTAGATCAGATGAAATGCGTGAAGCGTGTTTATGCTAACTTGTGTAGTCTGGTGTGATAATACCTGTACCTGGATAAGGTAAATTGCGTGAAGCCTGTACCCGGATTAGGTATATTTCGTAAAGCGTGTTTATGTTGACTCAGGTAGTTTGGTGTGGTAATACCTGTGATAATTCATTTAATTCACGTACAGGTATTAGCACACGAGATTAACTGAATTAACATAATCGCGCTTCACGCATTATACCTAATCCAGGTACGGGTATTAGCACACCAAACTACTGGAGTCAACATAAGTACGCTTTACGTGGCCGTAATACGTAGGATGTACTCCTATAAACCTCTGAAGAAGCAAATCTTATTCAAGCAAGCGAAAATTCAGGAAGGAATTCCAAAAATCAAACCTGATTCTTAACCATTTTGTTTGAAAATCATAAAAAAGAGCAGTATATTTCATTCCACAATACGAATAACCTATTTATATACAATGGACCTGACAGGAAAACTATCGACATAGCCCAAGTATCATAATTTCATGATTTGTATTACTTTCTTCTTTTATATATTGTCCTTGTCCATTTGAAATAATGGATAATTATTGAATCTTCGATTGACAAACTTGCGAATGAGCAATAACATGACGTAGGTATTCAATCAAATCAATAAGAAAATAACCTTTCTCTGATTGAAACGTTTTTTTCAAAAATTTCGCACGTCACATCGGCTGTTTTGCGTCAAACATAGCTACGTTATCTTTCCATCTTGAGTAGCACTCTTGACATACCTTGAATTGATTCTGGGGAATTCTTTATAACATCTGAAGATTTTGTATTTTCAATAGTTTTCAGAATCTATTGAATTTTCTATTCAATTGTCTCAGATTCTAATGAAACCTTCTCATACGGATATTACTATTCATTGCGGTTCTACCCATCCGTATCAGCACAAAATATAATGAACATGATTCATAGATTAGTCAATATTTCTCTTTCGATGATAATTTCAATCAATAACTCAATAAGGATAAGCAAATTGTAGTAAATAACGGCTTCAGAGCTGAATTAAGAGACAAAATAATTTCCAAAAAAGTATACGCAAAAGCGAGACGTTTAAGCTTCATCATATTTTTGACAAACTGCAGAAAAAGTGGCTCCATTCTTGAATAAATAAGATATTAAAATTGCATATAGAACAGATAATACGTTGATAAAGTTAGTCAAAAATAATAGACACGAATTCGAGAAATGAGGAGTATATAAATCAAATTATAGAGTTTGTCCCAAGTTATACTCGTATATTGGTCAATCCGGAAGAACATTTAGGAATCGCATCCAGGAACATCTTATTAGCTATGTAATTGAGAAAACAAGTTCAACAGAGTCAAATAATCTTTTAGAACAAAATCATTTAGGCAACGGAGATTTAGAAATTTTGCAGATAGAAAATAAAGGTTTGAAGCTAAATCATTCGGAAAAATTGAGAATCAATAAAATCAAAAATTCAAACATTTCACTGAATGTCCAATTGGATTTGAAATAGAACAGCATTACTGAACTTGTAAGCAATTCATAATGTTTGTAATTAAATAAAAGTGCCGTGAAACATAGCAAACATAGGATTTATCGGGTTGGAAATTTATTGCAGTACCTAGTTGATCTGTCAGAATGTTTCTTAATTTAAATTTCATCTGACTGAATATGTAGAGGCATCGCGACAAGCTTTTATTATAATTTAAATTCTGTAAAATCATAAATGAATGTGGTAAATGTGATTTGAAATTTCATTTTGATCTCTTTAGGGCACTTGAATAAAAGCTTGTTTTGAAAGTTTTTTGATCATTATTTCATTTTATATTTTTTAGTTATATTTTAGTTTAAAAGCTTGATTCAATTTTTTTTCTAAAAATATATATTTTGTATTGAAGCCAACCCTGGATGTGGCATCTACTTCATAGTGGGCCCACCAACTGCCTATCATAAACGAATGCGTATACAGAATGTCGTGTCTCTGCTATTTACCGCTGAGAAGATCTCTCGTACGGAGCCGATCCTGGCAGCAGCATGCACTGTCATCGGTTCCGGACCAGCATGAGAAATGTCAGGTCAATCGGATACCGGGAAGTGGATCAAATTAAACTTGCAAGATTTGTTAACATACATACAAGTCAAGTTAAATAAAAGCTTTTAAAAAATTAGAGTGAAGAATCAACTTTTAGTATGTTTTTCACGACGAAAAAGTTACGATAGCGAAACATGAGATATTTTTGAGTAAAGTTTGTGATGATCTAATCGTTTCCGGTGTAGTTTGTGAAATTAATATGGATCTTCATTAAGTAACGGCCGAATCAATAAAAAAAATCAAAATTGTTAATTTCCCTTCTTCACTAATGAAGGCGGTTAGTTCCTTATGGATATGCATAAAAACAGCAGGGCGAAGCAACCCGCAAGGCGCTTCAAGGGAGGTCTCTGTGGGAAAATAGCAATATATTTTGGGTATAAATTGCTGTGGGTTATTTTCATTGGGTCTCTAGACGGTTATAACGCATGTTTCCGAAATGAAAGTGAAATACAGGATGTAATATGTTGAATATTGGATGTTAGTGAGTTGATTTCCATTATCATAACAACGTTTTGGAATATAGAAGAAGATGAATGAATAACTCTATACTAAAATGAAAGGAAAACTGAAATAATCAAGATGGAGGATGATGGAAAAATGCAAGGAACAGGAAACATATTTCTAACAAAGTTACTCTACGACGTTTCGACTGTTAATATCCACAACCGTCTTCGGGTGATGAGTGCTGAAATAAGTACCATACATTTCGTAGGGACGTGGTGTGCATTTGGTGGCTTGGTTTTTGTAAGGCTTCTACAGATGATGTTTCCGGATCCGAAGCAGGTTATACCGCAGAAGAAAGGATTCGCAGCGAAGCAGGTTAGACCAGAAAGCGTAGTCGGCGACAAAAATAGACTCCCAAACAGAGCTAAATGCTCATCATTGAACAAATTTCAATTCTATGTCAAGTACTTCTACAGCGATTTCCATTAGTGAAACGGATTCACGCTCGGTATATTTATTTTCTTTGTTGACCCGTTTTTGTATGAGGAATCGCTACTGATTTCCTACAAATATAAGAACACATTTATTGTTGTACATATACATGTACATGTACATGTACAAATACATATACATACATATAGTACAAGCTTTTCACAGAAGGTTGAGAAGAGCGTTCAATTTTCCATCGAAAACTTTTTTATCACGTCATGGCTGTGACGAAACAAAAATATGTTGAGCAAAAATATGGGCTGACGTAAGCGCGTCACGTGACTGGGTGGTCTGCCTTGTAAAGGGATACGTCTGATCCTGATTGCCTGAATGGTCTGTATGCTTGAATTATTTATGTCCACGGAAAATTCAAATCTCCCGCCACGATGTTCTGAGATGAAGAAGCGTGCGCTTTGAATGGTTGGCGAACTAGGTGACAGTTTGAAGACGCTACGTGACAAATTGGTACACTCTGATTGGCTGTCTCACCACCCAGCTAACTTGGTACAGTTTGAGGAAACCACGTGACAGTTTGGTGCACTCTGGTTGGCTGAATGGTCTGTCGGTCTTTTCTGGCGAGCTGAGCGACAACCTGACTGGTGTAATGACGTCACCGTCTTGCTGAAGTGAGGTCTACGCTAATGTGAGGACGATGCTTGTTCTAGCACATCAACAACCGATAAAAATGTTGAGAAAGTGGAGAAAATCGTAACGAAGCATCGTCGAATCACTATTAAAGGAGTTGCTGAAGATGTCTGCATATTGGTTGGCTTATGGCACTTGGGCATGAAGCGTGCAGGAGCGAAGTTCGTTCCAAAATTGCTGGATTTTAACCAAAAAACCGTTACATGAGCATCGCTCAGGAATATGACATCGAAACCAAAGTCCAATCGTCTCAAATTGTGGAAAAACAATTTATTACTTTTGTAATTTTTCGGACAGAAACAGCACCGTAATTATGCCTCAGCCACCGTATTCGCTAGATTTAGCTCCTTGCGACGGCGTTCTGCGACGATTAAGGAGATGGAAACCGAGTTGCTGAGAGAGAAAAAAAAGCGATTTATTTCCAACAGGAGTACCCAGTTACAGGAAATGCTATTATTACAGAGTGTATATGGAATAAATATTAAAAATATTGGAATATAGAAATGTAGGTATAAAAGTAAATGCTAAAACAAAGTATATATGAAATATTCGTATAAGTAGAATTTCGAAAGAAGAATGGAAAATTGAGTATATAACACAAAAAGTTACAAATCATGTTACAATGTTACAAGTTACAATGTTACAGTACTGACACAAAAGTTATTTATAGTATTATTACAAGCGATTATCGATACAAGATACCAAGGCGTTCAGAGAGTCGAAATGAATATCGCAGTGTTCACAGATTTTATTGAAGCTACTGCACATAAAATTCAATGGTGATCGTAGCATAACATTTGCGCGTGATGCTTCGCAATAGAATTTCAAAATGTGTCGACCTTCACTTCTTGGTACTAAGAAATTGATCTCGGGTAAAAGAACTGTACTGTCAATATTGTTGTTGAGTAATTTATGCAGGAATTTTATTCCACGGATAACTCTCCTATTTTCCAAAGATGGCATATCAAATCGTGTCAACAATATGTTATGATCGATGCCTCTCGTGGGGTATTGACCATTAACTTTTAGACATAAGTATTTTAGGAACTTCCTTTGTACGCTTTCAATTGATGTTTTTTTGGTAGTCATAAGCCGGATTCCATAACAAAGAGCCATACTCTAACTTAGATCTGGTATATGCAAAATATAGTAATTTCAAGGTGGCAATACTTTTGAAGTTCTTGCCATTTCTGTAAATGAATCCAAGCATCCTATTTGCATCAGCAGTCATATTCCTTATATGTGTTGTAAATGTTAATTTACTGTCGTATATTATAGCAAGATCTTTCATCTCATGAACGTGTTTGATTGTAGATTTGTTGATTGAATAATCGTACATTGAAGTTCGCTTTTTTGTTGCCAAGTCATTAATGGAAATTAGAAATAAAAGAGGTCCACGATTGGAACCTTGTGGTACCCCAGATGTAACTACGTACTGGACCTATTTGAAGGATTCATATTCGACAAACTGTTTTCTGTGAATTAGACATGATTCAATTAGAGTGAGCAGTTGGTTAGAGAGTCAATTTGCTGAGAAGAACGTAATGGTCTATTTGATCGAAGGCTTTTTGAAAGTCTAAATGAACAACGACTTGTTTTTGCTTGTCCAGGTACGTACAGAGATATTGATTTAAACATGCAAGATTTGTCATACACGATCTCTGTTGTACGAAACCATGCTGAGTAGGAGGAATAACTTTTTGAACATAAAATCGGACAAATTCGATCCGTTTTACACTGCTCAGGGAAGGCACAAGTTGATATAATCAAGTTGAATATGCCTAGGAACATTGTCAACGCCTGCGGTGAGTTTATTTCTTAATTTTTTTGAAGCAGTAATAATATCGATTTTAGAGAAGGCAGGGATGTTTAATGTATCTAAATCAGAATCATGAGAATTTTCACGAAGCATATCAGAATGCGAGAAGTGAGAGAAATGCTGTCACATGTGTATTATATCTGAGGGGACCATTTTGAAGGTAACAAAATATAAATTAATGGATAGATATATATATTTTTTAAAAACATTTTTATTTCTATTTTGGAATAGATAAATACCTACATATTATGAATCGCAGGACATCGCTAATGTTGCCTCCACTGAACTCCTATTGCTGTAGTTTTGCTACAGAAATGAAAATATTGCATCAGAAGTGTTTTCTTTTATTCCTATTTGCACAAATTTCTCAATCATTTTCATTGGTATCTTGAAATTACCTTAATCGTACCTTAAGATTACATAAGACAAAAATACGACTTTATAATCTTCAAATCTATTCCAAACCAACACAACTGCAACCTTTCTTCATATCGGTGTGTACAGTAAAAAGGACAGCTATGATGCTTACATACAAAAGAGATACAGAATCAGTTTTCTTGGTGAATGCGCCATAAATGCGTTTTCACTAGTGTTGACGAAGACGAAATGAACAATTCCAAGATATGAATATATGTCTGGCAGTGAATATTTATTTAGTCAAAACCGTGCTGGGAATTTTGCATTACAAATTTTGATGCTTGCATTATTAGATTAGTACACAATGTCTCATACTCATCGTCTGGAGATTCCACATGAACCGACTTAGACAGAAAATAACAACTGTCAATAGTGAGGGTTTTATCTACGTATCGTATATTTGGTTACCGATTATTAGGTATGTTGAAATATGGGTGTAAAGTTTTGAAAACACAGTCGAATGATACCGCGAACAACTGATAGTTTGGAGAAAACCTCTCCATTATCGACAGGTGATTGTTTAGATTATTTATTATGTGAAGGTGAGGAAGTTAACTATATCCCTTCTAAGAATCGTGATTTATAACTTCGAAGGTACGTCACTTTTTACTTTTGATACTGTGGATTATTTTATGAAGTAACTGTAGAAACGAGCTGAGACTATCATCTTCTAGATGCCAAAGTTTCAATTCATGGTATAAATAATTTTATTTCTGACCGGGATATTATAAGCTTATATCGTCATAGTTACGCTATCAATAAAGAGGGTCATAACTCCCTTGGGACATTATAGATTTNTATTGAAATCGGTCAGAAATAAAATTATCTATGTACCACGGGAATTAATGAGCCTTAATAACCTCAGGCAATTGCTGTCCCTCGGGCCAGAGGCCCTCGGGACGCAAACTTTGCCATCGGTAATTAAGGCCCTCCTAATTCCCTTGATACATAAATAACTATAAACTACTCTTCAGGAAATATTATAATTCTCAGCCCTCTACGCTAATTGTTTTCAAGTGATTTCTGGTCACCCAGTACATATTTTTAATGATATCGTGTTCTTGAATGAACAATCTAGGAGAATCATTTGTTTCTTGAAAAAGAGAGATACATTAAATGAGTAAGCAGGTTCAACTTTGAGGATGAACAATATTTTGCAAATTCTAGGGCTTTTTGAGAATATCGATTATGAAAGATTTGGTTCTTCAGTCACCCATTTCATATTTTGAAAACGTTATGGGTAGTAGTTAGGAAAGATAGGTTTTGGCTTTCTACTAATATACCCCTTCCAATTTGAGCAAATAGTTATTATTATTACAGATTATGGCGGTAACTTGCCCCAAACTTGTAAATTCTTATCGTTGTTGAAAAAATATTCAATCCTGATGTTGAAAATGATTACATCTCAAAACATCTACAATCTTTCGGAATCCAATCATCAAATGTGTGACAACTATTGTTCAATATGCCTCTAATGAAAATTATTTCTATTATGAAGGAAGAGACACGACATTTATCTGATAGTTATATTTTTTTACTGTTATTCCAACATGATATCAATACATAAACATTTTTTTCAATTTTCTCAATACAATCATTTATTTCATCCCGATAAGATTAAGACTGTCGAAACAATGTAGGCCTTTGTTTTCAATTCAATAAGGATTATGTGATTATAATTACATTAAAGTAAAACAGGTGTCAAGAACATCTATAACGATTTGTTATTGGGTGTCATTTTATGATTCTACGTAATCACTATTTTCTTTAACAATTCAGCCTGGTATATACCTTCGCATAAAAACTTATTCAAGTGTTAGCGATAACCTCAAAACATCTCACCAATATACAGGCTGATTCACGGTGGATGGCACATTAGACGTTTCTGGTGAACCAGACAACGGATCACTTTGAAAATTTAATGGAGGGCATATTCGGACATTCTCTAGCCAACTAAAATATTTTCGAAAATGCGGTGTTGCCGCTTCTATTAGAAAGCAGTAGCAACTTTGATTTTTCAAATGGAACACTCTGTATATAATATTATTTTTGGAATCTCCAACAATTGCCCGACAACTTTTCTTGATATTTCCCTATACCTATCTGTTACCGTTTTCGAAATAAAAATTAATTTCAATTTTTTTCTTCGAAAATCATGACTTCTAAAAATGCCGATATCTTTTAGTTAAGAAGTACTATGATATCGAAATTTGGTTTGGAGTTAGGTGATACTTGGACACTTCCCACACGTCAGCCTAATCTCCGTTACTTCAATACAGGGTGGTAAAAAAATACAGTTTTTTCGTTTGCTTGAAAAAGTTGCTGAAATTTGATTATTTTAAATAGAACACCCTGTATATTATTGAAAATTCGGAAAGCTGCTGAAATTTGCTTTCTTTCTATGTATATCATACCTTTACCTAACTAGTCAAGTTCCGGACTTATGAACATTTATTTGTGAAAATGTCCCTTCAGAATGGTATTTCCATTCGGTATTTGGTAAGCAGGCCATGATTACTATTTGACAGTAGCGTTGTGACATTCTCCTAATAATATCGACATTTTCGTCACTTCAGAAGTTGCAAATACCTTCAAAACGATGGAACAAAACTATTCAAACGAAGTTCTTATGAATTTGTTTATTATTTTTGGACAGTGTGACAAAATTATCAGCAGAACATGTAGAAAGTTCAATGAAATGTATCCGAATCTACCGCCAATGAACCTCAAGAAATTTATACGAATTCTATCTATCCGATAGGATTAGTGAATAAAATCAACATTAATCCCTACGGACAGGATTATATTTTGTAGGGTTCTTGTTTATTTCTTGTAATTTCTTTATTCTTTGTAAATTTCCAATGTAACCATTGTATTATGGATTGATTCAAAAGTTTCGTCTGTTTTTATGAGCTGAACCTGAGGATCATCTTATTCCCCATTCCAGATAGGGATTCGGGTAAACCCTTTCAAATTTGAGTGAGCCGTTACTTGGAAAAATGATATTGTAATCAGCAAAACGGAAGCCATGACATTTCCTATAATGCGATGGTAGCTCTACTGTTGATGGAAGTTCGGAATGTTCAGAAACATAGATCAGCCTGACCTCTCTGATACTTATGTGAGTCTCAAACATCTGAACCGTTCTCCTTACAGGCATCGTCAGTTGTTGGGAATCCATTTTTATTGTTTGTTCACAGAAACTCAGACGCAGAATAATTTCCATCGGGCAGACAGACAGATCGACAGACAGACAGATCGACAGAGATTTCATTATCTGCCATGAATATGAGATGAATCTCACATAGAAAGTACATTTATTGATAATCAATGTTTTCGCAGATTGATTATTCGCATTGTGAATTTTATCCTTCGCTTTCTTTCAGATAATGATTCTTGAGTGGAGGAACAATCATCTATAGATAAGCGTATATATTCCTGATCTATTCTACGCAAGATCATCTTCTGAAAGGACTTGATTTGTGCACGGAAAGATGAGAACTTGCTGCTTTGTGATTTTCTGTGCGAGTCTTCTTTTTTGTGTTAGTTCGTTGACAGCAGGTGAGTGGAAAGATCATTTCAAACTGTCATTAAACTTATATTTTTCACTATTGTTGAGTGACGATCGTGTGGTCAATGCTGGTTTGCACTTTTCATTGTCTGAAGATATCAATAGATTCGTGACCTTGAGACTGAATGAAATATAAAATCGTAGGATTGGAATTAAAATGAAAAGGTTATAGACTATCAATTATCGAAGGAAACATCATGATGAGGGACTAATATTGGTATCGATGTATTGTACTTGTGATGTACTGTTTGGTGTAGTATTCAATATTATTGGAGTTTTTTCCCAACATCAATCTGTTATTTTAACATCTCGACACGTGTTTCGATCATCAAGCGATCATCTTCAACAGGCAGATCAAATCACGAAACACGTGTCGAAGTGTTGAATAAAATATATATTCCTAATATGCTGCTTTGTCAGGTAGTTTTCCTAACCTTCTCTATACAAATAACGTGAGTCTGACTGGTCTCAAGATCTGCTGTGATTCTTGCCCAATTATTCCATGCAGTCTCATTGACTATTGTACTCAGAAAATATATGAATATATAATTCGAAAGAATATACTTACTTCAAGTGCAGATAATAATAGAAACAATTATCGGTACATTACTTTTATTTTAAGAAAGTTACATCATGATCTCAAGATGAAAGCATGGACGAGCTATCAGGAGTATAAGTGAACGTACTGATAATTATAACAATAATGATAATAATGTATTTCATTGTAATTGTGTGATTACATATATGCTTTCATAGTTCAGCAGAGCCGTACTCTGCTGAACTATGAAACCTGAAAGACTACTCACCATACAAACTAATCGGCTTCGTTAAGAAGCTGGGTTTATTTGGTCGAGTGTGAATAAGTGTGGTGCTTGCGGGTTGCGGTGGAGGGTCGAATAGACCCACTCACTTTGGACCTAACATAATCTATCCGGTCTAAGTAGTTGGGTTTATTCTGAAAAATTGAGGTTCACACTTTCCCCTTCTAAATGTAACACAAAAAAGTCATGACTGAACTCATGTTTTTCCGCTGAAAATGTTTACGAATGTGAAATTGGTTTTTCTATTTACAAAACCACTTCTATGCTTCTTTTCGGAAAAAATCTCCACGTTTGGCCAATATGAAGTTTCGGCAAGAACTACAAGTCAACTCATATACTCCTGATCTATCCGATACTCAAGTTTTGCCTTTATCGTATTCGAAAAATGATAAATATCTTCATTAGATTGCAAGCAATTGTTGAAATTCCATAGCACATGTAACTAACTTTATCTAATGGGGAATATTCCTCCTGACGAAAATCAAGTAGTTTTCATAAAAGAGCTCTAAAACAACGTATTTTAAACTTATCATTTCAACCTTTTTCTTTAAAAAAATATTTAAATACTTAAAAAAGAGATATGGAATAATGCTTTCAACATTTAAAGGGATTCGTTTCTATTTCACCATTTGGCAACATCGGTTATAGCTAAACAATGAATCTGTTACCTGTATGAGACAAACAAAGATGACATATTTCAGAGGCGTGCTGTTGTGTTTACTTATGTTCCGAGTTCCGAGACATTCTGTGACATATGACATTTTGTGCACCTAACCTATCTTCCTCTATATAACTAATAACGAAACACCTGTTGTTTATGTGGCTTTCGGGGGGGGGATTTAACTATAATTTTTATTTTGCCTTAATTGTTAATTTATAAAGATAATTTTCCTTTTTTAAAGTAGAATATCTAGGTAACCTGAACTCCGATCTAACATTCTAGGCGCTGTTGCCAAGATGTGAATTAGAAACAAATCCCTTTAAAAATTAAAACCCAATATTTGAAACATCAATTCGAATATTTTTCGAAGTGAATTTGAAAAACTCATGGATTAAACTCAATTTTATTTTGTTCAAACTTGCATTTGCTGTAATAACCCAAATTGAGGAACATTCCCCATTGTACGTTATAGGTTAGCATCAATTCGTGTCATAACACATTTTAAAAATATCACATAAATTCGTTTTCTTTTTTTTTTGTCTCCCTCAAAGACGATGGAAACCACGGAGAGAATAAATTGCAAGCATCGACTTTCGAATAAAAGGAGAAAATGACATCAAACCGTTTTGTTTCAGATCACAGCGCTGGCAACGACGTGGAATCGGATGTTCCGCAGAGACATAGAATATTTATTCCGTTTGCTAGGCCACTCAGAACGTGAGTAGTGTTTTTCAATTACATTCTTTCCATTGTTTCGATGTGGCGTTGGGTTTTCAGAGATCAACTACTTCATTCTTTCATTAACAATTCAAATACAGGGTTTTTCTTGATAATCTTTACTTATGAATACGAGCAATGATCACTTATGGTGCAATTGCCTGGTGGCCGAATGCTTTACAGAAAACGGCTCAGGCTAAGCTCTCTGGCTAATAGAGGCAGGCTCTTCTGGCCATCAGTACCATACCGTTAAGGGTCTTCATCCCTGAAAAAAAGGAGTCAGAAACGATTTTTCTTATTCTGATTGAGGAAAGATTGTATGAGTGTATAAAAGAAAAATAATTAAAAAAATATTTTTTGAATATAAGATGAATAAAAAGTATTTTCTCTCTCATTTTTGGGCATTTTTCTTCAATTCCACCATCAAAACTAACAAATATTTTGGTGTTATTCCATTTCGGTATTGAAGCCTATCATTTTCTCAGTTAAACGACTTTCTCATTTTTCTTTTTAATGTTTCCTTTATTTTGTTATTAATTTAATAAGAATGTGTTATTTATACGAATTTGATTTCCTTGCATTATGCCTTTCGAAATGGGAAATATCAAATTTTATCAAAGTCAACTAATGAAGTTTTGTTTCAGCCGTCGACTGGTGAAAACTAATTATTACTTTTGAATCTGGAGTCAGAATAGTAGATGGATTTCTTTTAAATGACACTCCCGTCAGGTAGCTCCTCCCACACGTCTGGTGAGGGAGAGAGAGAGTATCATAGAGCCATTGTAAAATGTAGCACAGGGTCGGATTGGGAATAGGAAAAGATAAAAGTTATTCTGACCGAACGAAAGATTGGAATATTAAAATTTCTACAATAACCAGATAGTTTTCAACTTACCTATCTGTATGTTTGCGTGTGTACACGTTTGTATCAAATCTTGCAAGTCTAATATCTTCCGATTGGCTTGAAATTTTACAGATATTCATTACTAGGGACAAAACTTCATGATATTTTCATATTAGGAAATACTTAGATGGAGGCTCTAGAATGTTGGACGAATTTCGTTATTTTTGATTCGATTACAATCAAAATTGGTAGCAAAAACATTGTTGGATTTCATTTATTTTCAACAGTTGCATACACATCAGCGGAATTGAATTATTCACGATTGGTATTGACTTATATTGTCTAACCCTTTATATGGAATCAGACATATTATTTAAACTGTGGACCTTTTCTGCAAAATATTATATTCAAATCATTCAATTTCAAAAATATATCTGGCAGTATGAATTAATTTTGAGGAACCGACTATGAATCATAAAATCTTTTCTGATACTTGATTTCTCAATTTTTTATTTTCTGAACACCCTGCTCATGTTTTCGAAAAAATAAATTTTGAACAGAACACGACTATAAATCACAAAATAACCCATAGCCATCTTTATGCTGCTATTTTGAATTCTTGAAATTTGATGAAAAACTCATTATCTTCAACCTCAAAATACCAGTGTTATATATAATTTGACAATTAATAACAAAACTCGTTTGCCATCTCGAATTTCTGAATTCCAACAGAAAAATAACTATCTTCGAACCTTAAAGCCAGTCTTCCATTGAGCCCGACCAGATATCACAAAACTAGTCCGCCCTCTTGAATTTCCGAAATTCAATAGAAAAAAATCACGCCTAGAGACTACAAAATACCAATTTTAAATCGAATCGGTCTATAATCACAATACTCGTCAGACATCTTGAAGCCGCCATCTTGAATTCATTAATTTTAACTAAAGATTCATAATGTGCGACCACGAAAACCCCATTGTACCAAATATGGATCGGATAACACAACTTGTCCGTCACCTTGAATTCATTAATTTTGATAATACATTTATACTCTACGAGCCCAAAAAAATCCACATACTAATTTCAAATCGATTCGGACCATAATCACATATCTCGTTCGATATCTTGGAACCGTCATCTTGGATTCGTTAAGTTTGACAAAAGATTCATAATCTCTGACCCCGAAAACTTCCTTATAGCAAGTCAAATCGGGCCCTAATCACAAATCTCGTCCGTATCTTGAATTTATCAATTTTGATAAAAGATTCATAATTTTCAAATAATCTGCAATTTTCGTGCCAACTTTGAGATCAACACGAAAACGAACATGTTTTTATCTAATGTAATTTGGGAGAACGAACACGTCGGCTAATAAAGTTCGGCCCTGGAATGCCCCGGCCTGGTCAAGTTAGAATTAGGGAGGAGTTTGTATTTATTTCATCGGGCGAAATCGCACTGCCATCTGGCGGTATACGTTTTCGTAACTAGAGGCTAAAGACATTTAACGATCATGGAGATCCTTCTAGATGTACTTCTCTGCACATTTTTTCATAGAGAGAGGCTAGATGGACTGGATATAGATTCGTGAATATTACCAATTACACAAGTCATTTTAATGCAGAGTACAACAGACTGCTGGCTGACACTGGAAGTCACAGACTCATGGTAACTTCAGACTACAGAGCGGTTGAAATTGAAGAAACACTTCTTTTTCATAACTTTGATTCGACTTGTAATGCGCATCTACTACGCATAGAAAGGAATTTTCCACTGGACACATAATTTTTCATGTGATACTAGTACTATGTTGCTGTATCGCTGCTGTTTCTATGTTTTGATAGACTCAGAATCAACGAACAGTGCTTTCAAAAAAGTGTTCTACAGCGCCATCTAGTGGCGAGTTACAGAAAAGTTGATGGCCTAAAAACCTTCTCTATGAAAAATTACTTATACATGTCAAGTTGCATCATTATCGGTTGAGCAATGTAGAAGTTTATCACTTACCAACCAACCAACCAACCAACCAACCAACAAACATCCATTTTTATATATTAGATTCGTGTGGGATTTTCTCTGAAGCACTCTGAAAGCAAAAGTGATATACCACTCAATTTATAGCATGATATTCATATCAAAAACGTTCTGTGGAGTTGTGAATCCTTCAGTCTGGGATACGCACCAAAGATACTTTGATTTGAGTGTGATATTGAATATTTCATTAAAAATTGCGTAAATAGAAGATCAGGAACTAATAATATATTACAATTTATGTAGAGTATCAGCAGTGGAGGATAAAAATATGGATAATGATATTTATAATGAAAAATACAAGTCCACTCTTTGCAAAAGTGAATCGAATAATCTTATTAAAAAGCATTCATGATCATTGACCGAGTCCGCGATTAGTCAAATGAATTTATACATGAGAAATTACGGTGCATATTAATTCATGATTTTTAAATATTAGATACTGAAGTATCTTTAGGATAACTTAGAACAAGGTGTAGGAATCTATTTTGAGGAATTGTACGTAACAAATCACCGATGAAGCCTATACCGGGTCGAAACAGCGCTGTCTGGTATTGGACTATGAATGGAACGCTTTTGATCTCTGGTATCTGCACTTTGAATAAATAAAATCAATCAATTTTCATTGCCTTTCTCGCAGTCTCTTCAATGTTATTCATTTTCCAGGGAAAACGCCACTAACCAGAACAAATCTTGCTCAGATGACGACTTTCCCGATTTTCTTTCGGAAGACCAAGTCAAGCAAGGTGGATTCGTCCTGGTCATTCTTATAGGAGTATATGGGTTCACTCTACTTGCTGTAGTATGTGACAAATACTTCTTGCCATGCGTGGAGACAATTTGCGAAGTGTTGAATTTATCCCCGGTTAGTATCACCTTTTTTCGAATCATTTTATCCTGTAATAATAATGAAGTGAATGATATAGCAGAAAGTTGCTTCACAAGAAATTAATTTTGAATAATACAAAAGCATAGAACTTACATTATATAAATGGAGACGTCCAGAATTGTAAATTATTAGGTATAACTGTCGCACTGATCATTTGATAGATGAATCATGTTCCACCATTTTTATTTTATGTCAGATACAGTGGTTCTTTACGCGAGATGAGGGACTGCCAATGGGATCGCCACTTAGTTACAGCCAGCATATACAGGGTTATTCAGGTTTGTTTCTGTACATGGGGATCTCGTAAACGATTAGAGACAGAATGTCGGTTAAATTATGGCAAAGTTACGTATTTTAGAGACCTATTCAATGATGTGAAGGAATAGAATATAGCTCTTTTGGTTCTGGAGATATACAGGAAAAACAAAAAAATCCCAAATAATTTTTTTGCCTATATCCTCTTTATTCGCAGACATATTGAAAATCTGTCCACATTTTGCTATTGACACTTGATGTGGCCTCTCAGAATATAGCCACGAATCTTTTATACACGGTGTCATCTGACTTGGGCCACCCCTATCTGTGAATTTTTAAATACGGACCTGTATTTTTTGTTGTAGTTTTTGAATTTTAGACGTTACGTTCACTTCATACTGAGAAATTAAATTCAATTTTATATTTCGGGATTTTTCGGTAATATTCGATTATAATTTTGTGAATTATTCCCTTTTAAATTACGGCCCTGGAAATTGGTTGACTGAGTTGAATAAAAACACAATAGCAACTTTCACGTCTCCTTATGTGCCGTACAGTCTTTCGAGAGTTTTTTTTCATTTTTAGGTACCTATTCATATTTTTTCCATTGCTCTGAGCATTTTCTACAATGAACTTCGAGTAAGAAAACCTTTTATGATTATCTGAAACATATCTACAACAAAAATATATTTTATGTGTTTTAATAAGCAGAAAAAAAAATGGTAGCAATAATAACATCCGAAACGAACACTATAATTATAATGAAAATTGAAATGAACCTACACAAAAAAATTAATTGTGCAATAAATGTTCAAATTGGAGTCCTTCCATTTCGAGACAAATGATGAGACAATAAGATGGTCTGCAAGATCACCAGATCTTACTATTTTGGACTTTTCTCTATGGGGGACATTGAAAAATAGGATTTACGCTGGCAGAGAAATAGAAAATGTTGAAGACTCGAGATTGAGGATTTTGAATGATTTTGCAACAATGCAACAAATAAGGGTATTAAGGGCAATAAATAATATGAAAAACCGAGTTTAAAAATGTCTCGAAATGGAAGGACTCCAATTCGAATATTTATCGCGCCAATAATTTTTTGTGTAAATAAATTACTTCATTTTAATTTTTATTACAATTATAGTGTTCGTTTCGGATGTTATTATTGCTCAGAGCAATGGAAAAAAAATGAATAGGTACCTAAAAATGAAAAAAAAACTTTAGAAAACCTCTACGATACATTGGGAGATGTAAAAGTTGCTATTATGATTTCATTCAACTCAGTCAACCAATTTCCAGGGCCGTAATTTGAAAAAGAATAAATCACACAATTATAATCGAATATTATCGAAACATCCCGAAATATAAAATCAAATTTAATTTCTCGGTATGAAGTAAACGTCTACGATTCAAAAACTACAACAAAAAATGCAGGTCCATATTTGAAAATTCAAAGATGTGGGTGGCCCAAGTCAGATGACACCCTGTATAAGAGATTAATGGATATATTCTGAGAGCCCACATCAAGTGCCAATAGCAAAATCTGGATAGATCTTCAATATGTCTGCGAATAAAGAAGATATATGCAAAAAAATAGTTTTGGATTTTTTTGTTTTTCCTGTATATCTCCAGAACCAAAAGAGCTATATTCGATCTCTTCACATCATTGAATAGGTCTCTAAAATACACAACTTTGCCACAATTTAACCGACACTCTATCTCTCATCGTTTACGAGATCCCCATGTACAGAAACGAATTTGAATAGCCCTGTATAAACTCTGACCATTGAAGAAACTCACATGAAGTCTCAAGTCTGGTTGAGATACGTTGACGACACCTTCATAGTATGGGACCCATGAGAATACAGAGCTAGACACCTTTCTGAAGCACTTCAACAGTATAAAATCTTCCGTCACCTCCACAATGAAGAAGAGAGTCCACAACGAATTGATGAAGAGGAACGACACTGAGTGGGAAATTTCTTTATAACGAACACCCATTTACAAGAATCCAACCACCATTAATCTACCAAAGGAGGAATCATCAAGACTCTAGTAGGTCGTGCTTTCGGGCTCCGTAATACAAAAGAAGGAAGAGAAGCCGCCATAATCAGTGATTGTCCTTTCTTACATCAGAGGATTATCGGAAAGGATAAGAAGAATTGGGTCCAAGTACAATATCAAAACCTGCTTAACAACCGGTTCAAGAGGAAGTTCAGAGAAGCTTTTTAATTGTTTTCCAAAGACACATTCAGTCAAGCCAGCGTAGAGATACACAGCATATGAAAACCTGTAATTAAGCGAAAAAACGGTCAAATCCTGCTAAACCAGAGAAACGGAGCTTTTTAGGCTTGTCTAATACTGAACTCTGCGGAATCAGAGGATTTTTATTTATATGAAACTAGTACTAGGTTGCTGTATCGCCGCTGTTCCAATGTTTCGACAGAATCAGAATCAACGAACTTAGGCGTGCGCAGCGTTATAGAACAGTGCTTTCAAAAAGTTGTTCTACAACGCCATCTAGTGGCGAGTTACAGAAAAATTGATAGCCTGAAAACCTTCTCTATGAAAAATTACTTATACATGTCAAGTTGCATCATTATCGGTTGAGCAATGTAGAAGTCTATCACTTACCAACCAACCAACCAACCACTCAACCAATTAACCAACCAACCAACCAACCGACCAACCAACCAACAAACATCCATTTTTATATATCAGATACTATCTGAAAAAAATATTCTGAGCAATTATTCATAACAACGGTTCACCCAGTTTCAATAATGTAAAATTTGGTGTAAAACAGGGCTCTGTTTTGGGGCCAGTATATAAATGACTTTACCCATCGTTTAAGATGTCGAAATGAAGATATTATAGTTATCCTGATCTATGCTCGTGAAATTCATGTTTCCCCTTAATTCATTGCAGTAGAAACTGCAAATAAATCTAGGTAAATAATGTTTCGTTATGAGCAGACTAGAAACCGATGTTGTGTTTCAATAAAATCATTGAATACCTCTCAGTTGAAAATTTATTCGATTCATTTGAGGAATATAAACAGTGTGTGAAACAAGGAGATGTAACTAGGATGAACACTTATATCTTAACATTAATAATGTTATTGTTTCATTAATTACTTGATATGAATGTGCAACTATGTATAATGTAGTCGAATAAACTATTATATCTCATTCCTAACTGACCTTCACTTGAGGAGTTGTAAATCATTAAATGGCAACATAAGGACTTACCCTTTATTATTTATTCATCAATGATTTTAACAATTGCAATTTATGTAATTTTTATCACTTCGATTCTCATAGCACCTTTTTTTGAAATCTTGCGATTCTTTCCAAATGTCAACACGAGAAAACAAATTCAACAGTGTAGAAGTAACCTATTTCAACTGATAGATTAGCAATCGAGTTTCACGTATTGAGTTTCATAACGTCGTCTATTTACACATGTGAAATTAGTCTTTTCGTTCTATGATCTTTCATTCTTTGTGGAAGTATTCTTACCGTTTGACCAATATAACAATTTCAAAGTTGAGGCCCAAACCGCACGTTACTTCATATAGGTATAATGCGTAGTTGAATAGTTCCTTTTTACTTCTATTACTTATGTAATCCAACTTATATACGTTAATTACTTCAGGATGTAGCAGCAGCAACGTTCATGTCGATTGCAACCTCAACTCCAGAGCTGTTTACAAATATTATCGGAACTTTTATAACTGAATCAGATATTGGAATTGGTACGATTGTAGGATCCTCGATGTTTAATGGACTGGGTGTAGCAGCTATTGGGAGTTTGGCAGCACCATTTGTGAGTGATTCTATTTAAAGAAAGATTTTATCAACAAATATTTTTTGAGGAGAGTTTTCATAACTTATATCCGTAGTTCATTGTTCAGAAATCGATATCACACATTGGAACAACCTATTTTTCTAGATAGGTAAAAAGTCTTGGTCATCTCCTAATGACCCTGTATTATAAATAGTAAGCTAGGGTGGTTGTCATGACGTCAGATAACAAGAATAGAGGTACAACTATAAGGTACAAAAACTGCTAGAAGAACTGAAAAAAAATAAAGTTTGTTCCCGTTCATTGATGTTTCAAAAGGCTTATAACATGGTGTCAGAAGTGGGATATGTTCATAAAGACACTTCCTACACCTGAACTTTTGAATTTTCGTCACAACTTCAGATTTCAGTGTTTTTAGATGCTCTTCACTGAGTTTGATAGATTTACAATACTCTATAATCTTCAATACAGTTATATCCGAATCCCTCATTAGACTGGATTGAATATGTTTGTCTTGTATGTCAACAATCAGACGATCTCTAATCATTTTCTCTTCATATCTTGTATTGCACTGAGGATTTCGGCATATAAAATCATATAATCTAGCTTGCTTCTTCAGCTCAGTGAGATACTGCTCAAAGAATCCATATGCTTTTTCTTGGTAGAAAATAGTCATCAAAGGTAATTGAGAAGAATGGCTATCATCAAATCCTCTTGAATTTCAGATATATCAGATGGTTTCAGATATATTTCGAATTTTTGTTTCCGAATTGACCAACTTTTAAAGACGTAAACAGTAAACGCCTCGGAGTTGTATAGAGACGTCATTTTGACTGTCAAATGATGTCAAATGATTTTTTTTATACTTTTCTTGAATTATGGGCTGGAAGTCTCACAGATGAGTAGCAGTATGAAGTGAACGTCTACGTTTCAAAAACTACAACAAAAAAAACAGGCCCGTATTTAAAAATTCAAAGATGGGGGTGGCCCAAGTCAGATGACACCCTGTATAAAAGATTCATCAATATGTTCTGAGAGCCCACATCAAGTGCCAATAGCAAAATGTGGACAGATTGTCAGTATAATAATAATAAAGAAGATATAGGCAAAAAAATAATTTGGGATTTTTTGGTTTTTCCTGTATATCTCCAGAACCAAAAGAGCTATATTCGATTTCTTTACGTCATTGAATAGGTCTCTGAAATAAACAACTTTGCCACAATTTAACCGACACCCTATCTCTTATCGTTTACGAGATCCCCATGTACAGAAACGAATTTGAATAGCCCCGTATATCGCCAATGATTGAAAAAACTTTTACACGCGCGGTTCAGTAACTAAGTTAGCATCATCAAGTTGTTGAAACAAAGACTAGGTGGAATATCCATCGTTGAAGAAGTGAAACAGTTGGTCGAACTATGAATTTGGAAAGTGAAAATATCCCGTTTCATACGCCACTTCATAGGAAGTATTTCAAATAATAGTTTTCCCGGAAAATATTTCAATTTTGTTGAAACAAAACATTTTGGATGTTGCCTTTGAAATATCACATGTGCCGTACTTGTCCACACATATGTTTTAATGAAAAAACAATGCCTCAACATTTCTGAATTACAATCTGAGTATATGAATTTATACAACGAAACTGAAAAGAAAGCTGAACGGGGTAAGTTAATTTCTGATCCCAAAAAAGTCAAATTAATCTGAAAAAACAATTCGTTCCAGCCAGTCTCAACTCAGCTAGACTGTAAGTTGATGGATTGAAACCTATCAGAAAACAACTACTCCCCTGGCTAATACCACGAAGGGTGTTGGATTATATCCGACAGTTATAAGTGCAGAAAATGGGGCAATGGGAAGTATTCAGCAATGACATGTCAAAATACGTCAGATACGTTTTTTCGTGTTGGTTGGGAAATGGAGGAGTGGGGATGAAGGAAACACGCGGGAGGATAATATTTGTCAACGCAATAGAAAAAACACTGCTGCCGTACAGGATGTCTCATCTTTTAAGAAAAAAACATGTACAGGGTGTCTCAAAATACGTCGGCATAAAAAATAATGGTATGATAATAATAATGAACGAAAAATTGGATTGAAGAAGAAAACATGGCCACGGGCGTTAAAGAAAAAAAACATGATTGCCATCGAAATATACAGGGTGTCTCATTTAAGAAAAAACATGACAGTTCAAAAGGGGGCTCTATCGTTTTGACGTGTGATTCTTCAATGTGTACAGGGTGTCTCAAATTGAGTCATTCAAGAAAAAACATGTCAGTTCAACAGGGCCCTATTGTTTTACCGTGTGATTCTTCAGTGTGTACAGGGTGCCTCATTTAAGAAAACAAACAAGACAGGGGGCCTATCGTTTTAACGCGCGATTTGTATAGGGTGTCTCAAAATACGCCATTTAATGGAGCTTAAGTTTAGTCATTTTCAGGCCTCGTAGTGGAACCTTGTGGAATACCCAACCCGAGGTAGATGTGACGTGTGTGAGAGTTATACGATGTAATAAATATGTTTATATGGGGAAGAAGTGTATATGAAATCATCGTGGAGTAGAGCAAAATCAAATACGGTGGCAGATCAACTTTTCTTCTGTCGAGGGCATCAAGCAGACTATCCACCAGGAGCGACCACAGAAGGGGAGATAGTACCCTACCTTGAGGGCAGCCCCTGGTGACCCTGAACCTGATAGCCTCGCCTTGAAGCATGGCATAGATCCAGCCAGTTATGGTCGACTCTATACCCTTTCTAGCCTGATATACTCCTATAGATTAAGGTAGTGCATTGTCAAATGCTCCTTCAAAATCAAGAAATACAGCAACCGCAATCTCCTTGTCGTCAAGGGATTGGGAGATTTCCTCAACGAGGTTGTTTAATGCTGAATCTGTCGATTTGCCGGTTTGATAAGCATACTGGTGGTTATCCAGTGGGGATGCAAATAATGCTACCCTCCTGATATGTCAGTCCAGTATCCTCTCAAGTCCTTTCAGCAGGAAGGATGTAAGGCTGATTGGTCGTACCGATTTGGGGTGTGGGTTTCTCCGGCCCACTTTAGGTATATATACCACCCTTGCTGCCAACCAACTGAGTGGTATATAGTTCCACGTCAGACTAGCTCTATACAATTTTGTGAGAATAGGTAAAGTTATTTCCAGTCCGTTTTGAAGAAGAGCTGGAAATATATCATCCTCTCCGGGAGATTTGAAGGGCTGAAAAGACTTGATATCCCATTCAACTGCCGGTGCTGTGATAACCTTTTTTGCGACGTCCCAGTCGTTCTTTTTTGGGCGTTTAGCGCCCTCGAAAATGGGCGGTCTATTGTTATCAAGTGTTAGATCACCAGGAAAGTGGTTTTCTATCAAAAGCCCTAATGTTTGTCTGAAGAACAACTATGTGAAATATCTGCTTGTCATATTAAACAGTTGAATTTAGTAGTTCTTTGTGTCTATAGATCCACCAAGCATAAAAATTCAGATGGTTTCATACGTATAATATCTAGGGCACTTCATTTTATTAATAACCTAAATCATTGCATCAGAGTGGTGGTTGCAGGGGACTTCAATGTTCATTTCAACAACTCTCAAGATGAAAATGCACGTGGAGTTTCTGATCTATTTGAGTCTTTCGGCCTAAAACAAACAATCTTTGAGACTACTCATATACAAGGGAATTGTCTTGAAAACATTTTCACAAATGAAAACTTTAATATCTCAAATCTATGGTGGGGTGCTTCAGATCATAAGTGCCAAATGATTGACTTGCTAGACGCCACTCAGGTAGAAAAAAAAAAGTTGACGACCACTTAAAAAATAGCAGAAGGCTGTACTCTCAATATAATATTGAACAATTAAATGGATTTTTGGAACTTGAGACATGGCGTAGTGTGTTTATTGAAGAAACTGCTAATACAAAATATAATAATTTCCATGAGACTTTCTTTCACCATTTTAACAATTCTTTTCCTTTAACTTTGATAGGACAATATAAAACTAACAATACAAACCGGGTAACACCGGAAGTTTTTAGAGCTAGAGAGCAAGTACTGTTTCTATATGACTTTTATAAAAACCACCCGACCGAAAATAACAAAGCTGCATATAGACTTAGTAAAAATGTATATAATAAAATGTTAACGTACTCACGTAAAACTTTTAATGAAAGTAAAATTAAAATGTCAGTAAAACTATTTGGAACATTATAAAAACTGAAACAGGGAAAAGAAGTACACAAAGGGTGTATCCAAAAAACATAAGTTTAAATAATTTGAACTTGTCATTTATCACTCATGCTGAAAATCTAGTAAACAGTTTACCAAACAGTTCAAAGGATATAGAAGAATATTTAGGCAAAACGAATAATACTGGATATTCAATGTTTTTTAGAGCAATTTATAGATATAATGTTCTAGCCGTGATACAGACGTTGAAAAATAAGAAGACTGAAGATATATATGGAATGAGTGTCTATGTTGTTAAACAGTGTGGTCATTTATTGTTGGACGTTCTTGAAAATATCATTAATACCTCTCTAAATGAAGGATGTTTTCCCTCAATGCTTAAGTTGGCAAGAATCTCCCCAATCTATAACAGAACTAACTCAAAACTTCAGGCAAATATCAATCTTGCCTTGCTTTTCAAAAATATTTGAAACTATTCTTTATAATCAACTAGTTGATTACTTCGAAAAGAACAAAACCTTGAGTCCTCAGCAGTATGGTTTTAGGAAAAATATGTCCACTTTGGATGCTAACAAGTCATTAACTCGTGCTATAAAAGCTAGTTTTGAAAGAAACGAAAAATTTTTGGGAATCTTCACAGACCTAAGTGCAGCTTTTGATTGTGTTGATCATGACTGAGGAAAATGGAGTACTACGGAATAAGAAAAGTGGCACTGAAACTAATCAAATCCTACTTGTCCCATCGATTTCAAGTAGTTTGTATTGAAAATCAGAGAAGCACTCCTCAGATAATAAGTAGGGGAGTTCCTCAGGGATCAATACTGGGCCCCCTTCTCTTTATTATTTATATAAACGATTTGCCAAATATGTTCTCCTCAAATATCGAGACAATTATGTATGCTGATGACACCACATTTGGCATCAGTATCAATAAAGGGGAGTGTCCGGCTACAATACTTGGGGAAGTTATGGAACAAGCAAAAACCTGGTTCTTGACAAACAAGCTCATACTCAATGAAAAAAAAACCAAAAGTCTCATTTTCGAATCCAGGCTATTCTACAATGTAGAAAACAACCCAGACATGCTGCACACTAAATTTCTGGGTGTAGATATAGATGTCAGGCTATTATGGAACATACATATATATACAATTTGCAATAGACTAAATAGTGCAGTATTTGCTATAAGAAAAGTTAAACAACTTATTAACCAATCCGCTGCAATAACTACTTATTATGCACTGTTCGAATCCATTATTAGATATGGCTTGTCTGTCTGGAACTCGGCAGCTTAGTTTCATTTAAATGTTATATTCGTCATTCAGAAGAGGGCTGTAAGATGTATCATAGGAGCTAATTTTGAAGACTCCTGCAAACCAATCTTCAAAACGTTGAAAATAATGACACTTTACTCTCTGATAATTTTTGTAAAGTAACTATATGTCAAACAAAACATTAATAGTTACTCTGTTGTGTCCGATATACACGGTCACAATACTAGAAATAAAGATAATTTGATTTTACCTCAAACCCGGTTACAAAGAATGGACGATACTATTGATATCAAAATGTACAATGTCCTACCTCTTACAGTACGTTCTCTGAACTATAGTAAATTTAAAAAATATTTAAAGACATTACTTACGGAAAATCCCCTATATAGTATTAATGACTTTTTCCATTCACTCCCGGGACCATAGAGCAAAGATGCCTTTCACGATTGTATGTATGTACTGTATTATTATTTTTATTGCACTGTATCTTCTGAAGATTTTATATTTTACTTTTGGCCTATGTTAATTTGATGGTATTTTGTGACATGTTCTAAAGCTGTGACTTTGTTATGAACCAAATGAAAAATTTGAATTTGAATTTAAATTTACTAGAGGTCGCAAATGATCCATCGGGTCGTTCAAGCGACCCAATTTCAGCACTCGGCTCTATAGAGAGAATCTTGTGAATTCTTGCGCTGCGATGTAAATCAGAGATAGAGATTTGTAAGTTTACATTCATAATAGCATTCCCATACCAGTCAGCGATTAACTCACACACCGATCTTCTTGCAGCCTCTTCAACTTGACTGGTGGCCCATCACAAGAGATGTTTGCCTCTACTCTGTTTCGGTGTCAGCTCTAGTGATCATCAGTTGGGACGAAAATATATTCTGGTACGAGGCATTGGTTCTGATGATAATCTACGTCATATATTTCACGATAATGTCCCAGAATCGTAGAATCTCGAAATTCATAAGATCCAAATTTAACGTGAACAAAGAACAAGCCGCTCAGACCGTGGAAGAGAATCCGACCACGGTTCCAGATGGGAGACTTTCTATAATATCGGCTTACGGATCGTACCTCGACGATGTCAACAAACCAGGATATGTGGCGGAACATATCAAGACGCTGGAGAAACTTCAAGAGGAAGAAAAAGCAGGTGATGGATTTTTTTTATATTCGAAGAACGTTTCCTCAAGAGGGACAAAAACAGTTGTTAGCTGATTGATCAGAAAAATACAGCTAATAAATGAAACATTTCTTTCTTTATTATTTTCCGAAAGTTTTAGGTCTTCTAGAATGCCTTTTATTCATTAATTTTCCAAAAGAACGTATGATAATTAGTTTCCGGTACAGATTGATGACTTTTTTCTTTTCAATACGACCGATTCAATGGGATTCCTTTTGAGGTGGGATTTCTGTATTCGTTAAACCCTGAAAGTCAGGAATGAGGTGTTGCTTCTCTTAGCTCTTCCATACATTTCGATTTGCCGGAAGCCTAACAAAAAACAACTACTTTTTTGACTGAAACAATGATAGAATTTGGATTACAAAGTCGTTTTATAGATTAAGAGACTCGAATCAACCATCAACCATCAACCAGTAGTATCAAACATTTTACCGATGTAGAATAAATCTTTCTTGATTCTTTCGACTATTTTTACTATTCAGTAACCCAAACCGTATATTTTGGTCGAATTCAGTTTACTCATTTCCATTTCAAACGTTTTTTTCCATTTTTCAGAGGCATCCAAATCGCTTTTCAGAAAGCCCGAAGGAAGCTTATTCCACAAAATTATTTTTTACTACACCTGGCCAATACAAGTAGTTCTTAGATATACCGTACCAAATCCAAAGATCTATCCCAAATTATTTCCCATCACTTTCGTCATGTGTATCGTTTGGATTGGACTGAATTCTTACGTTGTGGCTTGGATGATATCGATTATTGGTGAGTAAACTTTTGAACAAAAATATAGTTTGAAATAAAAAATAAAAAACACCTTTTTAAAGAACATCGAACTGAAAAGTTAAAAATGAATACATGGTGTAACTGAATAAGTGTAAAACATTTGAGGAGGTGATTCTTCAACGAAAAAAACATAGGATCTTTCATATGAAGAAACTTCATTGGAGCATCCCTTGTTAAGATACAGCCCCTTAAAGGGGCTGTATAACAAATTTTTTCACAAGCACTGAAAAAGTTACAATATTGAAATTAACCTGACGTTTTGTACTACCGAAAAGACACTTAGCCAGTAATTTATTTGATTTACCCCATGTTTGTAAGGGGTGGAAAACGCAACCCCTAAAATTTATTTCCAATGTAACTTTTTGTCTTATTATTTGCTTATCATTTAAAAATTTATTTCCGATAGACTGTTCCATTCTAAACAAAAAATGTATCTTGGTTTTTTTGCACAAAATGAACCAGTTCGCAGCAAAAAATTATTTTACGAACAACTACAGAGATACATCGTCATAAATGCGAACTGGATTTATTGTTATTTTGTAGTTAGTACCTGCATTAAACGATTAAAGGGTAATAAACAAAACTAATTTATCAATAACAAAACACACAGCATGTAGAAATCAAAGTAAATGTTCAATATGTCTACCTTCAGACATTACGCATGCGTCTAGACGTCGGCGCATTGAGCCACGTATTCGCTCAAATATTCCTGGAGTCTCTCTGATCACCCTGCACGCATCGATGATGCGTTTTTTTTAGTCCTCTACATCGCGAACAGGAGTACGATAAACCGAATGCTGTAAATGGCCCCAAATAGAGAAATCAAGAGGATTAAGATCCGGGGATCAAACGGGCCAGTTCTGTGGTCCTCCTCGACCTATCCACTGATTTGCATATGTTTCAGTTAAATGCTGACGTGCTACTTGACTAAAATGGGCGGGAACCCCATCATGCATAAAAAACATATCCCTTCTAACGCCCAAAGAAACTTCCTCCAGCAGTAATGGATGCACTTCTCTTAAAAATTGAACGTTTGCCTCACCATTTAATCAAGGAGTTAGAAAATGAGGCTCAATTAAATCATCCCCACTAACTCCGAGCCACACGTTAAGAGAAAACTGTTCTTGATGGTTAGTTTCGACAATAGCGTGAGGGTTCTCATCAGCCCATATGTGGTAATTATGAAAATTAATAATCTTGTCCCGAGAAAAACTACATTCGTCTGTGAATTCTATCGTCTTCAGGAAGTCACAATTTCTTATAATCATTTTCAGCATCCAATTGCAAAATTCAGGACGGTTCGGAAAGTCTCGCGGTAACAGTGCCTTTAAAATTCGAAATACCGTCATATGATCAACATTTAGCTGGAAAGCATTCTTTCTAGTACTGGTAGTAGGTTGTTCTTCAATCAAATTAAGTACTGCTTCCTCAAGCTGTGGTGTTCGTACTTCTCGATGGCGACCACAATCCTGCGTTCTTTTATCGAATGAACCATATTCTCGTAATCGTTGATGAAGTCTAGCAAATATTCTATGTGAAGGATGCTGCCGTTGAGGATACATTTCAGCATATCTTCTAGAAGCTTCTAACCCATTCCCCTGCGACAGACCATAAACGTAATGCATATCAGCCATTTCCTCATTTGAGTATGCCATTTTAATAACATGTGACTTATTAAAGTAACAAATTGAGAATAGAACAACAATACACAATTAGTATCAATTCAATTTCGAAAATTCACAAACTGACAGCGTCATATATACCAATTTAATTGTCACTATCGCTAATAGCGACCTACTAGATAGCTAGACGTATTTTCGCATTTATGACGATGTATCTCTGTAGTTGTTCCTAAAATAATTTTTTGCTGCGAACAGGTTCATTTTGGGCAAAAAACCCAAGAGACATTTTTTATTTAGAATAAAACAGGCTATCGGAAATAAATTTTTAAATTGTAGACAAATGATAAGACAAAAAGTTAAAGTGGAAATAAATTTCAGGGGTTGACTTTTCCACCCCTTACAACCGTGGGGTAAACCAAATAATTTCTGGCTAAGTGTCTTTTTGGTAGTACAAAACGTCAGGTTGATTTCACTATTGTAACTTTTTTAGTGCTTGTGAAAAAAATTGTTGTACAAATTTTATGTATCTCCTTTTGGGGCTGTATCTTTACAAGGGATGCTTCAATGAAATTTCTCAATATGAAAGATCCTATGTTTTTTTCGATGAGGAATCACCTCCTTGAATGTTTTACACTTATTCAGTTATACCCTGTATAGTTAAAAAAAAACTAAAATACACGCTTTTAAAGAACGTCGAACTAAAAAGTTAAAAATGGATATAGTTTAAAAAACTAAAAAGACACGCTTTCAAAGGACATCGAACTAAAAAGTTTTAAAAAAAATTAAATAAGCTTAAAACAATAACGATCGAAAAATACCAAAATTATTGTGAAAAAAAGCGATGGGCGCTTGATATACAAAAAATATGGCACAAAGCACCCACGCTTTTTTCACAATAATACTAGTGTTTTTCGATCGATATTGTTTTGAGCTTATTAAAAAAAAATTAACTTTTTAGTTCGATGTTCTTTGAAAACGTGTTTTTTAGTTTTTTTAAACTATATTTATTTTCAACTTCTCAGTTCGATGTTCTTCAAAGCATGTTCTTTAGTTTTTTCAAACTGTATCTGTTTATTCTGATTTTCTTTTGAACAACCCATCAACGAGGTTACATACAGCGCCATCTGCCCGCGAATAGATCAAGCAATAATGTTGAAAGTCACGTACAGCGCCATCTGCCCGCGAATAGATCAAGAAATATCGAGGAGATTACGTACAGCGCCATCTGCCCGAGAATGGATCAAGTGATAATGCCGATAATACTGTCAATACAGATCCCAAACTTTAAAGTTGCAAACAAACAAACATACATACTAACAAATAGATATAAATTAGTACACGTGTCTTTGAAGGTATCGCCATCTGTGTGTCAGTCCACGAAATTTTCGGCTCATCTAGAAGAAAGCCGAAACCTTTTTTTTCCGAAATGAATCTCTCCTTGAAATGTATCCCTTTCAATCTGAATAGCTATTGTATTGCCAATAGAACATACTGAAAGACGTCGAAGAAATGAACTCAACTCTCTTCCTCCTCTTTCTTTCAAGGACATTGGACTTCTTGAGTTCTGTTCGAGGTAGATAGTTTCTTGAAATAATGAAATGCTGCTTCGTTCGAAATATGAAGTTGACACTATTTTATCGACGAAGCTTATTGGGTTAGTCGATGTCCATTTCATCTTGGTTGATATTTATATCCAACTCATCATTGTTTGGTCCTGAAGAAGAGCTATTTTGTGTTCTCGAGTGAAATGGATAACATTGGAATAAAATAAGTGGCCACTTAATTTTATCGCGTTCATTTTTTCAGGTGCTCTGGTTGGACTCTCAGATGCCGTTATGGGTATGACCTTATTAGCTGCAGGAAGTTCTTTACCAGAATCAATTTCTATGGCTATAATAGCGAGACGAGGTTAGTATTTTTTCACTAGAAACACGAGTTCAATAAATATTATTGGAGTTTTTTCCCAACACCAAACCGTTATTTCAACACCTCGACATGTGTTTCGATCACCACGTGATCAAACAGTTTGATCTTCCTCTTCCTTCCTGGAGTTCCGCAGAGTAGTGTATTGGGTCCAATTCTATTCATAATTTATATCAAAGATTGTCCTCACTTTTTGTCCCCCAATAAACTGATTTATTCTGCCGATAGTAAAAGCAGTAAAATGAAGACTTACTTTTTCCCAGGTGAAGGAGCATTTGGAGTATCGAATTCCTTAGGAGCCAACACCATGAACATCCTTTACTCGCTTGGAATGCCATGGTTCATCAAGAACTTAGTCGATGGAGCCAGCACGGCGCGACCAGTTAAAATCCATTCCGGTTCCATAGAGTATACAATTCTCTCTTTGATTTTCGTCTCCTTCTGCTTGTTCACGACGTTGGCCTGCAATAAGTTTAGACTATCTAAATGTACGGGAGTGGTGTTGATTACCATATACGTGACCATGGTTGTTCTAGCCATATTATCCGAGACGGTTTTCTTCGACAACGACGGCTGTTGAGAGAAGAAGGGATGGAAACTATTTGAGATTTTTTGACGCTTATTAGTACTGTAGGATCGGGGGGAAGCAGTCAATCGTCGGGTTGGCAAACGGAAGACATATTAGTATTATGGTACCTCGTCGAATATGTTTATTGTGTATGTTTCGGGTGTGAAATCCCAAGAGGGAGTTAAACTCAAATGTTGAAGTGGATCATTTATAAATAAGCACACTTCCTGAATCATAACGTGTATGTATCACGAGCTTCATTGGAAGGTTCTTTTTTTAAATTATTCATCAATATACAGTGCCAAAGAGAAAGGTTTTTGGAAATGACCAACTTTTATTAGGAAGTACAATCGAGAAAAAATGAGTTTGTTTCATGCTATAGTTTGCTTGTAGACTGATCAAGTTAGAACCTAATCAGCCCCAAGATCTCTTTATATTTGCCAAAAAAAAAACAATTCGAAAAGCAAGAATTTAAATTGGCCGCGTGTCTGTTGACCACTAGAATTGATCGTGTCTACAGCGGTGTTGCCAAGTGTATTTTACTTTGAATCACGAATGAATCAGAAACTGTTTACACGCTCCGTGAATTTGGCAATGTAGATTATTTGTATTGTGGTCAATCGAATAAGAAGCGGGACTAGGCCCGTGACGTCACGTGAAATTATTATCAAATGAAACTGTAAAGTAAAAATCATGGAACAAGCCTATTTTGGCCCAAATACCTTCGGCGAGTGTTGACAACTACATGTTAACCACTAGGGAACGGGAACCCCAATCTTTCCTTTTTTTAGGTGGAAAATAAGGTAATGAGTGATATATAATTGCAAATAATATATAGGTACGTATATTTTCATTGGAGATATATGAGTTAAGAACAAACGGATGAAATTACAATCGATAATTGGTAGATAATTGAATGCATAGTTACTAGAAATGAGTATGGAACGTAGCAGGTAGATAATCAACTAAACATTGCTTGCAATATTGATAATTTTTCAAGGACAGAACACAAGCGCTATAGGAAAATCTTCAAGGCCTGTGCAGGAGTTGCGATGCACGTTGGATTTGAATCGCTGGAGATTGAATTAATTTGAAAAAAACGTTCTCAGAAAGTTTATTCCACATATACGCAGTTCTTGAACTGGAAGAGTTCTTGAGCAGTGAAGGTCGAGGTGTACTGAGTTGAATCTCAAAACGATAAGCAGCCACATTCCGTCGCGTATTTCTTGGTGAAATCAAATGTGCCAAGTCACTTGAACAACTCCTGTGGAAGTATCTATAGGAGAGAGACAAATTTCCAACGTTTCGTCGATGTTCCAGACCAGGGGTCTCCAAACTACGGCCCGCGGGCCAAATCCGGCCCGCCAGTGTCATCAATCCGGCCCGCGACAGCCAATGATTTACTGTCATCAATCTGGCCCGCGACAGCCAATGATTACCTAATTGCTGTTACTATTGCTGTGATAAGTTGAAGAAGAAAACACAGAATGATAATTACTTGGTTTTATTCACTTGCAAGGTAAAACTTAACGACAGAAATGATGACAAAGAAAACTTAACTTAAGTATCTAAGTTTAAGCATATTAATAACTAACAAAATAATTGAAATTGAATCACAGTAAAACAAAAACACTAATGAGATTTATGTAATTGTGATTTTCCACCGACAATACTTTGTAGTTGTGGATCAATTTTACTTGTACTAATTATCAAAAGAGATTTAAGATGCTCATCGGTTAATTGATATCTGTAAACATTCTTTGTGTACTTCATCTTCATCAGTTTCGTTTTCTCACACAAGTAAGTAGTACCAAAAATAGAAAACAACCTACGAGCAAATTTATGCAAATCATCGAATTTTTTCAGTGGAAGACTCTTATAAAATTCCAACAAAGATGAATTTTGATATACAATAAGTCAAATCAAAATACTTTTATTGACGGGTGTTACTTTATTTCACAATAGACAGTTTCGCTTCCTTCGCCTTTCCTACGCAGACTAACTCGCAGTTGCACCGCTAGCCTTTTTATATGCAATTATTCCTGCCATCTCGAGGTGATCGGAATACACTAGCTGGAACTAGAACTTTCTCGAACCAACGCGGTAATTCCAAATATTTAATTACGCCTAAAGCCACCTACCGGGTAGCTTAAAAAGATAGTACATAGTACCACTGCTCGCCACTAGATGTCGTTAAGTGTCACAATACACAATAATAATTGCAAAAAAAAGCGTAAGTTCGCTTAGGTCACGCACTTTGCGACTATCCTAGTCTAGAAATATAGTTAAGTGCAGAAATTGGCCCTTGGAACAAACAGAGTTCCGACCTTTTGAGAAGCAGCCTTTGCAATTCCAGCGACATGATTATGCCAACAAATATTGGTGTCCATTTTAACCCCCAAGAAAGCGGAATTGTCTGTCCTAACATCATTATCTCATCCCAATTCGCCCTTCTTTGGAGTACCGTTCTAATGTATGGATCTCCGCTACCAAGTATACAAAAACAACTCACAGTTCACCACACAGAATAATTTCTCCACTCACTGCAATAACACGATGTGCACAACACGAGTTCCTCGATGATAATGAGCTCTCGTCTCACTCCGCTGGCTCATTTAATGTGCATCGAATATTCAGATGCACCGCTAGATTTGCCAAGATGTAATAGGGTAGATATACGAGTATTCTCAGCGGTTCAAAATTCATACCGGAAATAATGTCAAAAAGTTCCTGTGGGATGGGGTACCTATCGGGTGCGTTCCCAGGTGGCGGATAGGGGAACGGCCAGGGGACTGGGGGTCCTAACTGGGAAGCCAATGTGGCCTTAGGGACGCGGTCGCCGGACTCCAGGTCATTGGCAGTGAGGTGAGGGGAACTGAAACTTCCCAAAAGCCTTTGCTAAACATGCCACCGTGGACCAGTCTACCCAAGCTGAGGTGTAAGGAATCGTGCCGACAGCTGAATGGCCGCAGCGCAGGGTGATATGGGGTCACGAAGGATCCCCTTGGGGAACTGGGCGATACCTCATTATAATCAGCCTGCCTTTGGTAATACGGGGCTCTGCTAGAGGTGACCAACTCTTCCCTTGCTACTCGTGGGAACGCACATGAATGAAACAACAGAAACAACAAAAACAAAAACCAATCCCGAGGCTGGACAGAAGTGCTCACCTCAATCTAAGGCGGTGGTTGGGGATGAACAGAAATCTACCGCTTGGAATAAGGCTGGACATAGCAGATCACCTCCAACAGCAACAGCACTTCCTGCGGCGGAAGCCAAGAGCTCCACCTTGAACAAAGGCAAGGAACCAGCTGCCTTTGCAAGGAAGCTCCCTCACTTGTGCACCTCCACGGAGGGAACCCCAAGAAGGTTGAAAACCTCCGCGCAACGACAGTAACATCACTGCACCTTCCAAAACCTTCGCGGAGGCCAACGTGAGACACCTCAAGGTTGTCAAAGTGTGTGTTTGGCGAGTCACCTACACCTGCCAATATGAAGGAGATGTCTCCTACTGACCTATCCACAACTTTTCGGAAGGATGTACAATAGGTCACATGTTACCCTCCCTACTTTACAGATACTAGATGCCAGATGTCGAAAAGTTGACCTATTGAAACGTCTACACAATCAATATAATTTGATAGGGCTCTCGTCAACTCGGTACCCTTGATGTACAAGTTCGGGCGATGAAACTATCGTGTAGTCAATGGCCTCTTGAATAAAATGTTTAGTTTGAACATTGTTGGATCATTTATTTTATCTATTCTCCTGTTCTCTTCTTCAAATGCATCACCCTTAAAATGAAAAGTCAAATTGATATAACCCTACGTAGAGAAGGCAAACTCTAAGTTTGATACTTCACCTCCGCTTTAATAATGAGCGGCTGCACAACAACCCTCACTCCATGTCAGAACTCCCTCAAGGTTCACTAACTCCATCATCAAACCCCGCGGCCTTCAGTCGGCTTCCAAAGTGTTTCCCAGATTAGGAAAATTCCCATTCCAAATATGCGAAAACTTTTCAATCTCGACAAGCTGAAATTGTAATATTCTAATCATTCCAGTCTAGAGGAATTGTCAGATACACGATTTTCCCCGCAAAGGCAGAATTGCACCAAAAGCGGTGGGTGGAGCGAACTGGAAATTATTGTACATTGTACGACATAACGATGGGTTTGGGCGTTGCGTATTGAATTTCGATGCGGTGGATCGGAAAATATATGGAACATCAGGTATTTACCCCTACGGCTAGGAAGAGCTTCGACTCACCTGTGGAATATTTATCTTGCATCGGTATTCAGCCGCGCTTCTCGGAGGTACTTGAAGGGATTCTGAACGAACAAATCATCAGTTTTAAGGACTCGTTCTCTTTTATATGTGTATATGATTCATATCCTTTCATCGGAATTCATTACTTCTTATAAGTGCGTCCATGAAGAAGCGAGTTCTTTTTAATCCGGCTCGAAGGACCAAAATGTTTTTTTTTTCGAAATAACATGTAGACTGTGAGAAAAAATGATGATGGAAAAAAATTAACAGCATCAATGTATAGGGTAAAAAAAATACTATCGATCAATATATGCCACAACGCAGTGGATTAAATATTTGTTTAAATATGTAGCTACAAAAACACTTGAAAGTAAATCAGGTTATTGTCTGGCATAAATCAAAATGATAGAATTCATGTTACACGATTTTCCTAGATTTTCTTATAAATACAAGTATTCTACTTAAAAAACATACATTTATTTATTTGCATGCTATTTCCTGAGCTTTTCAATTAATTAAGTTCAATCAATTGAAAAAAAATTTAAAAAAATATTGTTTCTGTCAGGTTAAGCGAATCCCTCTAGATAATCGTCAGATTATGACATAGCACGTCTAAAACATAAAAATGAACCATGTATATCTTAATCTGACGCGCTTGAATATTTCAAAATGGCGAATTTTTTTTGCGCATTACAATAATGGCCGCGAGTTTGCGTCAGATCGAAATCGTCAGATTATTGAATGAGAGCTTTTTTTGTTGCACTTAACACCCCCTTAGAAAATCTGACGCCCTCGATTGAATTTTATTTCTTTTCATTTTTAACCCTCATGTAAAACCACCCACATCATGCAAACGATCAGATTAACATACGAACATTATTAAAAATACGTAGGACATTGATGCTATCAATATCTGATGCGCTCGAGCATGTCCATGCATTAGTATTTTTTTATTTGAAAATCTATGCTTCCCCCACCGATGAAAAGGTATATATTATATAAAAATTTTTCATCATCTAAGCTTTGCAACCTAATATGTCTCAATGACGCTCGAGTAAATCCCCATTTTGCATTGTGGGCTCCCCTGCTATTAGGGGATGCACAAACTTTTATCAAGAATGACTTTTTGTCAAAAAACCCTCAATAAATAAGTTTCCCCTATGGTACATACTTCGGGGATGACACTGTAGATATACTTATGAATGAACTTATGTTCCAACACTGGACAACACCGTTTCGACCCGACAAGGTCTCATCAGTAGTGCTCGGCTAAACCACTGAACTGTCCTAAAAGCAACAAGCTTGAAAGTAAAGGCAATGTCGTGTCCCACTACGAAAACGCCATCTATTGGATCGATAAAGAACTCAGTCCTCAAAAATACTTTCCAAAGTGATCAGTTGTAAATCCAAGCTTCGTCTGTATTTCACTGCAAAGCTAGTTCATTTAGTTAAATATTTTTTTGTGTGAACATGGAGGAGTGTAAAGCCAAACAATTTTTCCAATTAATGTTAGACTAATTGATAAGGCAACATTGTAATATTCAGTAATATTCAAAGTAAAAATTTGCCAATGGAAATTACGAAGCCCGCGAAATTTGAACGTTCACCTTATTTTTTGAACAGGCCTCGTATATATTGATGCAAAATGAGTGTGTGATGTGTATGTCTGTATAATTTTATTTAGGTGCTGTACCAAAATGATCAATGAAGATTATTCTTATTAATAATCCGTGAAACCAAAACCTACGCTCGGGTGAATATCTCATTGACACTATTCCGTTTATATTTTCGAATTTTTTTTCGATTCGGGGCTCACAGACGGCCTCAGTCACTCTGGCGTCGCCTCTGTCACTATCCTCTCTGGGCGCTTAGAAGCGGGAACAGTTTTCATTCGATCGCGAACAGAACATCATCCGAACGGCGAGAAAGTTCTGCAACTTCCGAAAGTCGCATCAACTTCGTGTGTGATAACGGAAAGCAATTATTTTTGAGTTAGGTGCAACACCTGCTCTAATGATTCACTCAAAGAATTGATTGTATTGGAAATGGGAACAGCGAATTTATATTCGAACCTTCCGTGAGGAAACGTGTTTCAGAAAATTCAAAAAATATACTGTGGAAAGTGAAAAAACTCAATCTTAGATCCAGTCCACCTTGCTGAACATTTTCCGAAAGTAAGTACAAATATACAGACGAGGAAATTAATTTCTGGGAAATATCTCGTAAATTTGATGCGATTTCACATTTTTATGAGGAATAAATTACAATTTGGAAGCAGTAAAGCAATAAATAGGATACGGATTTAGTGTTAATCATCATCTTGAAATATATGATGTTCAATTATGTTGGGCGTAACTGTTTTTAGGAGGAATTGCTTCAAAAATAATGATTTGTCCGTATCATTTCATCATCATTATTTCAAAGAAAAATATTTATCAACATACCTGAACGATTTTTCTTCTCATTATTATTAATCTTACCTCAAAACTTTTTGACGAGTCAGCATTAAAAAAATCAAGAATATTTTCTCTCTGAAATTTTAGGTTTTTAGAACCCTAAATTATTAAAGTTACTTGATATATTAAAAATTTCAGTAACTCTTCTAATAATAAATGATGTGTGCATACTCGTATTTCGAAAAACTGAAAATTCCACTTAAAATTACGAAATGTCTGAAGTAAAAATTCCCATAGGTTTTCTCTAATGTTTCTGAAGCGAGTAACGATATGCATATCGAAATAGGGTACAGAAAATGTTATTTCTGGATAAATAATAGTTTAAGAATCTAAGAAAACATTCTTTGACAGCAACACATACTAGATACATAGATAATAAGTCCTATGGCTTGATGTAACTAATGAGTCTTAATGAGTCTGAAATCTGAATAAATCTATTAACAATAAAACTGTTTAAAGCGTAGGGTGCTGAGTATCCATTGGTTTAAATACTTGATTAGGAGTTGTTTGCCAGATTGGCAACCCACGCTTCTTCACTACAAAATTAATTTTATATATTTATTCTTATTCTGGAAAAGAAAGTTTTAGGCTTCCTACTACTCCATCTTGATACAAAAAATGTGGGAATCTTCCAAAGGAAGGAAGAAAGTAATCAATTTGAAAATGAGTAACTCCATACATGGAAGAAAGTCCTTCCTGAAGCAGCTACTGTCATATTAACATTGTGTCTGGAAGTTGCTGCTTTACATGATCTACACAGTCAGTCAGAATCTAGTCCAAAGGAGTCTCAGGAATGGGATTTTTGTTTTGGTCCCTTTTTTGATCGTTAGTACACATGTATTTGACAAGAAATGTAAAGTGTGGTTGAATATTTCACATGTTTCAAAATGTGTGACACACTTTTTACGTAATTGCGATTGAAATAGTATCATTTTCTGCCTGAAGGATTTGATATTGGTGTATAAATCAAGGAGAAGCTGATTTTCTCCTTGCAATCTCAAATTCAGTTCGTTCATATGATTTGTCAAATCGACATAGAAGGCTAACTTCCACATCCATTCACTATTTTCTAAATCGGCAAAAGGGCGCTGCTTCTCATTTAAAAAAATTTCGATCTCTGCTCGAAGTTCAAAAAAGCGCTTAAGGACTTTTCCGCAACTAAGCCAGCGTACGGCAGTATGATATGGTAAATCATTTTCTCCAATCTGTTGAATAAACTCGCGGAATTGTCGGTGATTCAGCCCAGTAGATCTAATAAAGTTAACAACTGATATGACTGGTTTCAGAACTTCAGACATATCCAAACATTTTCCGCACAAGGACTGTTGATGAATGATACAATGTAAGACTAATGGTTTTGAACCACTATCATTTTCTACAGCCTTTGACACAAGTGCAACCACTCCTTTATTTTTACCATACATATTTTTGCCTCCATCAGTTGTTATAGATTTCAAATTTCTCCATCGAAGGTTCTTTTTATTAATGGCATTTTTAACTCCCTTAAAAATATGTGCCCCAGTTGTCGTGCCGTGAATACTATCAATATCAAGAAGTTCTTCATACACTTCATAGTTTTTATCTACTCCGCGAATAAAAATCAACACCTGAACAGTATCTGACACATCCGTTGACTCACCCAATGCTAGAGAAAACCACTCATGATATCCATTTTTGTCAGACAGTTGAGATGATATATTTTCTGCGATGTCTTGCACCCTCCGAGCCACGGTGATTGCTGACAAACTGACATTTTTAAATAAATTTACCTTTTCGGGGCATTTTTTTTCGGCTAATGCAATCATTTCTCCATCGGTGAATGGTTTGTCACGTTTTCCGATTTCAAGAGCCACACGAAAGCTGGCGCGAGTTGCAGACTCTTGTTCAGTATTCTCTTTGGTAAACAAAGATTTGAGTCCGCGTTTCAAAGCTTCAAATTTTTCCTTCCGCAAACTTCCTGTATACCTGGAGTAACTTTGAAGATGTTTCGATTCATAGTGTGGTTTAATGTTATAGTCTTTGAGAACAGCTATGGTTTCATTACAAATTAAACATAGCGCCTTATTACTGGACTCAATCACAAAATACTGAAAGTTCCATTTCTCTTGGAACGTTCTACGTTCACTGTCGATTTTTTGCTTCTTTTCCATACTAACAAATCACACATAAAAACAATAAGTCAAATCAAAATACTTTTATTGACGGGTGTTACTTTATTTCACAATAGACAGTTTCGCTTCCTTCGCCATTCCTACGCAGACTAACTCGCAGTTGCGCCGCTATCCTTTTTATATGAAATTATTACTGCCATCTCGAGGTGATCAGAATACACTAGCTAGAACTAGAACTTTCTCGAACCAACGCGGTAATTCCAAATATTCAATTACGCCTAATGCCACCTAGCGGGTAGCTGAAAAAGATAGTACATAGTACCACTACTCGCCAATAGATGTCGGTAAGTGTTACAATACACAATAATAATTGAAATGCAAAAAAGCGTAAGTTTGCTTAGGTCACGCACTTTGCAACTATCCTAGTCTAGAAATATAGTTAAGGGCAGAAATTGGCCCTTGGAACAAACTGAAAAAATCATTATGGCCCGAAGGCTTCAAAGTTTGGAGACCCCTGATTTAAACGATCGGCAGAAATTGTCCGGTTACGTCTGTCTTTTTTTGTATAAGGTTGGCACCAAACCATCACATCAGAGTCCTATTGAGGGGTAGTCGATGAAATGTATCAAAAACTGCATCAGCAACAGCCGGTATTGGTCAACGAAAGAAGTCCAATCGGCTGGCAAGGTTATGTTATCAGTATTCTAGAATGCGCATGATATAATATTCATCAACTATCTTGAGAAGGAAAAACATTCAACATCGACTATTAAATAGCGTTATTGGAGCATTTGAAGGACAAATTTGCGGAAAAATGGCCCCATTTTACAAAAAAAGAAGTGCTGTTCAATCAAGACAATGACCGTATCACAAATCAATGAAAACGATGGCAAAATTGCATGAATTGTGCTTCCGCATCCACCGTATTCTCCAGATCTGGTACCCAGCGACTTTTTCTTCTTCTCAGACTTCAAAAGAATGCTCGCTGGAAAGGAATTCAGCCCCAATGAAGAGGTTATCGTTGAAACGGAGGCCTTTTTCGAGGCTAAAGACTAATCGTACAATAAAAATGGTACCGCTATAAATTGGTGTATCGCTCTCAGGGACAACTATGTTGAATAATAAAATAAAATTTGAAAAAAAATCACTGAGCATACGAAATTATCAGCCCAACTTAACTCTCCACCAAACCAGTTGATAAAGTTATTTCAAAGTTACAAGCCACATCGAAACGTTCCCCAGCTTTTAGTCTGTATACATTTGGGATTATCATTGAGAAAGTAATGTCTAAAGGACGAGATGAGAGAAGAGAAATAGTTTGCGAACAATTTTATCAATGGATGTTTGCATGGATGGACAAGCTCTGGAACATTGTGGCTAAACAAACTTTCATCAAACTTCATATCAAACGTTTGGGATTGAAATCGACCACATTTATGCTAGGATGTTACGAAAACGATTACCGCTGCCTTTGGTATTTCACAAGCCTTATTCCTTGAGGGAATGATGTAATTTACAGAACTGGACCAGCTTTTAATCGATTATGGGAATAATTATTAAGGCAGTCGCCTTTTCCATGTAAATATCTCTCTTGATTTCTCTATTTTCTCGTGACACATTCCGAACCTTCAGCTTTTGATAAATTGGTTGAGGCTTCAGCTTTTATTAGCATTCCATCGTTATTAACCCGGGCCTTCGACAGATTTAAGCTTTAGGTTATTTATCCAGAAATCTCATTGTTGGAAGCAGTGCACGTTTAAGGCAAAACCCTTGAAAGCGGGGAAAATTGATAAAATTCGCATTCCCCGAAAATAAAACTAAAAATTAATGCTTCAAGAACCTCTTCCATTCAGTTTACCGCGAGATGTGTTCGCTGAAGCAGCAATATTCAGTAACATTCTCTGTAATTGCTTAAAGTGTTAGCCGACGGAATTCAAGGAACGAAAAGTGGAATTTCTTGGATTGGAATTGGTTATGTGAATTATAAATTTTTCACTTCAACTTCATCATAATGTAGGCACTTTAGTGTTTCGAAACAGGTTGATTAAATAACGTGATGAGCCACTAAACACGTTACAGTGTTGGAAAAAGTTTTCAAGTGTCATGACAGGTGTTTTTAGATTGCTTCTTACATGACAATTCCAGTTCAGATTGTCATCCGGTGTGATACTAAGTAGATTAGCTGAGTATCCATTAAATATTACTGGAGTTTTCTCCCAACACCAAACCGTTATTTTAACACCTCGACACGTTTCGATCACCAAGTGATCATCTTCAAGAGGAAGCTCAAACTTATCTTCCTGGGTCTCAGACCCAGGACTGTATTTCAAGCGGAAATTTACGCTATTGAATTGTGTGCCGAGAGATTGGAAGAATCCAAACTCATACACAAGTCGATTAAAAATATTCTCAGACAGTCATGCAGCGTTGGTAGCTCTTGGTTCCTACCGAGCAACGTCTAAATTGGTAGGAAATTGCCAAAAACAACTCTCTTCGATTGGAAAACTTAACAGATTCTCTCTGAATAACTTTTTACGAGATCAATTGCCGTAACACCAAACTGATATTTTTGCACCTGACGCGCGTTTCGCCAACAAAGTTAGCATC